TATGGAGATCAACGCCAGTGACGATCGAAGTCGTGACGTGGTGAAGAATCGCATACGAACGAGCTTGGGCACAGAGACCGTCAGGACGGTTAGCAACCGAAAAGGCGAGGATGTAACGCAGAAGCCAGCCAAGCCAGTGTGCGTGGTGGTGGATGAGGTGGACGGTGTGGTCTCCGGTTCCGGAGGTTCTGGAGAGGGAGGCTTCGTCAAGGCTCTGATCGACTTGGTGTTGACAGACCAGAAGAACAGTGCCTCGGCGGCTCTGGGGAGAAATGCGAACCAAGGGCGGAAGAAGAAGGGCGATGACTTCCGGCTAATGCGCCCACTGGTTCTCATCTGCAATGATGTATATCACCCCTCGCTTCGGCCGCTTCGCCAGTCGAACCTGGCAGAAATCGTTCACGTGGGCCGACCATCCATAGACGCAGTGGTGAACCGCCTCAAGAGTGTGTTTGATAAGGAAGCTATTCCATGCGACAAGGACGCAGCGAGAAAACTATGCGAGGCAGCATGGGGCATGTCTACTGGCGCCGATGCCAGGAAAGGCGCCGCGAGCACTGTCGAAGGTGACCTTCGAGGTGTCATGGTTGTCGGAGAATGGGTAGCAGGGCGCTTTCGGGCTGCCAATGTCCACGGGAATGAGCGGCTCACAAAGCAGTGGATTGAACACAACATCATGCACGATCTGACCAGCGGCGCTGCTGGATCTCGAGGTCTCGGACGAGGCAGTTCAAAGGACATCGTCAGCCGGTTATTCCAAGAAGGCGGCGGCTTTCCCAAGCCCGCGATCGACTTCCAGGAGGAGAAGAAGCACCAGCACGAACAGCCCCAGGCAGAACTGGGTTTTGGGGAGCATCAAAAGAAGCACGCGATGGAGCGTCTGGGCCAGATGATCGACACTAGTGGTGAGATCAGCCATATCCTAACAGAGGTGTTCGCAGAATACCCTAATCGCGACTTCAACGACGATTGCTACCTCACCAAACCAAACAAGGCATACGATTGGTTCTATTTCCATGACACTTGCCAATCAAAGCTGTATGCCAGTCAAGAGTGGGAGCTAGCACCGTACTTGAAAATGCCAGTACTTGCGTGCCATCACCTATTCGCATCCCCGAAACGGCACTACGAAAACATGGGCTACGACAAGCGCTGGGGTGCCGACGATGGTGAAGCAGAGGCAGCGCCGTTGCCCTTCACTGGCCCGCGAGCTGACTACCAAGCTCACGAAGCAGAAAAGCTGAACCGCTCTCAGCTCCAGTCCATCCTTGCTCAGCTGAGCCCTACAATGTCACGGTCCTTCCGCAGCGCAGAGGAAGTGTCCTCCGAGTTCCTCCCATACCTGATCCGAATGGTTTCCCCCGATGTGAAGCCCGTTGTGGTCGGCGGTAGCCAGGGCTCGATAGCAAGCGTCCGAAAGGAGAGCGAAAAGGCCATGGTGCAACGCGCAGCAGAAGTACTGGCCGAGGTCGGGATCCTGCTACAAAAGGGCAAGATAGAGAGCGAGGATATGTCGAATCGTGCCCCCCAATGGGTCTATCGCCTTGAACCGTAAGTTAGCCCCCTCAGCCCCTTTTTCTTGGTTCGTCCAAGTTATCTGTGATTAACTCGGCTTTTTCTTCCCCACAGCGACCTCGACGCTCTCTCGACCTTTGAGACGGCAGCTTCACTCCTATCTTCACAGGCACCGGTACGTTTTGCCGTCCGGCAGGCCCTTGACCAGGAGCTCCAGCGCACGATCGCCCTCCGCGAGGCCCAGGCTCGCCAAGCCCGCTTCAAGTCAGGCGGCGGCGCAAACGACCTTCTTCAAGCACCAGTTCTGGACAACAAGGAGAATCTCGAGCCTGCTGCCGCCCAAGCAAAGGATGCCACCGTGGTCAAGAGGGATTTCTTCGGCCGGATCATCCTGGCACAGCCGCTGGCAGAGCTGGCCGGCAACAGTGAGGAGAAGCGGGCCAAGAGGGAGGAGCAGAACGTCTGGATCACGTATCACGAAGGGCTCAACAACGCTGTGAGGAAGCCAATGTCATTGCATGAGTTTATGCGGGGTTTGTAAAGGTGTTTGTCTCTTTTTGAATTTGAGTTTCGCCAGGCGAGCATTTACAATGGGTGTTATTGGGTTGCGTTTTGAGTAGAAACACAGGGGCGTCATTTCAGAGTTACCAGGAATATATAAGTAATGAACTCGTGTAGAAACTGCTTTAGGTGTTATATGCAGAAAAGAAAGGAAAATAAAGACTATGTCATATATGCTGCTGGAAAGAAGGTAGCTTACAACTCGTCTACAAATATGTGAGCAAAACACGATCTACACATCTATATCTATCTACAGTTTCGACTTGGGTCTCTGCGCAGGCGTGGCAAGGGACTCGTACGCGCTGCCGAACAAGTGGTCCGGGGGCGTCGAGCTATGCGAGAACAGCGCCCTGGTATCCAGTAGGCTCGAGTTGAGCTCCTCGATCTTGTTGCACCCTAGCAGGCGCATGTTCATCTCCATCTCGTCCTTTAGGAGCTGCATGGCGCGCTCGACGCCGGGCTGGCCGTAGGCGCTCATGGCGTAGAGGAACGGCCGGCCGATGCCAACGCCCTTGGCGCCCAGGCAGATGGCCTTGAGGACGTCGGTGGCACGGCGGACACCGCCGTCAATGTAGATCTCGATCTTGTTCTCCAGGCCCAGCTCGCGGAGAACGGGCATCGTCTCGGCGAGGATCTCGATACCCGAGCGGGCGAATTCAAGCTGGCGACCGCCGTGGTTGGAGAGGACGACACCCTGGCAGCCGGCCTCGACGGCCTTGATGACGTCCTCGACTCGCTGGACACCCTTGATGATGATGGGCATCTTGGTGATGCTCTGGAACCAGGGGATGTCCTTCCAGCTGAGGCTGGGGTCGATGAAGCTGGAGATGGCTCTGGCGGCGCCCTGGCTGTTGTCGGTCTCTTGGCCCTCCTGGACATTCGTACCAGGGTCGGTGAATTTCGAGCGCATATCCTTCTCGCGACGGCCCAGCTGGGGAGCGTCGACGGTGATGAAGAGAGCCTTGCAGCCACGCTCCTCGGCGTACTGGACGATGCGCTGTGTGATTTTCCTATCCTTGTTGACGTAGAGCTGGAGCCATTGAACCTGCTCACCCTTGCGGGCGTCGCAGATCTCGTCAAAGGAACAGGACGCAAGCGTGGGGATCATTTGAATGACACCGTGCTTGTGAGCGGCCCGGGTCAGGACGACCTCGCCCTCAGGGTCACCAAGCTTGCCCAGAGCAGTGGCGGTGACATAGAATGGGACTGAGCTCTTGCTTCCCAGCATTGTGGTAGAGATGTCGACATTCTCAACGTCAACGAGAACACGAGGCCGGAACCATATGCGATGGTATGCGCTGTGATTCTCCCTCATTGTCTAGAGTTGAAACCTCATATTAACACCATAATTCAACCGAGTGGGAGGATACGGTTAGGAGACTCACTATTTCATCATCAGCTGCACTGGAGTAGTAACCCCAGGCCGTCTTCTTCATGGTCCTCCTCGCGACGGCCTCGAAATCGTGGAGATTGTAGCATTGCGACAGCAGAGGCTTCTGGGCGACCCTTTCCAGACGCTCAGCCTCCTCTGGGTCCTCCTCCTTCACCTCCTGCTCGACGGTGCCCATGTCAACCGGCCCCAGATGCTTGGACTTGTCCAAGAACTTGTCCAGAGTATCAGGGGGGTGGATTGGCTCGAATTCTTCTGTGCAGTCCTTGCCCTGGAAATGCGCGGAGAGAGCTCGTTAGTCCCCTTAACAATAACAGACGGCGGTCGTTCATGCCCGGGCTCGAGTCGCACTTACGGCATACTTGAGGATAATCTTCTGTCCTCCGGGGTGTTCTGGAAGCAGAGGAGAGTTAGTTGGCGAAATGTAACGACGAAAGCGGGCGTTGTTGGTTGTCAGTCGTACCAGGTAGAAACTCGGTCACATCGTACGCCTTGCCCTGTCCATTGCACCGAAATTAGCTGCTGCCCGTATTTCTCAATGTCTGTACAATAAACAGGCCAATTCTCATCGTACATGAACAATAACCCAACACGACTTGGCGTCATTGTGCTCGGCGATCTCGCTGCCCTTGAGCGCCGCCATGGTGTGAGGTGCGGTCCTTTCGCCCGAAAGTCGGACGTCAATTACGTAGGTAGATGGGGAGAATGCGGTCGGTGGGGGAACTGACGAGCAGCGCACCGTCGATGGTTCCTCGTTTTCGGAGTCTGGGGCAATCGCTCTAGAGACAGCGGACAGAGCCAGAAAGTAACGGCGAGCGAGAGCAAGATACGAATGGGAATGGGAATTAAAAACAAGAAAACAGACAGGAAAACGTCGTCCCAGGATCCTGGACTTAAAAGGGAATCCCGATCTGCTTCCCCAGTTGTTCCTTCCCCACAGCGCTTCTCCGGCGGTGGGTTTGATTACCTGCCCCCGAATTCGGGGCTCTCTGGTAGGCTGCTGGGCACAGGCTAGTCATTGAACCAGCACTATCTCTCTCCACCTTTATTTTACCTCGTGAGTCGGCCTTCAATAACCGCCCAAGCCGCCTTCAGTATCCGTTCCGGCTCCACTATGCCTCGGCCGTCGGGTTAATGCACCGCGGGGAAGCCAAGCACCTTAATGAATGCTTGATACTTATGTCTGTCGTCGGTTGGTGTTGGTTGGGGAAACCCAATAATAGCGACATTATTTGTCACCCACGTATGATTTGCTGCATGGACTTTCCAACCGCCTCCTACCAATATATAATTACGGGCGTGGGCATGAAGCCTGTCCTTCACCACGGGTCAACAAGAGATCAACTCAGGTGCAAATATGCATGCATATATTCCGTGTCAATGATGATTAAAACACCGCTTGGTAAACAATAGACACAACCCCCCATTCTAAACATACCCTGACCAGGTCCATACCCATGCAAAACCCTCCTCTTTTACGCTATGTATGACGAGTAATTCTTCCTCCTTCTCCATCTTGGCCTCCCATCCTTACTTACTTCCAGGCACTCAGTCCTGCCCAAGGGTCATGGGGCTGTGATGTTTGAGCTGGTGGTGATTTCTGCCCATATCCCTGTGGGATCTGCTGTTGCTGCCCGTAATGGATTGTCTGCTGGGGTCCCAGAGGTGGAGGGCCGGGAGGAGGTGGAGGTGGGACAAAGCCAGGCGGCATGTAACCACCCTGGCCTTGTTGGGCTGTTGGCTGCACTTGTTGCCCCTGAGTGGCATAGCCTTGGTAGCCTTGGATCTGCGATCCAAAGGAGGATCGATTTGGTGGAGGGGACACTGGGCCTCTCATTGCATTTACGCCGAAAGTGGACTGGTTTGGCGGAGGTGACGTTGGACCAGGGTTCCGTCCATATTGGCTTGGGTTGTACGCGGCTTGCCCAAATGAGTTGACTTGTGGCTGCCCATATGACTGCGCTGTGGCTGGGTTTGGGTTTCCATAAGTGTGGTATCCTGGCTGTACCATGTTGGGTTGGTTAGGGGGAGGGGAGGTTGGAACTTGATATTGTCCCTGGTAACTTCCTTGCCCGTATCGGGGTGCCTGTCCAGCCTGAAATAGCGGTGTTGGCGCTGGCCGTCCACTTGCGGTTGGCTGTGGCGGTGACTTTGGGCTCTCCATCGACATTCGGTCCATGAGAGCTCGCAGACGTTCTTGCTCCAGCTCGGCCTGAGAAGACCTGCTGGAGGATTGTGCCGCCTCAATCTTGTTCAACAACTGGGCACCCTCGCCTCGTCGGTTGTTGACGAATGCTTCAACATTCTTTTCTAAGCTCTCTACTGTCTCCTTCATCTCAGCATACCACTTCTTCGCACTGGCGAGTCCGGCCACGAGGTCAAGGAACTCTTGATAGGCCCGGTTGTATCTGCCAATCACGGCCGATCTCTGTTTTTGAATTGTTTCGTACTTGCTCTGCTCCGATCTCACCCGCTTGTCTTGCAATAGTGTATTAAACGTTCCTGTAAGTTCCTTCATCAGAGCGGACTGCTTGTGATTCGCCTGTAACAGCCTGTTTTGGTGAGGTCGGAACTTTTCCAGCTCCTGCTGGAAGAGTTGATTCTCGTAGTTGGATATTGACTTCTTGTTTAGGATTAGAATTTGCGAGATGTCATCGTTATGGACCTGGGTGGGAAAACTGTTAGCTGGGTAGACATGGGTTGCACCATTTGGATCAACCAACCTTCTCTTTTAGGTCTTTAAGGACCTGGTTTCGCTCCCGCTTGACAAGATTCAACTTTTTGAGGATATCCTCTACTCTGTTTATCTGGTCTATCACACTCAAGCCGCCTTCTTCAAAATCGGCGTCCAGAAGGTTAGCTTCGATGGCAGCTGGGCTGACAGAGTAGCCACTCTTGTCTCGAACATCGGTTACAGCCCTGTGGAACAGTTGGTCAACAGCATCCTCCTGAGCAGCACGCCGCATTTCTGCGAATTCCACCTCGTTCTGGCGAAGCTTCGTGGCAAGCTGATTGTCGCTCTTCATTGCCTCATCAAGCGCCTCTCGATAGCTTCGAATATCCCCGCGTAGGGTGGTTGTGAGGGGTGCGCTAGGTTGCTGGGTCCATTGGCTCTCGTGTTTCGAACGCATCTTCTCGCAGACTATCTCTTCCATGTCCAACTGCTTCGAGCACCCATCCAGAACTCGAATTATGGACTCCTTTTCTGACCTCAGGTGCTCGAATATCCCAGCTGGATTTTCGTGATTTGCCACATCGTGACACCATTGGCGGAAGTCTTCATCAGGCAAAACATCCTGATCAAATCCGCCCTTGAGAACTTGAAGAGCACCTGGAAGCCTCAAGTAATCCAGACTTGCAGCCATCTCGCCATTTGCGGTGTCAACCTTCTCTGTTTCTGCTCTGACAAGCTTGGCTTTCTCTTCATCGTACAAACTTGCTGACTCCGTCACCGCAAAGGGCACGATCTTGGCGAAAAGATCTGGGCCAGTAATGTGCTGTATATCCTGACCTGCGTACAGCTCACTAACCGGGATGGGTTTTGCGGCAGGTAGTTTGTTGATGGCTTCTAGGCTGGCTTCGGCTGGGACGGGCTGGTGGTAAATGTAATCATTGTCCTTCTCTGCCTCCCGGAGCTTCTCCTTCACGGTAGCGAGATGCCGCTTCGAAATACCTTGCAAAGCGCTGGCGCAGTCTGCACTGAGGTTGGCGCTGGGTGGCAGAGATGTAGGGAACCCCTTGGCGATGCGGTCTGCTTCCTTAGCCAGCGATTCGGCGTACTGCAGTCGGCCCACACCTGAACCGAACTGACTGTTCTCATCATCCGTCAATGCTTGGTAGTATTGCGCCATTGAGTCCAGCAGATTTGATTTATACTGTACATTTGTAAGCCATCGGCGGAATCATCTTGAACGGGAAGCTCTCACGAACCTGGAGCATCAAAAGCCACGACTTTTCGAAAATTGCCTTGTTAGCACTTTCCTGAGCGCTCTCATAGGCTTGATTGTAAAAGCAGCCTGCTTGTGAGGCCAGTTTGGCCAGAAGTGCATTCTTCTTCTTGTCGTTAATTTGCTTCTCAAGGAAGACCTCCTGAGCTTGTGCCAACATTATGTGGATCAGCGTCTTGACTGTCTCCCTACTCAGATCTGAGGAAGGAGCATGGAGGAAATTCTCGTTGATATACGTGAACATGCCGGCAGATGCCTGGAACGAGTGGTATGCTGTCTTCAGGGCAGACTCGTCGGACCTGTTCTGGAAAGCAGCATGGCAAGAGAGTACGGCTGAGATATTAAAGATGATGGAAGCCTTTTCGAATGCCAGTGAGTATTGTGAGGTCGGTTTATGGGTGAACGCATCGAACCTATTGTCATGTGGTAATCCAGTCAGTACTCGATACTCAGGATATACTCGCTTGGGAGGAACGGGCAGTCTTCCGAGTCATACCATGTGAAGGAGATCTTGATATGCTGCTCGTCCACGGGAAACCGTAGGTCCAGAAGCTCCAGTTGGCCATAGTACCGATATAACATGTCCCTTCCTGAAGTGCTCTCCTTCCCCGCACCGCGTACGTCCTGCCTCAAGCGCTGGAGGGTGGCGCACTCCTCTGCGTACCGCTCTGGGTCATCGCCATATGTATCACGAATATATGCCTTCAATGGTGCCACCCAGTCAATCTCGTTTGTCGCCTTGAGGGGCACGGAGATCATTGGCGACTGCGACATCTTGTGCGACGAGGCGAGAGGCAGTTACTGAATGGTATGCCAGCAAGTAGCATGCGCCGAGGCGAGAAGGGTAGTAACAGCAGGCCAGAAGTCGTGGTCAGGTTGGCCGGGCCGCCCGAACGGGCCAGGAGCTCTAACGCTCGGCGAGTTGAGGTCGTGATTTGCGGATGGGAAATGGCGGCGTGGGGCAGAGGGGTCAGATTCGGGCTCCGAAGGTCGCCTCTTATGCGGCCTGGTGTCGCGATCCGTGGGGGGAGGGGGAAAGCTTGCTGAGAGGAATGGTTTTAGTGAGGCAGACGGGTTGTGTAGCCAGTAGGCACCAATGATGAGGGTACGCCGCCCGTTGGAGGAGAATGGGAGCAAGGCAGCCTGGGTGACAGCGTTAGAAGCCGCCCAAGAGAGGCTCTTGATGTGCGGACAGCCAGTATCGGGTGGACTCGGTAGACATAGGCTGGCCGAATAGGTCCTGAGGCGGGGTGAGGTGGTGAGGTGGTGAGGTATACAAATACTGGTACATGGTAGACCCAAGGTACGACGTCGGCAGATGAGGTGAAGGCCAGAGAGCTCCGTCCCAAAGGTGGGCGGTATGACGCAGAGGGGAGCAGGTAGCTGCGGTACGCTCGAGGTACTGGGAGGTACCTTGACGCCCACTCTACTGTCGATTTCCTCTGCAGGTTAGCTTCGGCGCCGCCGTTAAAAGGCTCAGTCAAGAACAACTAACAAATGCCTTTTGAGTGTTCCTATAAGTAGGTAGGTTTTACTTGAGAACCTTTGGATAATAGGTAGTTTAGTCTCAAACAATAAGAATTCGGTATAAACAGTTCACTAAATTAATAATCATCGTGCTATGTTTACTTCCCCATTCTAATAATCGTGGTCTTGTCATGATATTAATTCATCCATAGAACTCTAGAGGTAGGTATTTAAGAGGGTAGACGTTTGCTGTGAGGATTCTTGGGGTAGAACTTCTCATAGTTGATCCATGCAATGGAAATCCCATTTTTGCGCGTATTTGCAAGCATCTTCAACTGTGGGAAATGAACAAACTTCCTAGGAAGTCAAGGTCATCTCCAAATAAAAGCGGCGCCGTCCCCAAACCCCAAGAGAAACTGTACCTGAAATGACAAGCTGGCCACATGGGGTACATCCGCCGAAGAGGGGCGCGATCTTTAGATCCCTGTCCCGACAAGACCAGGTACTTGCTCGATAACTCAGCAGACCATTCGATTGGGAGGCAATTGCTGAAAGAGCGGTGGTATGTATGGGCAGCGTCCGGAGCTGCAGCCCAGAGTGTGATTGGGGCTGCATGTCAGCCAGGTGAACCTCATGTCTCGCAATGTTTGCGTGTGGCTTGATGCACCACGCAACGAGGACTCGCTTGATTCGGCGCAGTGGTTGGCTGTGTGCCCGAATGGGGGCCGGAAGCCCGCTAAGGAAGCCAAATTAGCCGCTGCAGTGCTTGCTTAGGCGCCGAGCTGTCAGTACCCAGCGAGCCCCTCAGCTTACACCAAGCCGCTGGGCTCCTCTTCAGACTCGCAGCTCACCTCCTGCAGCCCTGCCACAGTGGCACATGAGGTGTAATATTGCCTGAGGTACGAGTGTGTGCTGGCATCCTACCTTAAGATAAGGTATTAAGGTCCAAAGTCCCCTCAGTCATACGCTCTCCAACAGCCATGCTCTCGTCCAGGTCGCAATAACCTGCTTGTCCGCTGCGTACAAGATGCTCGCATGCTCATCCAGCTTCTCGTCCTCTAACCGCTTGGCTGGACACTAACATCCACGGCGTCTATTCCAGCACAGGCTTGGTTGGACCTTGATATCCCCTCCGCGAGCAAGGATGGAGGCTCGTATACCACATCGGATTCTGACCTGATGTGGCGTCACCGCAAGGCATCAATGCCCAAGAAGCTATGTTGCGGCTCAACCTCATCATCAATCCACAGTAGCCCGTTATCCTCGGGCCCGACGCAATTTCGCACAAAGCCTGGAAACCGAGTTTCATCGAAACCGGCACAGCAAAATCTCACTCCTCGTACTTGGGGAATAATACCACACCGGAAACGCAGCATCACCAGATTTCCCCCCCATCAACCGCTGCCGGGTGTGGGGGCCGGCTCCACACACCCGTCGCAACCCTCGACAAGCGCCAGCCTCCCAGCGAACCAACAACCACCCAGGCCCTCCTCCGTTGGAGCTTATGCATGTGACGAGGGAGCTTCTCTGTGACCACCCCGCGCCAGCTATTGGCCCAGAGGTCTCAGTTGTCATCTGCAGCCGTCTTGACCGGGAAGCTCTGGCGAGCCCGGTACACCACTTTCGACCTCCTTGGCTACCCTATTGGCATACCGGCCCTTGTACGTGAAATGGGACTTGGGTTAGTATTCGTTACATCGTGGGTATTTCATTCAAGTCTGGGTTTCCATTAGTTCTAGACTTGAGCATCTCAAAAAGCAAGCAACTCGTTTGTAAGCCAATGCCCTCCCAGGTTACTCCGTGCCCCCGAAGACCGTTACCATCGTCAGACTACCATCGCCGGTTCCCACCTTGCTCCCTTAGGTAAAGACACTCTCCGTCAATGAGTTGACCTGGAGCCCGCGCTCGGCCATCTCCGCGTCTCTCAAAAACTCCAAGGGGTACCACACCAGATGCCCCTTGATCTGGTCTAGTTTGTTGCGGATATCTTCAGGGGGGAGGAACTGATCAAAGACGTGACCAGCCTTCACACCACGGGGCGGGAGATACCGATCATAGTCATCAAAGTCCTTGACTGCTTTGGTGTTAGCTTAAAGGGACAGAGCAACAGGGAAATGACGGGGGAAGGAATCTTACTGTGGTCATCGGGGTCGGCATGGAATATATGGCGGAAGAGCTTGGTGTTTGTGTCCGCCTGTGTGGTCCACATCTCCCATAACTCATCGCTCAACGGATCCTCAACAAACTTCCAGCTCTCGTCTTTGTCGTAGATATCATTCTCTGGGTTGACAGTTGGCGGCTGTGCATTGATATCACCTTCTGCGTTGAGTGGCTGAGGCGGAAGCAGCCCCAGATGCTCTCGCCAGAGATAGCGCCGTAGAGTGGTGGCATGATATCCAGCCTCAAACGCCTCTCCGTTCATAGTGCTGGAGACCATCCTCGTATCCTCCATGACGATGCTCAATTCACTGTCGTGGTCCCCTCGCTGACTGCGGTCATTCAGATTACTGGAGCCACAGATAACGATCCGATCGTCGGCTATCAAAATTTTGGAATGGACGTAGAGCTCCTCCTGAACCCAGTTCTGCACTTCACTCTCGGGATCATCTTCATCCCAAACTTCATCCAGAATGGATCCTTGTCCGTGCATGGCATGGTGGGCTACTGACGCTGAAGTCAAGACCTCCCCTGGAGGAAGAGCCTCATCAAACTTCTTCTTTGCCTCCATGTGTTTCTTCACCTCTTCATCAGTTGAATCCACCTTATTTTGGTTCAGTTTTCCAAGATGGGGATTCTGGGTCTTGCTCCTAGCACCAAATGTCCCGTGGATACCTTCTGACATGATCTCTTCAGCTTCCGCTCGCTGCACCTGTTGATAGCTAACGCCGGATTTCTTCTCGGCTGCCTTGAGAGCCGGTGTTTTGTTGAGGCGATCATAAGACCGGAGATTGAAGAAGAAGATGTATTTTCTGGGGTCGACATCCTGTGCCTTGATCTGCTCAAAGATGGAGTGCTCTCCTCGACAAATAGACTTGTACTGGTAATCCATAATAGCTCGAGTACCAGCCGCGGCATTGTCTCGAAGGTCACCTGCGAAGCCGGGAATGGCGGGTATCACGATGATGATTTTGAACTTTCGGTTCTCCTTTGCAGCTCGAACAACGGCGTCCACCATGGCCCTGCCGATAGTGTTATGAATGGGATATTGCTGGTCTCCTGTAGCTGTAATGAAAAACTGATTCTCAATGTAAACGTAATGCTGTGCGTTTTGGATAATTTCAATGTAGGCGTTTTGAATCGAGTGGTCTAGCAAAATTCCGCTGGACCAGTCTGAGCTGGATCGAACGATTTGAGCACGAATGGTGCCACGGTTAAAGAGGTTTTTGGTGTCGAGCGGCGTCAGGGGATGCTGGACGTAGTCTCCAACGGGGTGTTTGGGACGCTGGACACCGACAAGGTCCTCATCTTCGCCAGTGCGGTTCTCTAGCATAATCCAGTCATAGGCATCGTGTCGCTTATACTTGTCACGTTTTACAAAGTTCCATCTGAGAACGAAGTGCTCAGCAATATCATAGACTGTTGGGCCGATCACTGCCATGGCAACATCGTGCCAGGGCATGCGGCCATAGTCTGCTTTGCTCACTTCGTTCTGTTTCCAGTCATCCACTTGCTTGAAGTCCATCACGCGGTTGTTGTTGAAGTCCTGTCCCGGGAAGGTCTCTTCAGAAACTCCTTCGGGGTGAACGTCAGACAGTGGATGGTGGTTTGCGTCCCAACGCCCGAAGCAAAGATCTAAGCCACCAATAAAAGCCATGGCGTAGTCAATGACGATGAATTTCTCGTGGTGGGCCCAGTACATGGTAATGTCGGCTGCGTTTTCAAAAGGATTGTGGTCTGGGTGGCGAAGAATCTTGATGTTGCCAAATCCTGGTGTGCCCTCAGGGCACAGAGCTTGGAGGGCATGCTTTGTATGCACGGAATTGCAAGTCAGAGCAGCCTCGACTTCCTTGTACACGATCACAAAGATCTTGACCCCTTCCTCGGCTTTTCTCTTGAGGAGTTGATCCAACCGGTAGTCCCGGTTATAGAATGGGGGGCGTCGCAAGAAGAGTTCAGGAGACAACCACCAGTCTGCAATGTAGATGGACTCTTTGGCCTGCTCGAGAGCCACAGAGACAGCCCAGAAATAATCACGGCCGTCCACATACCATTTTATGAGATTTCCATCTCGCTCAGGGAAGAAAGACTTGAAGCGATTAGACTCGCAGATCTTAGTCCGCTTGTCGTCACAGCGCTGCTCATGCTCCTCATCATGGCGATGATTGGGGTTGAACTGGATCACACTTGAGTCTTAGTCATCTCGCAATATTCAAAGGCCATGGCCTAGCATCAGGATTGAGGGACACCGTACCAAGTTTCCCAGTTTTCCAATCTGGTGCCTAGACACCAAGAGAAGAGAAAAATTATGTTAGAATAGCGGTCACGTGCATCTACAGGTTGAAAGAAAAGACGGACTTTTTGTGCACTAAAGCAATCTTTGCATCGTGCAGCTTAGTGTCGCTAAACTTTTCCTTAAGATCGTCGATGAGGTTTGAAACTTTGCCGCCATCGCTGGCCTTCTGTTGCGTCATGGTGGTTGCCCGCTTGGTGTCGTTTAGTATGGGGAAGCTGAAGGGAGGGGAAGGGAAAGATGAGCGGGGAGGGAGGGGTTATAAGTAATTCAAGGTAGAACAGAGCAGTTATTTATAGGTAGGGACAGACACTACTATACTTAAAAGGAGTGGTGCGAGGAGGACGGAGGAGGATGGAGGAGAAGGGAGGATGAGCTGTTGATGTAGGCATAGGGACTGCGGTGCTCTTACTCGGATCAGCTAGAGCCATGCAGGCTGATCTGCACCTGCAACCTGTTTCCATCTTCTTTTGGTCTTCACGGCTCACGGCCGATGTCATTGGCAACCAACAATAAGCTTAGGAAAGATAATTCCTGATCCGCTGCCACTGCCCATGCACATGCAGGCATCCATGTCGCCGACCCATTCCCCTCAAGGAAGCGGTTGTTGGTCCGATTTGCCATGCCGGGAACCCTGGAGTGAGCCCGTATTGGACTCGGACGAGGATTTTGGAAAAGAAAACCACAGGCAATAAGCGGGGAGACACGTCATTGCTTGGAATTGGGGGTCTTTGCTTTTCTTTCAGCTGCTCTCCATATAATTCAAATGAGCTGCGTGGAGCAGTAGTCGGAAGCTACAAGTATTCAGCCCTCCAATCTTACCGTCACGGTATTGTCAATTGCTATTCGCTGTTGGGTGCGGAAGTGCTAAAATTCCCATTTCCTGCGATGGTAAAGGAAGCCCATTCGCCCATTCACTCCTCAAGATCGCCGCTGCAGTGAGGATCGGTCAATTGTTTGCATTAGCCTGGGTCGTGTGTTCCAAAATTCAACGTCCGATTATCTTGGTGATTGGAGGACGCGACATCCTTGAGTCTATGACGTCAGGCCAAGGATGCTCCCACCAGCTCGCGCATTGCAACATCATGCTATGCCTTACTATAGGGTAGGCCTCTAAAGACAGGTGATAAGATAAGACTGATAAAAACGATCTGCGTGCCCCACCTTAAGATTAAAAGCATCAGGTATAGGTTAGGTGAAGCTAAGTTGTATTGTCGTCTCAGTGACCCCGCAGTCAGGCAATGTTGTCTTCTCTGCAACTGGACAAAGTAGGTCTAAGTATTTGCATCTCTCTCCTTGACGTTCGCAGGCGTTCGCATGGAAGTGGAAGCATACCTAAATTTGAGGATTCTGGACGCTGCCACGCGCAATGTACCTTGCCTCGTAGATAGTGCGTACTATCAATCTCAACAACCCCTTTATTACTCTCTCCCCGTCTAGTTACCCGCTCCTCTGTGAATACCAGTGTCAATTCGGCGTATTCGATACAGCATGTACTTCAGGGGAAGCAATTATCAGTTCTTGGGTCATTGTAGGCTTATAACACACGTTGCACATAGTTGGCAACCTTCCAATTACACCTGCTCCTGGCCTGCCCAGGCTCAAAGGACAGTGCAAACACTGTGGCTTCTGCTTCGATTCGACTGGGAAGCATCCATCAACCAGCACTGTGCTGCCAAGTACCCCTCTGCGTATCATTTAGATGAGTGGAGCAATAAATGGCGAGAGTCTGCAGTTCTGGACCATTGCCCAGGGGTATGGCAATAGTAGCGGCCCCTCAATACGCCACAACCTACCCCACCATTCGAGCTTGACCGCTCAACGAACACCTCATAGCTACAGAGCTAGCAACTGCTTAAGGAACCAAGACCCTTTCCCCCTTCTCCTTTATCAACCTTCAACCTTTGGAGATTCATCAGAAACAAATCCCCATCCATACGCATCATCATGTCTGTCCAGATTCCCGCCGGTGGCACAATTGTGCAGACCTTCAAGAAGTCCTTCACTGATGTCCCCATCGGTGCCGACAATTCCATTGCCACCACCGAGTTCCTCGACGCTGCCGAGTCCCTCACCACCATCTTCGGTATTTGAAGCTCTCGATGTGACAATTCTTACCTCGGGACTTCGCTCTAATCGCTTGGGGGTTTTAGATGTTCTCGGCTCTGTAGCTTTCTCCCCCGTCAAGAATGACTTGGGAGGCAACATCAAGGTTCGTGCCCCTCACCCAAGCAATGACAATCCATTCGACTAACCTCTCTGCCCCCTTTCCACAGAAGCTCCGCGATCGCCAGCTTGCTGCCCCCGCCGACTCCGAGACCATCCAAGCTCTCGTAAAGAACGAGCTTGCCACCAAGAAGCATGTCGCCACTGAGGGTCTTCTCTGGCTCGTTCGGTGCGTATCTATCATAGAAACCCCTATACCTCGTGGCCTCCCCTAGCCACGCTTCAGGAACACATCAGTTAACACATCTTCCTTGACAGTGGTCTCGAGTTCACCTGCCTCGGCCTCAAGGCCAACGTCGCCAACCCCTCCGAGGAGCTCGCAGACTCCTTCCGCAACGCCTACGGCTCCACCCTCAAGCCTCACCACAGCTTCATCGTCAAGCCCATCTTCAGCGCCGCCATGAGCGCCTGCCCATACCGAAAAGACTTCTACCCCAAGCTCGGTGACGACCAGGCCAAGGTCTCCGAGGAGATGGCGGCCTACCTTGCCGCCCTGGAGAAGGTCGTGGGCATCCTCAAGGAGTTTGTCAACTCCAAGGAGGCCAAGTGGTAAACCCAGCGGCTTCAGAAAGCTGCGGTAAATATATGTGGCAATCTTGCCGTGTTTAATACAGATAAATGATGGCAAGGGGCGTGTCGCGTGAGGAAACCCCATAATCTAGGTTCTCAACATGATGCGTTCATATCAAACGAAACAAAAAATCCAACAGGGCTGGCCGTATTCTGGCAGCAGATTAGTTCTTATCAAGGTACTAAATTAGGATTAGTCACTCCAATATACCACTTGATATTCCGTCTCTAAGAAATTGAACCAGAGTGAAAGATAACAAGACTACAACTTGTCCACACTGGCGAGTGCGTTCTCCGAAGGATTCTTAGCCCTAGAAGTACGTAATCATAACGAGCCGGCTAAAAGTGAAACATTATGTATTCCCTCACAGGTTCGGTCTTGTTCACGATGACACCGGGGGTTAAAGATGCACGGTGTCCTTAGTTGTTCCATGTTAAATCGAGATCCATGGATGGAAACCTAGTCAGAGGTCGAATTGTACTGAATTCCATGAGTGGCACGCTTTGGTTGGCTCCAAATTTACGAACCAGCAAATCAATGGCTTAGAACCCGCCAAAAACCCATTTATTATATATCGAGCTCTATGTTCTAAGCTCAGAATAAAATATGTAAACAAATCCAGAACGCATGTAAGAACCTCTCATGTGTGATCCGCTGTGTACTCTAGATCGCTCTATGATAGGAATGACAATCACGCCAACGCTGATAATATGGACAAGACAAGGCAAGACGAGAGAACAACGCCCATCCGGAAAAAAAGTGTAGTACAAATCATCCCATCCGTCTGATCATGGTCGCAACTGAGAGGATCTCTCTCGTTGTAACTTTTTCTCGGTGTTTCGCACCTCGAGGGCGGACACGGCACGTATTAACAAGCCCGTGGGCCGGTCGAGCCTGGACTTCTTCGTCCGCACAGTCCTTATCGAGTCTTTGTCCGTCGTGTCGCCGCCCAGCCAGTCGGCCATGGACTGGACTGCAGCTCCGTACTCGACAGCAACGCTCTCCTTCGGGGCCATGGGAGGGGGGCCGTCCCAGGCATGCTTCTCGCCCTTGACGACACGCATCTCGCATTGCTTTCGATGGTCTTTGAGTCTGCTTGCAAATTTCATCCCCTCGAGGAGAAGCATATCGTATTCGCACACGCAAAGGTGTATAGGAGGCAGCTTCTTCACCAGCTCGTCAGACATGAGACCCGGAGACAACCTCGGGTCCGATCGTTTTTCCCGCGGGATTGGAGGATACACATATGAGGCATCGATGAGGTCAGTCAGACTCTTGGGCAGAGTGAGGTCTGGCCGGGGACACTGCTCTCGCTTCTCAGGCCGTGACATGGTGTAGTCCAGAGTGGGGTAAAAGAGCACGAGGCCAGCAATCCTCGACGGGTGGAATGGAAGCGTGTAACCAAACTTTTCGGGTTCCTGAAGACATATCCATGCTGCCAAGGTGTTGGTAGCGCCGGCTGAGAAGCCCGAAATGATGATCTTGTCTGGGTCGATGCCGAATTCGCCAGCGTGTCGGGCTATCTGACAGACGGCATCCACGCAGTCCTCGATGGGCGTGGGGAAAGGGAAGCTCGGTGCGAGCCTGTAGTTGACGGTGAAGACAACAGCGTCGAGCTGGCTCATGACAGTCCCTGCCCATCGGGCATTGTCAGTCCCTTGGCCGAGAATCCATCCGCCACCGTGGAATGTGATTACTGCTGGGCGAGGACCGATGGAAACTCTCGGCGGGATCCATACCTCGGCCTTGATCTTCTTGGGGCCACTTAGCAGGGATAACGTCGAATCCAGGTAGATCTCCCGAGTGAACTCTGGCACTGGAGGTTCTGCCCTGTTGGCAATGCTGAAGCCGACGCTGGCGGCATATCTGATCAACTGGGCTCGGGCATTAAGGTACCACCGAGAACTAGACTCCAGAGGGTTTACATAATCCCGAGGCTCTGGGGTAGTCGGGTTGTCGACACTACTTGCTTCCACCAACTCCATCAGAAGATGAGGAATCGGATGGAGAGGATAGAGGTGGGGTAGCTCAAGCAGAAGGAGGGGGCCCTAGACCGAGCTCTAGTGGGGTGAGAGAGGAATGAAAGGTCAGAATCATGCAAACACGGATGTTTAGGGTGAGTGTAGATGCTGCAGGTCGGAAACGCTGGGAGTGAGGGGATTGGCTGCTTGGATGCAGGTGATAATCGCTGCCGTCTAAATCATCCAAGGCGGTCGGACCCCGTGGAAAAGGCGAGAATCCGGTGCGGGAGACCCGAAGCTAAGAAGGAGGAAATGAGAAGAGGAGGGAAGACGGATAAAGCGGCAAAGTATTGGGCGGGCTCAGTGAACGATTTAATTCCATTGCAGCGCTTTTGGGGGGCAGAATTGGGGGGAGGCTAGAAGCAAGCCGACAGGGCTAAAGGCCTGATTTTAGGCGCAGATCCCCAAAAAGGAAAAAAGCAAACCAGAGGACGGACCCTGATCTCATTAATCGCGGTTGCATGCTGCAGTAGGCACGACGACATACGAGCAGCCCACATGAGATTGATCTGCAAGGTTCGAATAGGGCTGATGGAATCTTAGCCAGGATACTAATAAATCACGCTCTCCGCTAGTGACGACATTTTTGAAGTGAAACTTGGGTTTATAAGAGCACAGTCATATCTATAGGCCATGTTAGCGCTGCATGGTGCCGGCCTCCAGGGTGAGCTACAAAACTTTATGTGACTGTCTGTGGAGAGAGAGCGGGCGTTTCCAAGCAGCCATGATATTGGTTATATGCTTACTAGTAGTGACAAATATTACAAGTCTTGGTCAGCGAGCATCCTAAGCGTGATGAAATTTTCAACAACTCCAATGGCGGCGGATCCCAACGGGCGGCACCCAGCTGAACAGCAATCACATGCGTTACTATTATTGTCGTAGCACATGAGCACTGAGCTCGGCCAGTTTGCGAGTTTTCGCATGATTGACGACCGGACCAGGGACCTGGACAGGATTCAGGGAATCGGGCATTCTTGGACTTGTCGCAGTCCGCACGACCCGAACGCCCCGAATCTTGGTGGCCGTGGTTGACGTCACATTGGGCTAGCACCCCCTGTCCCGCCCGTGGCTACAGCAGACCTGTTTGTGGGTGAAGTCAGGGCGGCTCGTACGGTACGTGACATAAGCAATTGCCTCGCACAACTCAGACATCTCAGCTGAAATGGCTGATTGGCAAACCAGCCGGAGGTGAGCTCCGCGAGCCAATTTCGATAGCAATGATGAGCGCATCTATGACCAAACCACAAGTCAGGTTTTCTGCGTCGATGTCGATGAGACGAGGGGTTACCTCGTGCTAGCGAAAGCCGCTGTCAAGCCACCAGCGAATCACACATGTCTGGCGATAGACGGGCCCATGCCCTAGGGCGTGGCGTCCAGTCTCGGTAACTCGGTACCTTAACCCTCACGTCTGGTCGCCATTCAACGGGCCACGAGGTCTAGATTCGGAAGAAGAAAGAACAAGGGGGAAAAAGGTTGTTTAATCCTCCAACGTCCGAGCGATGCGATTGGCGCCTTCCGTGGAAACGGCCGGAAAGTCGCTCCTGCGGCCACACCTGCGTGCCGAGGCCTTGTACTGGGTACCTGCCATGCACCGCGCCTTCCAGGATGTAGTGGCAGGGATCACTGCCCGAAACCACTGCCGGGTCACTGCCGCACATGCGTGTAACCGCCCATGACCTCACCACTCCCCGGGCGCCCAGTAGGGATGCAAGTATCCAGATGTAGACGGGACGTCTGTAGATTGGCGTGGATGCATCGGCACCGTCCCAGCCACTTCCCATCTCTAGCACCTGCGTGCCTAGGCCGACTTACAGGCGCCTTACAAATTCAGACCAGCAACGTTGTCGTTGGAGTCCTGGAGCAGTCCGGCCCCATTTCTTTCAGCATCCATCCGTCTCCTTGCAGCGTGGGCTAGCTCAACCAAAAACCGCTCCTAAAAGCTTCTCGCTGTCTGACTTTTCGCTTCCTTGCCGGACTTATAACCATTGCCCGTGCTGAAAACCCTTCCGGCCGGCCCCTCTACACCCTTTTCTGTCTTCTTAATAATCGCCTCTCCCCGCGCCACTGTCTACCAACGCTTTTCCATCTCACTCATCTTCTCTCTGTACCACCTGTCCTACCTAGCCTAGGTACCAGTGAATGGGGTCCATATAACACCCTGGACCTTCGATCTTCAATACGTCACCGACTGGTCAACCATCGGTCGATCCCGTCCTTGCGACCTGAAATTTGCCCTGCCAAGCTGGGAGATATTAGTTGGCTCGACATCACCACCATTTCCACTTGGGCAAATTCATTGTTTACAACTCTGGCCGACGAGCCGAGAATACAACATGCCTAGCGCCTCTGGGATCTTTGCCCCTGTGGTATCCGCCCTCGGGCTACCACATCGCTCTCGAAGCAAGAATAGAAATGGCAAAGGGCAGTCGAGTGATAACAGTGGTCGGTCGAGCCTTGAAGGCGCAGCTACCAATGGCAACAAAAGCGACAGCGCCTCGACGATTCAAAAGGACTCGACGGATACAACACCTGCCGTCCGATCCCCGTTAATCGAGACGTCTACGGTCAACGAGAATCCCACTTCTAGCCGTGCGCCGACCTCTCCCGTGTCCCCAGCATCTCCGACCTCGCCCACTATCGCCAGCAACCTCAGCCTCAGCTCCAACCCCAAGCGAGTCAGCGCTGGTGTCTCAACTATTCCTGCGGACCACCGCAAACTGCTTGCAAAGATGAATGACAGCGGCGTTGAGATCAAAAGCTCTACGCGCTCCAGCCTGGACATAATGTCGGCCAGGTCTAGTATGGATAGTGGCCGCAACAGTCAACGCACAGGCGCTAGTTCCGAGTTACTCGTTCATCCCAACGAGCTCAACACAATCTCGCAGCTCGACAAGCTGCCGATTGGTACCGAGGTTGACTTCCGTGCCCGGATTCACACCCAGCGCCAGCTCTCCAAGGCATTGGATTTCCTCCTCCTCCGTGATCAAACACATTCTATTCAGGGTGTCCTGTCTCGCGAAAACATGGATATGGTCAAGTGGGTTCAAAAGCTGAACCCTGAATCCCTCGTGCAAGTTCACGGTGTCCTCAAGGAGCCCCCAGAGCCTATCAGATCCGCTACGCACTCCGGCGTAGAGGTTGACATTGACTCCATCTACCTTGTGAATGCTGCCGCCAGCGCACCCTTTAGCAACTACAAGCCCCCGGAGAGCCTGCGTAACCGCATGGCATCACGCATTTTAGATTTGCGTCACCCATCCAACCAGGTCCTCTTCCGTGTTCGTTCTCTAGTAACTCGGGTGTTCCGAGAGACCATGGAGAATAAGGGTTTTGTTGAAATTAACACCCCCAAACTTCAGCCTGCTGCAACTGAAAGCGGTGCGGCCGTATTCAAGGTCAACTACTTTGGTAGAAATGCCTTCTTAGCCCAAAGTCCACAACTGGCCAAGCAGATGTGTGTGTCGGCTGACTTCCGTCGTGTTTTCGAGGTTGGCCCTGTCTTCCGAGCGGAAAATTCCAACACCCATCGTCACCTGACTGAATACACCGGCCTCGACATTGAAATGGCTATCGAAGAGGATTACCACGAGGTCATCTGGGTTCTTGATGACTTCCTCAAGGCAGTATTCGAAGCAGTGTACTCTCTGCCTGAAATCGAACTCTTGCAGAAGCGGTGGCCTAGCTCCGAGTTCAAATGGCTGGAAGAAACCCTGGTGCTCGATTTTCAGGAGGGTCTTCGTATGTTGCGAGAAGATGGACGAGACGTCGAAGAGGAAGATCTCTCCACCCCCGACGAGATTCGACTTGGGCAACTCGTCAAGGAGAAGTACGGCACTGATTATTACATCCTCGACAAGTTCCCGGCCAATGCCCGCCCCTTCTATACCCACAGAGACCCCGAAGATCGCAACTGGACTCGGTCTTTTGACATTTTCATCCGTGGCCAGGAGATTTGCTCTGGCGGCCAGCGTATCCACGACCCCGATGAGCTACGCACCAACATGCTGGCAGCTGGGATTTCCGAGGATGGTATGGAAGATTATCTGGCTGGTTTTGACCTTGGTGCACCGCCTCACGCTGGCGCTGGTCTGGGCCTTGAGCGTATTGTTAGTTGGATGTTGGAACTCGGCGACGTTCGATACGCGTCCCTCTTCCATCGCGACCCCAAGTCGCTGCCCGAGCGCAAGCCTGGGTTGCCTCACCCCGAAGCTGACACTACCAAGCCCCATCCAAATGACACAATGCCACCCCTGGAGAAGCTTATTGCCAACTATGGTGATGCTTCGAACACCTCCTGGCTTGACGACCGTTTCGAGGTATGGAGACATCCCACTGGTGCTGCTGTGGGATATGTGAAGCAGGAAAAGTTTGCCATGATCACGGGCGATCCCCTCTGTGATCGGACTCAGTATAAGGAGGTTACTTTGGCCTTTGCCAAATTTGTGACGCATGAGCTTCATCTGACACCAATGTGGATGTTGGTCTCTTTTGATATCCAGAAGATTTTGGCCCAAGAACTGGGATGGAGGACTCTGTCTTGTACGGAGGAGCAGCGGGTTGATGCGGACAAGCACCAGAACAGTATGGGACCCAAGACCCGACGAGTTGAGCGTGAGGGTGTTAAGATTCATGAAGTGAAGTATGACGCGGACTTCATGAAGCGTGTTGACCCTGCAATTGAGGAATGGAAGAACTCCCGCAAGGGGAAGCAAGTGCATCTGACTGAGGTTCGCCCGTGGGTCGATCAGGAACATCGCCGTTACTTCGTCGCTGAAAAGGACGGCAAGGTCATGAGTTTAGTCGTTCTACACAAGCTCGCCCCACGTCACGGCTGGCAAGTCAAGTGGGCACTTGATTTCCCAGGGGCCTTGAACGGTGCTATCGAAGTATTGATCAACTTCGTTCTCTCCAGCGTCTCGGGTCAAGTCACCTTTGGCGTAGGAGTATCCGAGACGCTGACTCCTGGCGAGCATCTTGGTGGCATTCGTGCTAAGTTCCTTGCCAGCACATATCGCTCTATTGTCGAGAATCTTGGTCTTCGCCGCAAGGCTGACTTCCGCAACAAGTTTGGCGCTCTCGGAGAGGAGGTCTACATCTGCTACCCCAAGCATGGCGTGGGCCTGAGAGACCTGCAGCAGGTCGTCAAATTCTTCCAGGATTAAGCTAATCTTGTATCTGCTATGATGAACGCCATAACGAAACATCAATTCTTAGCCAGTCTTTAACTCGCCCTTTCCTCAGGCAGGCCATGCCGGCTGGCATGATGATACGGGCTCATGCGCAATTTTTTTTATCCGAGATACCTACTTCGCTTTGTCTTTTTGTTCTTCCTGATTCCCCTTGAATATTGGTGGGCATGGTTTGTTTTCTCTTTTTCTATTAGCTGGGTCACTGTTGGGCTTCTCTCTTTTCTGGCTCCCGGCTTCGTTTGGGGTCTTGGCTACGCGCAGGAGCAACATAATCGTAACAAGTAAACTTTTCGCAAGGAGGGGATTCACTAGATACCTATATATCGTCGATGGGATGGATGCAAAGATTTCTGGAAATGACATATCGGGAATTACACCTTGGGCTCTCGCTACCTAGTTTTCAATAGATGAATACGCTTATAAACCATTTTTTCTATATTCACAGCATCGGGTGACATACTTCATGATGGTAACCTCACGTAGAAACGTTTGTGGAAGCTGGAGAACCGAGTTCTGAATTCTCCTATTTACTGGGTATCTTTGGGCTGCGTAAAGATGACATAGCAGCCACATTCAATTTTACCCTAAGCCAAACTCCTCCATCCTTGGCTAGTGATATAAAGGGTCATGACGTCTTCCAAAGAGATTATTGCCGATAAGCGACGATAGAATACCATAAAGGCATAAAGAGAATGCGACGAGCGCAAGTTTTCGCCTGGATCGTAAATGTCCAGACTAATAGAAGATGGAAAGAATGAATACCGAGGTGTGCTTGAGGGCCTGGTGTAAAAAGTGAGTCAAGGATGGGGATGAGCATCTATCACTCCTAGCTGTAGATTCCATTATCTTTCCAAATAGAAGAATTCCTTGAACGCCAGCCGAATATATCTGTGTCTGTGTTTCACAAATACGTCTTCAGCCTGAGCCTCTGCAATGACATACCGCCCCAGTGACGGAGAAGAAGTCCTACTCCTAGGATTGTCTTTCATCACGAGACGGACTGTTCCCGTTTCCTCCTCCCGAAAACCGTCCCCGTAGCCAGCTGATAGGGCCACCATTCGTAGAAGAATGCCGGGAGTCGCGTGTATTCTGAGAAGGGCTCCGCTGTCTAAACCGAGTACTCTGCTCACCAATACCAACTCCTCTAGGGCTGGTTGGCGACATTGAATTTCGACGTTGCATTCGCGAAGTGTCATAGCTCACTCCGGATGAGGTGCCTTGGCCTCTGTCCCTGTCCCGCTCATTATCACTCTCCCTGTCCCTGTCTCTCTCCGCTACGAACCGGAAGGCATCATGTAGGCGTGCGTGACTGCTGGGTATACGGATAGGCCGTCGGGAAGGGGGAATTTGCGTAGGCTGTGCAGGGGTTGATGCACCACTGAAGATAGCCGGAGAGGGGCTACGATCATCTGATGTGTAGCCTGTGGCGGGATTTGCACCGCTGTCTGTTCTTGTTCCAAACAGCCAACGTCCAATTCCCGACGGTTCTCCTGAGTGGGCTCCTGAATATGGTCCGAAACCGAATTCGGGATTCCTAATACCCGGGTTGTTGGATGAGTTGTCGCTCGGTGGCGTTGGGCCACTCCTTTCACGATTGCCAGCCTCGCTGCCCTGCTCACTCTTCTCGATTGGTGACCGACATATCGGACAGGTATTGTGCTCTTTCAACCACAGAACTACACAATCTTCATGAAACCAGTGTTTGCAAGGTAGAAAAATAGCCTTTTCGCCTTCTTTGAGATCATCAATGCAGATCGAGCATTCAGTTTTCGAATCCCGACTCAGCATTTCTTTATCCACAGAGCGCCGGTCTAGTTTGTTCAAGGCTTCTTCCGAGGCGGGTGGGGCTGCATTTGACTGAGGGTTTGCTTCCATCAGTTGAGAGATGATGCGATCTAAAGCTTCTTGTGAATAGACAGCATCACCGGCCATTGCGTTGGCAGGGTTGAGGAGTCCTAGAATGTCCTGCAGACCACGGAGGAATGCAGGAGAAGGAACATCCTGTTGTCGACCATCTGGTTCTCGGCCATCTGGGGGGCCTATGTCTCGCATTACATTGGCGAATATTCTATAAGCGAATTGTTAGCATTTATACTATTGCCCGACCTTTATCGGATGCTGAGGAACAAGATGCATGTCCATTACGTACTCTTGGAAAGGGTCCCCTCTACCCTCGATCGAGGGGTTGCCGCCAACACCTCGGACTGGACCTGAGAAGATTGTAACACTCGCAGTCCCGAACGGGCCACTTCTAAAGGTTGTTCGGTGAATACGAGCTGAGGAAAATTGACGTGCATGAGTTTGTTCAGGGTTGGCCTGGGGCTCGACTTCCGAATCATGATCGTGGTTGTGCGTATGATCTGTTTCATGGTGATGGTGATGATGATGATGGTGGTGTTGATGACTGACACCATGATTATGATGCAAGTCATCCCCAGGTCGCATTCCAGAAAACTGTCTCGAAGCATTCGATTGTCCGTCATTACTGAAGCCGTTTATCATATCGAAAAAACGGGAGATTACAGGCTCCATTTCTGGATTGTGGTGTTCGCGATTAGGACCCTGCCGGGTGCTCCGGTGGAAAGCGAACCCATGATTTCCTTCCATATGATCTTCGATATCAGCTTCGTCGGGATCTGAGTCTTCATAGTAGCGTGCTGGGCCAGAGGGGTCGGGCGACGTTGCACCGGAAGATTGGTCAAAGTCTCGAGGGTCGTTCTCTAGGCTGATCTGTAATACAATGATTAGTTATATATTCGTTATATGTTCGGAGATAAAGCAGGAAGACGGCAATGAGCGCAAACTTGAACGAACAATTTCTGTGATGTCACTCTCACACCTGGGACACTCTAGGCCATGCTGATCCCGATACCATTCGTTGGAACAGTTGTGACAGAATACGACTTCTCGATCTCCAGCTGCATCGAGATGGCCGGAATCTCTCCTAGACGACTCCATCGGCCGTGATGCCTGACTATTCTGATAGGCCCTAAGGGCACCTAAACCAAGGCCGAAAGCGAGGCCGGCCAGACGGATCGCTCGAGACGCCAGGGTTGATAATGTCGGCAAATCCGGTCAAGCACGAACCGAGAAGGAATAGTAGGGTTCCGACGCGTTATGATGCTTTAAACAGCGAATGGTGCTGATTGAGATGGGCCTTGGGTGCGGTTCATGGGATTAGTCAGTATGGTAGAATGACTTGATATCTCGGTCGGCTGCCTTGGCCGTTGAGTTGGCTGGAAATGAAAAAGCAGAGCAAGCTATGCGATAGGTGAAAGTGCTGTTAGGTGGTGTTGATTGCAAGTCTGCGAATTTCGGATCGGGGCGAACGAGTTGAGTGGCGATGAGGAAATGGGAATAAGTGTAGGGGTAAGATAAAGCCGCGAGATATTTGGAGACGGTCGGAAAGAATGGAAGATTGTCGAAGCGCTATTATATGAAGCAGGGAGTATACAAGAAAGGAGAGGGCTCAGAGCTCAATAGGCATAGGTAAAGGCAGCGCAAGGACGATGCAAGGAAAGATGGAAGCTGAAAGGATGGACGTCTAAGAGCTTCGATTATGCTCTACGGAAGTTGGGGGAGGGGCGTTTGGGGGTCCAGGTAATGAAGTCAGTCACGTTCAGCGGTCTCGGCTGGCTTGGGTAGGAACGTTGAGGCCGGTACACAGGCAGCAGTAGCCAGCAGGTACCCTGGCCGATCAGCCACGCCTTATCGTGCAGTAGCGGATACAGCTCAGCCGGTACATGACGCCTCGTACCTGCCAATACCCCAGTTCTTGGACGGTGCCAGAACAACCCGGAGCGTAACTTCAAACCGCTTTCTTCTCTCTCCCTCGGGGTCTTTTGTCATCTTGCAAGTGGCCAGCGCTCTAGGCATGCCATCCACGGCTGCTTTTTTCACATCAAAGGGCACTATATGCTAAATTATACCTGAGCCTTGGGTATAAGAAAACAAGCATTATCTCCATACTGAAGGTACCCGGTACTTGTCGCCTGATTAGCACCTACCTGGCCGCGCTTGAGGTGTACCTGAGCCACAAGTCACTCCCGATGGGCCCCACTGCCTCTGACTGAGTGACACCTGGACGTGCGTTCGTGTACAAGTGCCAGGATTGGATCGGCCTCCAAATCCCGCCCATTGTTCTACATGTGGCGTTGGACTCACACTGAGAGGACGCACAGCCACAACAGTGCAACGATCTCAAATATATTCAAAGCAAAGTAATCAAGAATGTGATTCAGTTGTAGAGGATAATGGATACCGGGATTCTATTGAACACGAGACCGGCAGATGAAAGGGGCAATCTCATAAGCGGGCAGTAGTAATGCCAATATCTAACAAGTGTATAAAATATGCGGTAAGCCGGACGTGGGACAGCCTGATGTTCTAATCTGCAACCATATGTTGCATAAAGGGTGGCTTGGCTCAGCCCTTAATCTGATTTGCACTTGTTACCGAGTGTCTGCTGCGTCTCGTGAAAGCGCTCATTGGCTTGAGAGGAATATGGCCGCACAATGCCATCATCGAGCAAGAGCACCGCTAATGCCGATAAACGAACGAAAGCTTCCCGTTGAGTTCCCAGATATAGATGTGATTATACTTCATAGGGAGATAGTGTAGAAATAACCTGGCCCTCCTCGTGCTTTCTATTACACATTTTGAACTAAGAAATAGAAAAAGTAGGCCGATATATCATTTGCAACACAAGATCCCGGGCCAGCGGCTCATCCGGCGCGTACTCTCCTATTGTGCGGCCCATCAGCGGCCTAATTTTATATCGGCAATAATGGCAGAGAGCTTCAATGTGTAGAGGATCTAGGGGCTTCTGGTCACGGCGTACGACGATGATACTGCCGACTGACTGCTGCTACTTAAAGCTTGCCATAGACCAGCCAGGACCTGCGGGGAGGCTGTCTGCTTTTGGATCACAGCATAGGTAGAGGAAGGTGGCGTTTTGGTTGTTGTCCGGGCTCTTGCTGCCGAAATCATACTGTCCCTTTGTTCTTATCCATCGGAGACTTTGCGGGCACTGGCGCGTGAGGATAGGGAGGCCGATGCGGTCTGCGATATCAGATGTATCCTTCCAGAATTGGCTGAAGACTGAGTCTATTGAGAGAATATCAACGGGCTTATAAAGTGGCTTGCCAAAGATTTTGCGATCCCCGAGGCAGTTGATCCTGATGCCCTTGACGACCTCCTGATGAGACTTCCCAGGGGTGATATCTAACGACCAGCGACTATATGCAATCAAATGATCGGCAATGTACTGGAAATTGTTTATATTAAGGTCTCGGCAGCTCTCAGGGTCCAGGCTTCGTCCGTCCCGGCCTACAGTGATAATAGGTCCTCGCCATCTATGAGACCCGTACGGTATCGTGGTAAGGATAGCTGCAGTGCTCTTGTTTGGCAAGGAACTATCAATCAAGAACGTGTCGCGATAGCAAATATTAATACTATCAGGAAGCCGCTTTTGCAGAAGAGCGTTAGTCTGAATCAGGGTGCTCGTATTTATCGAACCAGAGCCCATGAAGGGGGTTAAGTTGGGATCCTGCTACTTGATGCCGTTATCCTTATTATCACGCCATGGATAATTGAGCTATTGAATCTCTGGCCTGGATTGGTTTTGAGGGAAGATAATGCTTCTAAAATGGGTTTCCGATGGACGAGCTGACACGTCGAATTTGGAGAATGATACGCAGAGGAGCTTGTGGACGGGCCAGTCATCAAGCTGGCAATCCGGAGAGCAATACGAAGATAATTTGCACCGGGCACAGACGCGTGTCTCACAAATGGTACATGAATTGCCCGCAATGGAGCCGGGCACATGGCGAAGGTTGATGTGCATTCAGAGGAGGATGAGGAAAATTCTTGATGTTCTCGAGCGTTCGAACCCTATTCTGCTGATTTCGGTTAAGTATAGTGCTACATACATCTGACAGTATATATCTGATAGCGAGACACAGCAGTCGGATAGCAGTAGTAGCGATGACGACGACGAAGATGATAATTATTCTCCAATGCTAAGTCGTGTAAGTTGCTCCCTGGACGGCTTGTCCACGCCTGCAGTTATATCTGCTTCGCCTGATACGCCAATAACTGCTAATTGGCTATGGGGATGGATGCAGAGTGCATGCCGCTTCTTTTATTGGGACCACACGTTGCTCTTTAAGTTGTGTCTGCCGTCGTATGGTTATAGACTCGTGACTAAAGGCATTGAGTGCATGGATATTGCGCGGCTACATCGCGAGAATCAGATATAGATCACCGGTAGAGCCTCCATGGAGTCTTTATCCCGGTGTCCTTCTGCCCTCTCTGAACCCTCGCCATCTCCTTGAGTGGTCTGTCAGTAATTGACTCAAAGAACTGGAACGCCCCACGTTGGCAATGACGGGCGAGGGTGATAAAGGCAGTGACCCATGAAATGAGGCGGCCACCACGGCGCGTGTGAGCATCAGAGATGGAAGAATGAATATTTTAGCTTCTATTCGAAATTCCTCTCACCCGACAGAGCCTCTCAATAATCTCCCACTGCTTTGTGTTGTATTGCTTTTGACGCACTATTAGGCCTGACTATGAATAAACTCGAAAATGGGGTGGGCATCTGAAGATGTGATGAATGCCTCAATGGCGGGGTTTTACGCAGCGTTAGATACCAGGAGAAATTTGGCCACATAATGCCATCATCGAGCGAAAGCACCACTGATGCTGATAAACGAACGAAAGCTTCCCGTCGATTTGATAGATATAGATGTGATGGCATGGCTCTCCATTCTTATCCATGACAGTATTTGCGACATAACCGCTCATGCTCCAGGGTTGTCGTACTTGGTGAATCATGTTGCAATTGGATATTGACAATAGACGCAAGTGAAATTCTGATTGTTGTACACAGTATTCTGCCACTTTATGAACTCTATTGCTTTTCCTGCGCAGCCTTGCGATCCTCCTCATCGTACTGCTTCAGCTGCTTTGACCAACTAAGGCGCATATCGTTAGCAAGACAAGTTCTGCTGCCCAACCGTCTCGAGACTCGGCAGTAATCAATAAAATCATGACGTACTATCGGCTAGGGTGCCATTCCCAGGGTTCCGGCTTGTGTGCCCATGTCTCCCTCTCAGCGCTGAACTTCCAGGTGACGGCAACAATGGCAGCGATGGTTGCGCCGGCAATGATGGTGTTGGCCTTCCAGTTGGCAGGCTGGGCATACCAACCACCGGCAGGCGACCAAACGTGCTTGGGGTAACTGATTGTTTCGGGGGCTGTTAGAAATGATTTCGTCGTCGAGACTCCAGATATCGGTCGAGGGATCGAACTCACGGGACCTTTGCGCCACCACCCTGAACAAAAGTTAGCCCAATTCTCATTCTTCAGCACGTAATTCCACTCACCATTGTGATATCTTGTTCGAGGATGTTCGGGAAAGGGTACTGGCCGCTCAATTGCGTTGCTTGATGATATTCCCTGGGCCAGAAGGAGGTTGATAGCGAGCTTCCAAATGCCCGCGACGTGAGTGGTCTGGCGAATTCGCCCGGCCCGGTTGATTTTCCGCCCGCTAGCTCCCTACGCCCACCCCCCGGAACGCTCACTCACACGACCCCGAACAGTGGCCCGGGCTTGTCACAGCTGTTTGAGCGCAGAACTTTTTCTGGGCCATCCACTACCGGTGATCTCAAGTCGACGAAGAGCCTCCCAGCGACAACCCACCCACCTCGCACCGGCACGCCTGCCTCGTTCACATCCTCGCCCTTTTCCCGAGGGGCTTCCAAGGGGCGCATCTACGAGGCTCTGCCGACTAATTGGCCCCCATGAAGGGTATCCGGCCCTCACGATGGGGTGGGCAGCTCCTCCACGCCCGCTCCTGTCCCGCCACCATCCCAAGGAGAAATTTCCTAGCCAGCGCCGTCCGCTGCCAATCGACAGTCCCAGCACCCGCCGCCGAGGACCTAATTGAACAGATCCCCGAAGAGGGGGAGACCCTGCCCAGGAAGCTGCCGTCTCCTCTGCCCGAAAGGGCCTTACAATCGGCCAAGCTCGCCGCCCTACACTCCCGACTATCCCTCTCCAAGAAAATCCCACTCCAGACTCTGGCACGAGCCCTCGTCACACCTTCGGCCGACCCCAACTCCAGCTTCAACAACGCAAACCTCGCCTTCCTGGGCAGCACCATCATCAACTACCATGTCGCCGAGTACATCACCTGCAAATGGCCTCGCCTACCCATGGCCATCCACTACGAAGCCCTGAGAGCCTTCTCCGGCCCCGACTCGCTGGCCCAGATCTCCCGCCGTTGGGGTGTCGAGGCCGCCGCCGCCCCCGGCGAGGAGGTCGACCCGGGACTGCTCCAATGGGCCTCCAACTCCAGCGCCCTCGTGGGCACCCGATGGGGGGGCTACGTCCGCGCCGAGACCGACCGCAAGCACAGCTTCTACCGCCGCGGCATGAGCAGTCGAGTCATCTTGGACAACGACTTCGGGGACGCCGTCGACGCGGGTTCCGTCAAGGACGCGCACCAGCACCACCAGGACACCTCGTTCTCGTCCTTTGTCCAGGCCGTCGTCGGTGCCATTTACAGCCACTCCGGCCGCGAGGCCGCCAAGGACTTCGTCGAGTCCCACATCCTCTCGCGGCAGGTCGACCTGTCGTCTCTGTTCGAGTTCCAGCTGCCGACTCGCGAGCTCGCCATGCTGTGCGCCCGTGAAGGCTTTGAGCCCCCGCTGGCTCGCTTAGAGAGCGAGACCGGTCGGCACTCCCGTACCCCCGTCTATGTGGTGGGCATCTACAGCGGCAAGGAGAAGCTCGGAGAAGGAAATGCCCCCAGCTTGGACTTCGCCAGGCGGAAGGCGTGCATGAATGCGCTAAAGTCGTGGTATCTGTACAGCCCCGGCAACAAAGTACGTGTGCCGAGTGACATGATGGAGGAGGGCGCAAAGCCGTGGAAGGCACCTCACATTGATATTGGAGAGGTAATCTAAAAAAAAAAAACCGAGCTCATGTAGCTAGGACATCCATGATCACCAATCTCATGATAGAACCGGAGTGTACGAGTGTATTTAACGCATATATTGAGTCGAGGTTTAGGGGCGCAGTCTACAAGTAGATGCTGGGTTGGTTCTCTGGGACTTGGCTGCTATGCTATCTGTAAAAATACATTGTAAAACAATGACTCTACGTATCAGCATTTAGTTATAATATATCCATATATATTATATATTAGGCATATGAGCTTCACGTTAATCTCTGATTTCTCTAACTAAACTGATCGCCGTCTCCTAGGAACCGACGTCGGGTTATGGAGTGATATCGCTCATCTCTCTGTTTCTTCTCGCCCTCTTCACGAAGCTTCTTCTTTCGTTCATACACTGCCCTTATTGTTGAGCGGATCTGCTCCTTCCCCTCATCATAGTTTGCACGTGCTAGGCGTACTACACCGTCAATCTGCTCCGGTGTGTAGACGAAATTCCATGTGCTGAGGAAATCCGAGGTGCCTGGGGACACGTCTGGTACTTTATCATTTGAAAGGAACGGGAGGTAAATGACGGCAATTCCGGCTTTGGGATGCATGAGCTGCCATTTGTCATCTCCAGATACGGCTTTGGATTTCGAAGGAGGGTCATTGGATTTTCGCTCCTCAGTTGAGCCAACCCAAACTGTGCAGTAACCCAAGTCACCGGCTTCTTCGTTTCCTGGATCGAATTTGGTGGCGTCGTTGGGGGTTTTTATGCCATTTCCGTCCCCAGCGGCCTCTTCTCGTAGATGACTTTGTTGTACCTTTGCTTCTTGTAGCCTTTTGTTGGCTTCCTGAGTTGTGCCTGCCGATGCCTCTTCTAATTCTTGAACTGTTTGAGAGACGGGCTCCCCAGATTTGGGCCATCCCACTCCCACGGGCCATCCCTTGATCCCTCGTTCTCGAGCATATCCGTCAGCTACAGAGAGCCAATTGTCAATTTTCACATCAGCAGACGCATCGAATGTAACCAGGACATCCACATTTCGTCCAGGGCGAAGCAACGGATAGATTGGGAGATTGTTGGACATGCCGGCATCCATTAACTGAATGTACTCATTTTCATAGATGCTTGCTGGCGTTGATTTGGGCAGTTTTCCTTGCATACCATAGGCAAAGTTGTGTATCGTAGCAGGGTCTATAGGGTGTACCTTGCTCAGATCCTCACTCTTCCCAGATATCAGGTCATCGACAGCACCCATACCAGCCATACTTTTAACAAGGGGCTTGATTTCTCGATAATAGTGATTCAGCGTGGCACAAAACGCACTGCCAAATATTCCCATCAGCAGCGGCATCCTGATCTCAGGGAGGTGGAAGCCATGCTCTGGCGGAACGTCCTTCCCGTTGTTGAATTTCCGGCCAACGGCCCAGGTCGGGATTCCAGCATTGAACTCTTCACAGAAAAATTCATAAGGTGTAAATTCGAACCATTGGAACCATGCCTCGCGGGCTGCCTTTTGCCGGGCTGCAAGTGAGCCGGCTGCCTCAGCTGGAAGCCCAGGTATCTCGTGGCGGACAGCAGTATAAATGGGTAGGGGGTTTTGGCCGTACTTGATGTACTCTCTTTGACTGGAGAGCTTGAAATCGCTTGCACTTACACCAAGGTCGCCTTTCGGAACCAAGTATCTCGCCCCAAGGAGCAGTCCGTAAACGTCGACAAGACCAAATGTGGCATTTACATCGCCCTTGAGTTTCTCGACCATACCACTCAACAGATATTTGCTAGTTGGCAATGAGACGAGAGACTGAAAAGCCACCGGCGGGTAAGCGATATGAATAGGGGCTCTTGCTTTGAGATGATCAACAAGAGCACTGATCCGGCCCTTTGTGAAGGACGATAAATAGAGGGCCTGGAGCCAGCAGCTGCCGCTCACACCGGCTGTGTAGGTGATGCAATCAAACAAACCATCTTCCTCAGTAGCTAGCATCGATCCTGTGCCTGCAATGAGAGCACGAAGGCCTCCACCCGAGCCACACATAGCAATAGTGGGAATATCATCTGGATGGATGTCGTTCTCTTGCAGCCCCAAGTACCTTGCGAGCGCTACCCTGATTACCCTCTTGCGCCGAGAAAGATACTCCTTCTCCTCTTTGCACAAGTCGGATGAAATGCGAACCTCAGCCGAATACCGGATCTCTGGATTGACCAGGGGATCATGTGCCTCTGACCAAATCTCATCGGCCAAGGAACCCGGGGAGATGGAGAGCTCGTGCTGGAGCTTCCGTAGATATCCTGGTACGAGTTTTGACCATTCGGGTAGGATGTAGTCAACCAACGAATCAGAGATTGCAGTCCATTGAAGGTCTACTGCGTTTGAGAAGGAGCGGAAACCGCGAGAAAAGTCGGACCATGCGGATGGGCTCGCAGCGTCATCTTCCTCGGCTTCCTCACGAGCCTGAGATTCCTGCTGCTGTCGATTGGCGCTTTCCTCCTTCCGTGACGCTGGATGACTAGAGAGCCGCGCGAAATCCTCGGATGGGTACAGTAACCAAACAAATAGCCCTCCGGTGATGATTGCGAGTGGTATCCTCGGCCTGGGACGGAGCCTCGTGCTATCACGTTTGCCGAAAACAGTGAAGAGACTCCTTTGACATTGGCGCGTAGGCAACCGCCCTTGTATAACCTGGAACCCGGGGCGGATCCTCCTCAATCCCCTACAAGAGCTGGGGAACGTCATGGTGCGGATGAAATGATGTCCATTCAATGATGAGTTAGAGCAGCATATCACCGCAGTGCCTGGGACATTGATTGGCTGAGGACGAGGTGAGATCGTGCGCAGCAAAGATTCGCATGGTAGGTGAATGGGACAATGGAAGAAAGCAATGGAATTGGCCAGGCAATTCAAGCTGGCCGCCAGCCTGATCTGGTCCTAGCCGATCTCGATCTAACTTGCAGCTTCAAACGACCATCCGGCAATTGTTGGGGCGACAAGGAGCCCTCGGCCGATCGAGCTTGGTGGCACTAGTACTAAAAGGTGCCGATTATCAGCAGATAAATGGGTGAGTTGGAAGAGAAGGAGCGGGTGAGGGCGACTCCTGCTTGCGCTATCGGGCGATTATTTCTCGCCTGTACGTTGCATCATTAGCATGTGCCAGAGGGCGGCGGCCTCTTAAACCTGGCTATTGCACGTCAATTCGGACAGCTGCTCAGTGTGATGAGTACCTACCTATAACATGGGCTTTGGTACGATTATTTATTGCGTTGTAAAATTCTACGAGTTTCTTGTCGATGTTCTGGCCTTACAATCAATGAAGCTTTAAACTACCTCTGTCTCGTAGGCGCCAGCATGCTGATCCGCTGCTTGCAAGGAACAGAAACCATTCGCATGACAGCTGCCGAAAGACAAGGCCGCCGCGAACGATGGTGGGGCAAGCGGGAATGGTGGGGTTGGCAATAAATTAAGTCGCAGTCGCGCAGAGCTGCAAGAGTTTAGTGCAAATCATCATCAGGCGCGGCTAGCGGGCGGTCAAGTCGCATTTTTTTGGGTACAATGTACCTGGGAAGTTTTCCCATCAGCGCAAGAAGCAATAGATACCGCAAACTTTATTCAACAACGGCAAAGAAAAAGGGAATTTGAGTCAAAGTCAGAAATTAGCGCCTTGGGCAATGCTGCAAGGCAGTGAGCCTTCCAATTGTCGAAAGCGTGACTCATTGGACTCGGGGCCAAAGAGTAAAGAGTCAAGGTTCCCTTAAGAGCCCTGCTGCGCGCTAGAGCTCCAAAAAGTGCCCCGCCACTCATTTTCTCATCCTAACTTTTTTCCTTCCAAAGGCAGCCTTGCGAAGAGTCACATTTCCTCTCAATCTCTCCTCACAGAATCCGGAATTAATCGACCACTGCACGTATTGTCTATTTAGGGATCATCAATTGTCGCTTCAGCATCACAATGAGCGACGCAACTGCTGTTGAGGAGCCCAAGGTGGCCGCCGTCGCCGCTGAGGAGCAGGCGCCTGTTGAGGCTCCCGTCGCCGAGTCTGCTGACAAGGCAGAGGCAGAGGCAGAGGCAGAGGCAAAGCCCGAGACCAAGGACGAGACAAAGGACGAGACTAAGACTGAGGCCAAGGAGGAGGCTAAGATCCTGAAGACTAAGGGTCAGATTGATTACGAGAACCCTCGAAACAATCGCAAGTTCGACGCCAGCGCTCGCGAGGTCAGCGACGATCCCGCTGCGATTCGCAAACAAGTATGTGACAGGTCCTCTGATGCTAAGTATGTATAGCGCATCTGCTAATTGATATCACCCCGCAGGTCGAGTTCTACTTTGGCGACTTCAACTTCCCCCAGGACAAGTTTATGTGGGAACAGTGTGGCGGCGAGGAAAACAAGCCCATCGCTGTCAAGAAGATCCATTCCTTCAAGCGCATGCGATCCTTCCAGCCCTACAGCGCTGTCGTCGCCGCTCTCCGCGACAGCAGCCTCCTCGATATCGAGGGTGAGGAGGGCGAGGAGACCCTCAAGCGCAAGATTCCCTACAAGCCGATGGGCGCCGTCAAAGCTAAGACCGAGGCTGCCACGGTATACGTCAAGGGCTTCGGTGACGAGACTCCGACCACTCAGTACGACCTCGAAGTTTTCTTTGCCAAGTTCGGTGACATCAAGGGTATCAAGCTACGACGTACCAACGAAGACTTCTTTAAGGGATCCGTGTTCGTCACCTTTGCCAACGAGGAGGCCGCGAAGGCGTTTGTCGGCCTGAACCCCGCCCCCAAGTGGAACGACCATGACCTCAAGATCATGACCAAGCACGCCTACTGCCAAGAGAAGAACGAGCTCATTCGCCAAGGCAAGCTCGAGCCCAACAGCACTAACCCTAAGAAGTTTTACGAGGGCAAGCTAGGCGGTGGCCGTGGTCGCGGTAACGACCGTAACGGCCCCCGCGACCACGACGACTGGAAGAAGCGCCGCGACTACGACCAGAAGAGTGGATTCAGAAATGGCCGCGGTGGTCGGGGCCGTGGACGAGGAGGCCGTGGTGGACGAGGCCGTGGCGGCAACCGCGATCGCGACTCCCGACCTCAAAGGGACGCTCCCAAGGAGGAGGTTCAGTCCACTCCTAATGAGTAAGTGATTGGTCTGCGTCTCTTGATTCTATGTTGATACTAATCTCCATCTCAGTGCCAAGAAGCCTACAATCCAATCCAGCTCAGAAGCCACCAACGGGAAGCGCTCACGCGATGACGATGGAGCCGCTGGGGAGCCTGCTGCCAAGAAGGTCGACGTCAAGGACTCATAGACGAGGGAAATAGTTGCGGTGGTATGCATTCGGGAAATGGGAAAAAGCAAAAACCGGCGCCATGACTTGTATTTGTGAATCATGATTGTTCAAGGGAAGTGGAAGTAACGGCAATTTGGGAGGCCAGTTCTTATTGCGCGCACATCTACAGTGCTCTTTTTAGGTATCCGTTCTATCTTTGTTGTCTTAAAGGGGAATACAAGGTCCCGATCTTGGGATACATCTAAAAAAAAACGACACGTCGTTGATCACACGGAGGTGCTTCTGCTGATAACCCATCTTAACACCCAAATCCCACTCTCAACATGAGAAAGATATCCCGTCGTCTATTTTACACGGGGTAGTCCAGCCGGCCATCCCCAATGACACCCCAAAACTCCTCGACGAGCTCCTTCTGCCCGCTGGGAGCGCCGCGCACGGCGAGGTACACCCTCTCCTCGAGCGCGGGGTCCCACGTCCCCGGGTTCCCGCCGGCCATCCTCCCTCCCGCCTCGCTGAGGATGGCCCAGCCGGCGCACACGTCCCACGCCCAGCACCCGCCCTCCCAGTAGCAGTCGAGCTGCCCCGCCGCGACGGCGGCGATGTTGAGGGCCGCGGAGCCCAGGGACCGGAGCGAGTGGCACATGGAACCCCCGAGTTCGGTGCTGGCGGTCAGCCGCCGGAACACGGCCGTCTTGACGTCGAAGTTGGCGCCGTGGCGGTCCGCGCCCCATTCGACGGCGACGAGGGAGGAGCCGAGCCCGTCGATTGCCCGGGGCGTCTGCGCCAGTGGCAGCCTCTGGGGAGTTGTTCCCCTCACGCGGGTCATGTATGCGCCCTGGCCCTTGATGGCGGTGTAGAGGAGGTCCTGCCAGGGGTTGTAGATGACGCCGACGGTGGGCTTGCGCTCGATGGCGAGGCCGAGCGAGATGCAGGCGTCGGGGAATGAATGGATGAAGTTGGTGGTACCTGGAGTTTGGGGGAAGAGGAAAAGTTCTGTTAGATGTTGCTCTGGCTGCGGGTTCCCGTGGTCTCGAGCTGGCACGAACCGTCAATTGGGTCAACCACGAATGTAGGCTCGGGGCCGATTCTCATCCCGGGCTTGTAGGTCTCCTCGCCCATGAATGAGATGGATGGGAAGGCGGCGGAGAGACGAGTTGAGACCATCTTCTCGACTCCCTTGTCGACCTCGGTGACAATGTCAACAGCTGGGAAATACTCAATTTTTAGTATGGATTTCCCATGCTTAGAATGGGGGGATCAGGGCATTGGTGAGCTTACAGTTCAACTTGGTGCCAGTGTCAATATTGGCCGGATTGGCGGCGAGCATCATCTTTCCAGCTTCATAAGCGACTTGGATCAACTCATCGTGGATGGCCTGAAGATCGAGATCCGCCATGTTGGGCAACAAATTTGCAATGAGCAAAAATTACTGTCGAAAACTATCCCGCCTATCCAAGCTTCTCACTAAGAAGTTCTCCAGACGTGCAACAGTCCCGTCATATGAGGGGTGATTGGCGGAGGGGTAGCTTACCCCCAACGTTTCAATGGCGGGGCAAAGATGTTACGTAGGTGGGTGGTAGGTATGCTCCCTACCTATGCCATCGTGGGGGCCTCTAACAACTACGACCACTAAACATCAAGTGCACATTCATGTGTGAGATGGACAAGCTGCTGTTGGTTGCATCCCCCAGCCATTGTCAGCCTTGGCCAAACAAGGCTGGTTGGCCACGTCCAGGTCCTCATGTCAATTGTAGGCGGATAGAATCATATCCGTACATACACATGTCCCTAGAAACATACATTGCCAGGATTTTTTTGGTCCCCAGTTAACACCTTTGCCAGCGTTTACGATCGCCGCGCAACGAAGACGATGTGCCACGAGGGGATTTAAACAGAGAAATAGAGAGACAGACGTAGGAAATAATTGAACCGGAAACCGAGCCATCGATGATACATGCGAAGAAAGCGAACGAAAAGAAAAAACAGCCTGCCTTCACCATACAATTGAGAAATCAACACACGCCTCCAGTGTTAGTGGCCTGAGAGTCACCCCCACTCACCCCAATATCCAGACACCGCATTCCAGGTGGATGATAGTTGAAGTTTCCATCCACCCCGTAACGCAGTGGTCTACCAAATTGGTTCCCCATGACCTCGTCATACATCCTCTCTGAACGCTGACCTCCGGCCCTCAAGACTGTTTCTGACGGGTGCCGCTCCCGGCGCTCCACTCATCGGCCTTGGGCTCACATCCCTCAGACTGGACGCCGCATCATCGTCGAATGGGTTCGCACCGGGAGCCCCGGGTCCCCGTGTAGTCGTCCTCCCCCTCTCCTCAGCGGCATCGAGATGGACAGAAGTCGGGTTCCTGCCGCCATAGTCGGCCGCGCCGGAGTACTCGGTGCTGCCGTGCTGGCCGAAGCCATCCCCACGGCCCTCCAGCTCCCTCTCCTCGTAGTAGCCGTAGCCGTCATCGTGGACCCGCGAGTCCCACGCATCATCCGGGTCGAGGCCGCCGAACCCGCGCTGCTGCCCGCTCTGCTCGTAGGCGCCCGCCGCGGAGCGCTTGTTGCGGTTGCCCAGCTTGCCGAACCAGCCTCTCACGCCGCCGCCGCCCGAGGCGGAGCGCGGCTCCCTGTAGCTATCGGATTGTTTCCATGGGATGTATGACGAGAGGGTGGGCGGTGGGAGCTAGATGCCATCGCATGATCAGTTAGCTTATGTGGCAAGAGAACAGCAGGCAGCTCGGCTGGCCGCAGCGGCTTGGGCGCACTGTATTTCCAGGCGCAATCAAGAGAAGGAAGCATCTCTTGAATGGGAAATCAATGCAGAGGGCCGTCACTTACTCCAAGTTTGCGTGCGCGCAGCTGCGTGAAGCCGACCCAGCCCACGACCGCAAGCACCAGTAGCACGGTGATCGCAATAGCGATGCCGCCACCTACCGACACCATGACCTCAGTGCTTCTCGAGCTCTCGATCCACGTTTTTTTGTCGGGTCGCTTCGGCGTTGTCGATCAAGTTGTGTGTAGGCCAGGCACGTAGACAGGTCCTGATCACTCCTCCAAAGTTCGTTCGCCTCGATGGTGGTTGGTTGATTGTGCGAAGTACTTCGGCTTGGGAGTGAGACAGCTCGAGGAAATCGAGGGTCGGGGGTCATCGCCCGTCCTATCCCACTGTAACCGACGCTGTTTGCGGTAGGATTCCTTCAATGGTGGGGCGTTTGCGAGATCCCCCAGAGGATAGTGGATGGTTGTGGGCTAAAATAGGTGCTTGCGCTCGGATTAGTGAGTAAGGCCCCTGTAAATTGCCCTACCATATTCCAGGAATCTCACCCAGCTGACTGCAGGCTGAAGCTGTCCCCCTCATAGCCCGCTCTCCAATTGAAAGTGTTGATAAGGCCTGAGCCAAATCTCTCACTAAAAGTTCTGCAACTTCATAGTCGTGAATGATGGATGTGTGAAGCTTAGCTCTACTGGGCCAGATAAATATTCATTCATCCTGTGCGTCCCTCGCAACTGCCTTCGGTAATAGATGGGCATCTAGCTTCTATTTTTGGATAAGACATGGACCGTGCAATGCCAAGGCTGCCATCAACAGCCTGCCGGTTCGCTCTCTTCTGCTTTCAATCTATGAAGGAATTCTAGGTAATCAATTACAAGACATCTACACCTCGCAGGTCTCCCATTTGCCACCCGACTTGGCAAACGATAAGCTGTCGATAAACGAGTCCAACTCACAGCGACCATGGCTATCGGCTTTGCACTTCGGCGTCACCACCCGATTGTTGATCAGAATCCTCACATATTCCTTCTCGTCAGATCCGCATTGCATCTTCTCCAGATACATGCGTGCAGCGAATGGCACTACCCAGGCAGCAGAGAAGCCACCAGCTTGGTCTGCTGGCACCCTGTGCTCCACAGGTAGATCAGGGACACCTTCGTATAGTCCCAGCGCAGCGTAGATGGATATCATCGTGTTGTCATGGCTGAAGTCTGCATAGAGTCTCCTGTCCAATGGAAACGTCTCAGGGGACGAATCGAGAGTAGAGTTCGTCGAGGTGTGGTCTTTGACCGGTTCGCCTGTCAAACGCGCAATCACCTCGTTGACATAGCCCACCCCCTGAGTTGGGCCCAAGGGGTTTCCGAAGCCGTAGCCGTACCACTTGTCTAGCGACTCGTAGTAATCATACCCTCGCCACTCATCTTCCGAGAATAAGCTACAGAATTGCGACGGCTTAGCGTTCTTGTCAGAAACCGAGTGAAAAGGACACAAGTCCATGAAATAAACAGTTTCGGTTAGACTCAGGTTGGCACCGGGCAGTTTCTGGTTGAGCCGCTTCGTGATTGAAGGCAGCCACCTTTCTTTCCAGGCAGCCTGCTTCTCATGCTTGAGGTCGGAGTATGGTCCATCCTCGAACCGGGAGCAAGAGCCGTGGTTTATGGAATTGTTAAAACTGTCGGTTTCGGGAATGATCAGGATGTCTTCTTCGGCGTGACTGCCACCATTCCCTCGAGCGGCATAGAGTCCATGGGTGAAGTTCTTTGCAGACGCGATCACCCTAGACGAGCCGGCCGCACGAATAAATGGGTCAATATCGTCTGCTAGTTTTCGGTAGCGCTTATAGAAGGCGGCGCCAGAGTCAACCATCTGCTGTTCTCCATAGATAGTAAGGTCGTCATTGCCAAGGGTATATGCGTAGTCGTCGAGAAACTCGAAGCCCTCCCCGTAGTGTGAGACTGAGCTTTGGATGTGCTCAATCAGATCCTTGTAGAGCGCCGACTTGGGGCTCGTAGGGTTCCTAGATCCATGGCGAGAGAGAACTAGGGCGAGAGTAATCTCACATCCCGCAGGAATACTGCCATCAATGTCTGAGGGCACTGAGAAGAACGGAGAATATTGGCCCCATCGGTGAGGGTTAGGCTTGCATTTGCCATGACGTTCACAGCCAGGAAGTGACTTGGCAAGATCACTTTCATATTTCAAGTCAGTGACTGACGGTGCGCAATGGACAAATGATGAAAGCAGAAACATACCCATAAGGAATGGCGACATAAAGTAACAGCAGAAGCAATGCGATGCCAAAGCAGAAGTAGCCGGCCTTCTTGCGCTGTTCCTTGACGAGATGTGGCCGGAATTGAGGCGCCTCGTCGTCCGGAACAGGAGTATATCTGTAGGTTGACTTCGCAATTCGAGAGAATAGCCATCGAATGCGTGCCATGATATCGGAAGCCATCTAAAAAAAAACAAGGGGGTGGCAGAGCCCTCCACCGCACGTAGGCCTGCTTGCTTCTAAGAAGAACCAGGACAGGGTAAACGAGTGAATCGACCAGGGCGGAAACTGGTCGTCTGGTGTGGGCCTTTATCGACTCATATCAGCCGCGCCGAAAGAAAATGGAAGATGAAGTTCATCGAAAGATAGGGCGCGGCGATTTGCGGTGTCAGTCTGCGGTGAAACACTCATATTTCTGACTCTTTGGTGCCCGAGATCAGCAGCGAAAGGACCACGTGCAAGCTACACCACCAATAATAGCAGGGCGCACTCTCTTGAGCGACAGGCTCCCTCTAAAAATGCACCGCCCACAGTTCCAGCGCAACACCAACTTACTTAGCGGTGCTGGGCTGTCAATTAGGCGCTGCAATACCCCTGCTAGCCGCTGGAAGTGCCCGCCCCCAACACAGTTAAATTGATCCAGCCAGTTGGAAAAGCCCCTGATCTGTCGTTCGTCATGTCTTGTCCTGCACCCCAGACGGATCTCACTCCCACGTTTTGAGCCCATGGCAGCGGCACTTGCAGATATCTAGCTTGCCACTGCCCTTCATATTACTGATTCGTTGCACGGATCCACCATCAGCTCTCATCATCTGACATGATCTCACGAGAGAGAGTACAGCATACAAAGTCGAATGATCCAGCATAAGCTGTGCTCAATTCCATGGTGAAGCAGCTTAACATTACGGCATAGATGTATCCATTACTAGTGTCTTGTCGATCTTCCTGAAGATCAAGTTCCAGGCGAAACCCAGTCGCCTTCTATTGAGAAATGACAGCCTCCAAAACAAGGTAGGGAGCTGCTCTCGGCAACCGCCCACGGATATATAACAACAGCCTGCATGTACACAAAGGAAAAGAAACACTAATATGACAATCCCGCTCATCTATACGCGCCTTTGAGCAAACCGACCTATTTACAGTACCCGTAACTCTATCAAGGACACGCGCTGCATGTCTGTGAATGTACAAAATGGTATCATTGACCCAAAACAACATGGGGGAAGACAAAACATAAGGAAAAACTGCTCATACAATGAATGCAGGTGGCAGAGTACTCGCTCTGCCTAGGGTGAAGAACAACCTCTTTTTCCAAAAGTCAGTTGTCTCTCCATAGGAACACCCTCCATTTTAGGGGCGGGTGTGCTTTCAGGCGACCAATTGGTTGGTGCCGTGCGTTGGTCATCCTCTGAATCCCAGGTAGAGACAGTATCCAAGGAATCAAACGATGTACGCTGAGCGGACCCTCCAGGTTGGACACACTGGTAGAATCCGTCGGTCCCTTTAATTGGCCGAGGAACGTTGGTGACGGAATCGAGACTCACATCACGTTTATGCTGGCCATGAGGGAATAGCCATGTCGAAACGCGAGAGAAGGATTTCTTCTTGCGTAACGGGGGACGGAGCACGAGGGGAAGAGGCGGCGCCAGCGTGGGGGTATGTTGCAGCTGCAATTTAGCTTCAAGATCGGCCAGGCCTTCTCCCAAACGCTCTGATGAAATAGGTGCAGGGAACATATGATTCAATGGGGCGGTGCGGGGCCGCTCAAGTTGGACACCAGAATTCAGCCTTTCGGCGAACGAAGGTGCGGCTGGCGGGAGTGCAGGTATCGATGGCATGGGTTCTAACTCTGGTTCGAAAGAGGTCAGCCAAGGAACGGCAGCCGAGTTCGATTTGCATATTGATGAAGACTTACCAGCCCTCGACTGGCTTGTAGATGGACGGCTAAGAGCATACAGACTCTGACGCTCAGCAGCTTCTTCAATCTGTCTCTGGAGCTCCTCAACCTCAAGCATGGCGTTCGCAACACGTGCTTTGATCGCCTCTATTTCTGGCGAAGTGTTCGCGCGGGGTCGTGCTTGGGACTTCGGTGGGATGTCTGGAGGACAAGTCTGATTGAATGACAAATCTTCAATCGCAGGCTTTCGAGGAATGTGGAACGGCACCGATGTATAGCTTCTCTGTCGTACAAGCTGATGGTCGTCTGAAAGTCGCTCCTCAAGAACAGCTTTCTCGGGGGTTTTGACGGGTGGGAATTCAAAGTGGGGAAGAATTGGCGATATCCGGTTGTTTGGCATATAAATGCTCAATTCAAGCGGACGAAGGTGGGGAGAGTGTTGACGCAAGCCATCCAGTCGAGGCTGTGGAGGAGGCGTTTCAACTGGAGGAAAATCGAACGAGCCGGTCTCTATGTGGCGGAAGTCGGACGGTGCTGAAATCTTGGGTCGCTTGTTTGGATTGGCTGGTCGAAAGATCTTCTTGAGACGACTGTCTTTACGAGTCGAAGCAAAGCTCTTTCGGGGAGCCATATCCTTCTCGTCCAACCCCAGGGAGTCAGAAGGTAGGGGTAGGATGGAAGGGCTGACCTGCACAGCAGAGGTATGTATCACCGTCTGTCTGCCTTTTTCCTCCGCGTCTTTGTTGATCAGCAAGTCCTGATCGGTATATCTGCCCACAGGCCACGACTTTTCGGTAGTAGTAAGAGACGGCGACTTACTACGACGTGACTTCCGGGCGAGACAAGAAGTCAACGGCGAACAACACATAAAGAGGGAAAAGAACCACGAGTACGAAGAAGCATGATTCTCATCTATAACCGGCATTGCTAGGACAGCTTCTCTCAATGATTCATTCCGCGGCGGGGAATAGGATGAGGATAGAATAAGCTATAAGACAGGGAAGGGGGCGAAACAGCGACCAGCGTGACACAGTCTGACGAGAATGACAAAACAGCATCGAATCAGGTGAGAGTAAGATATGTCAGAAAACAGGAGGGTAAGCAATGTAAAAAAGAAACAAGCAGGCAAAAGAAAAAAAAACAAAGCTAGAGCTGATGAGAAGAAAGTAGCCTTGTACCACGCCAAGGGAGAACCTCAAGTGTGAATGGGGATCGGGTCAGAGGACTCGAAAGGGATTGGGACCAGACCAATCCCAAGTGCAGAAACTGGATCTCGGACAGCTTTTATCTACGGAACAAGAAAGAACGTGGGAGCGTCATCAGGAGATGAGGATCAGAAGCAGAAAAGAAAGCATGGAAAATAGCTTGCTTAGCTCGGCTCCATTTTACTCGATGCGTGGCAAGCAAACACCTCCATCACACAGTCTTTACTTAGTCCCAAAGGGTAATTAACGCTGCTGCAGGCAATGGGAACGGTCCACGGTGCACCACACGACCAGGCAGCGCAACCTGACTGTGTATGATGGAGGTGAGGTTCCGCGGATATGATAGGCCAGGCCATCACGGCGGCTGGCCAGTCGGCATGGAGAAGAGTTGGATTCGGCTGGCTGGCGCTACACACCAAGATTGAAAGGCCCACCACTGGTGTAAGACGACCAGCCCAGGAGAGCGAGTCGACGGGCTGCATCTACACCCACATCTGCTCCCGCATCCACCCCTGTCCGCTGTCCTGCCACAAACGCTTGAACAGGGTGTCTCGTGGATCGCCGGCATTGGTCGGTTGCTTTCATTGCCAGGGCCATGGATGTCGAACCACCAGCCACTATATGTGGACCCCAAAGCGAAGCTCTGTTTTGGCCTGCGCTTGTCGCATCACGCGGCTCTGATTGGCGGTGCCAGAAACGAACCAGACCCTTGGCAACAGGAAACACGACAGGAATCTGACCGGGCGCGATGGGATAGACGTCCAAAACAGGGGAAAGAAAGGCCCGTTTCCTGTTTAGTTTGTTTGTTTTTGGAATGCTCGCTTCTTTCTGGCCATCCTCGCTCATTTCCAGGCGCGCGTTGGGCCTCCTCCGCGTGTGTCGCAGCCCGACATTTGTGGCAGCACTTGACTGGATGCCATCATTGCTTCGCTCAATGCGTGCTTGCCCATCTTACATGGTGTTTGGCTCGACGCCGTGTTTCGCAACGCAACTAGCTTGCCTTCTCTAGCAAAACACACTCTGCCGTACCTCGCGGTAAGGCGCGGTGTTTCTAAGAATATTAGTGTCGTCATCCATCAGCTCATCTCCTGAGTGGTTCGCGAGGCAAATGACTAACTCGCAGGCTGGCCCCATCGCAGCTTCTGGTTTGGGTGGGACACATGACGTGCGAAGATGCGAATGCTGCGGACCGGTGGCGGTTCACGATGCTGCAGAAATTCTTTCATGTGTCAATGAGTCTCCTTATCACGACTCATTCAGAGCTGATCGCCACTGTGTGCCAGTTTACCCGGTCATAAGCCCGTACGATGACCTGTATGACTCCCTCGTTTATGCTTGTCTCACTCTGATGGAGAACAATTGAGGCGAGGGCCTGTTGGGCTTCCCAGATGTCTCAAACTGCGTGCTCTGAATGGACAGTCAGCGCTGGCCAGGCAGATTGGGGCTCAGCAGAGAGTGAGGGGACGTTAGCCCGAGTCCAGTGCTCCAATGGAGACGACGGGAAGCGTTCGCATGATGATGAAGAAAAAGCAGGAAGCGTGGATGCTAATGCACTCATTATACCGCTTGTGTGTAAGTGTAACGTTTCTTTGCTCGTACAAATCCTGTGGGATATACTGCAAGTAGGTTGTTCCTGGTCGGAAGGAGGACATGTGCAAACGCTTCACTCTCCAATTACAAATCATACCAACAACAGGCTGTGTAGGTGTCGGTTGGGAAGCAAGTGGATGCACTGCCTCCAGGATATTAATGCATATACAGATGCACGCACGCACATGCATGAAACATCCAAGTCATCCAAAGGCACATCAAACATGCCGCCTTCTGATTATCTTGCTGCATGTTGGTGCGGCAGGAGCGGCTGGAGAGGCCGTAGGTACATTTCCGCAGTATGTAGATCCAGCATAATTTTAAGTACCCCGGTCCAAGCATAACGGGCTACTCCGCAATTGGTTCTGCATCGAATCAGGATGCAACTTTTTATCTTATCCGATCTAGTCCCAAACGGAATGGCGGGATGGCGGTCAGAATTGGCAGTATCCCAAAACTTCCAAACAATTTCCATGAACCGGATTCTGTATGCGGTTATCGTCGTCAAGGTGCCTATAAGTCCCTGAGCTTGTCGCAATGGGTAAGAGAGGTAACCACCATGCCGATGACCCGGCGGCATTTCGAAAACGCCAAAAGGTGACGCACGAGGTCCCAGCCGGCGAGGATGTTCTCTCGTCTGACCAGCTCAGAAAGCTCTTGACGTTCGACCAAGACCTGCATCGCGCAAGACATGGTAAGCCAATTCGGCAATACAAGACAAGCCAATGTCCATCTATGAAGTACCCAATGACTGAAATCATCAATTTATAGGCCTGAGCTCATTCAAGCGTCTCCTCGATGACATTGTCGCCAACCAAGACGACCGCAATGCGAAAATCAACCTCCTACAAGAGTATCTCGAAGCCGTCAAGCCAAGGCAAATATCTGAGGATGCAGTACATCTCAGCGATATCATGGAGATGTGGTCTTTTGCAGTTCAAGTCAACAATGATGGGGTAATGTCTTCGGCGGTTGTGGTTCTTGCGCTCCTCCTGCACGTAATCTCTGACTCGCTTCGCCTGGTCCCGTATGGCCTCGACATCTGTCGCACTCTTCTTCAAGAACGACAATTAAAGTCTTTGTCAAAGAATCTTTCATCAGAGAAGGGGAAGGGTTTCGTTCTTTCTCCTACCCTTCGGCTCTTGAAAGAGATCGTCAGCCTCGATGGTGGAGCTTTCGCTAAGCAAGTTTTCCGAGCTCGTAGCTATACTTTTGCCTATCTCGGTCGCAACCTGGAAGTTGGCAACACCGGTGAAGGTCCTGAAGATGCCAAGAAAGCCTCTGTGCGGACCAATGCCGTTAAATTCTTTCTGGCTTGTCTGAAATTCTTGCATTCAGACGGGCGCAAGGAACTATTGACGCAGAAGGAGTTGTTCTCTCATCTGACGTTCATGATCAAGACTGATGCGCCATGGCTTGTCTTGGAAATTCTCGACGCCTTGAAAACTTGTGTTTTGATGGACGATAAGATTCCCCGCGATGTCAAGTTCAAGAGCTTCAACACCAAGACTCTCACCAGGGTTCTCGGTCTCTATACCTACGGAACTAGCGCCAATACAGACGAAGAGAAGGCGTCGGTGGCCGACAAAGCACACGAGTTTCTTCTGTATGTGTGCACAACTCCTGAAGCTGGTATCTTGTACTCCTCTACGGGACTCTACCCCAAGCCAGAGTCGGATGAGCTCGTTGGAGGTCGAAGGAGAGGCAAATTCGCTGGCGTCGAAAGCGGCCTGGCGGACCATAGTTTCAGCAAGGGGATTCCTGTCTTCAACTTTGTTCTCTCTGAATTCGCTCAGAAACTCCGTCCCTGGTCCAGCCTGAAGCATAGCGAGCTCCTTGTTTCGATGTTTTCCGTAGCCCCGGAGCTCCTCGCAGACTATTTCTTCACCAACCGTTCATTTACATTTGAACCAAAACTCACAATGACCTGGATTGGCTACGCAACCTTTCTCTTTTCCACAATGCAACTTCCGTTACCATCGTCGTTTGGAGACAGGTCCCAATTCGCACATACGCCACCACCTACCACCATCCTTCTCGATAACATCATTCCCCTCCCGATTAATCAAAAAGTCCTTGTTCGATGCCTCTCACCCAAGTCAAACCTCACATCATTCTTTGCAACAAGACTATTGGTCACTGCGCTGGAGAAGCTGGCTACGGCAATCAAAATGCACGAAACAGCGACCGATTCTAAAGATCGTGCTGTCTGGGAGGCAGCCTCACGACGTCTGATCGATGCTTTCTGTCAGAGAATCCCAGACATGAAGGAGATTGTGAGATCATATAAGACGATACCGGTAGAGAACTATCTCCATCGGACTCTGGCCACTCGGTTGATCCGGCTATACTATGAGGTGATACCACGAGTAGCACTTGCTGCCAACTTTGACGTGTCTCCATTCTTTGTGGATGTTCTTCGAAGTCTTGACGACGAGGCAAGTGATGCCGAGGCCAGATCGTTTGGTGTCATGCAGTTGGAGAATCTCGTTTCCATTGCCAGCTTTTCTCCCGGTATGCGATGGTTCTCGAAAATTGACAATATTTCAAACGGTGCATCTTCATTACCTTTCACAGCCCTTCTGCGACTGTTATGTGTCGACAGCGAGGATTCTCCATCCCGACAGATTAACAAGGTCCTGACTACCGTTGCTGTTGAGAACCAGCTTGTTCTATCCACCACTGGCATCGCATCGCTTCTCCAGGCCCTACGCGCCTACAAGTCAAAAGACTCGAAGGGTATGGTTTCTGTGTGGAGCTACTTGGACAACTGTATAAATCGCTGCGCATCCTCGCCCATCAAATACCTCGAAATGTTACAATTATTGGTTGAGGAAACGAAAATATCGGACGATGACCCGCGCTGCCCTCTGCTCATGGTGACCTTGGTAGAGCAATTGCAGTACCTCTCATCCTCCGTCGACGACTCGGGCACAAAGGCTGTCGCCAAGTTTTTATCCCTCTACTTCAATGCAGAAAGCCTCGGTACGAAGATCTCCGCTTTGGTCGATGATCAATACGGAAAGGTGAAGGAGTATTTTTCCTCCAAGAGCGTGACTCTCAAAAAGCTCGGTTCTTCCAGCGATATCACCGCACTCCAGGCATTCGAACCGGAGACCGCTGAAGAAGATTCAATCCCGCTCAGTAAAGAGAAGGACGAGGCAACCGTCGATGCTGGTAGTTTGAAAGAGAGGCTACACGTCGTAATAGACGAGGACCCAGATACAAACGTCATCACCAGGTGGGCTACCAAAGAAGTAGAAGACTTGATCGAAGACAGCGTTGCCGCGCGCCTCGTCCGCCTCCTAGCATCGCCACACGTCAATATCCGCAAAGAAGCATCGACAAACATCCTCAAGATGGCTTCCAAGATCAAAGAATCATCGTACGAGGAAAAGGATCAAGTGTGGCTCCTCCTCTGCGAGGTGGCGGAATCTTCCAAGCCTCACATCGACGCCGGACCCGCGCCATCAGCGTTTGTTGCCTTCGCCACGCACTCGCTCGACGTCCTCCAAAACCCTCTCCACCCTCTATATCCCAAGGTCAACACGTTCCTCACCCGCGGACCCGTCTGGTCAGCGGAGAAGCTGCCCCTCGCCCACGACATCCTCCACGGCGAGCCGTCAGAGGACGACAGGTACTACACCGAGGTCACGTGGCTCCTGGCGTACCTGCTGGACGCCCTCGTCACACCCTTCGACCTGTCAGTCTTCCACAAGAAGCGATGGTTCGAGAAGATCCTGTCTCTCGGGAGCAACCCTTACCTACGTGTCAACCTGAGGACGAGGATCCTCCGCATCATCTACCGCGCGACTTGCATTGAATCCGGCAGCACGACTCTCGTAACTAGATTCGGCATAATCAGCTGGCTGGATAGCCAGCGGGCCCTCTGTGAGTCGAGCGAGGAAGCCTCCGTGATTAGAGCCTTGATGAGGAGGATATGGGATACGTGCGACCAAAAGAAAGTCGAGGCATGGAGCAGAGGCGGAGTTCAAAAACTAATTGAGAATGTATGCAAGATTTAGCAGACATATAACTCACATATGGCGTTCGGTACATTACACGTAGATAGATTCGAATCAAGTTTGTTCCGCAAGCTTGTTCCACAGATTTATTCCATAAGTTTCCCATCTTACACGCACATGCTAGGAATTATACATACTCGTTCTAGGTTATCAGACAGGTAGAAATCACCGAGAATCATTTACTGTTCAGTTCACGGAAGTAGAGTTATTCAATATATATATTTCATTGCCTATATTGCCTTGACTCAGGGTCACTTAACCAAGTATTGACCCTTGAAATCTCCGGATTACCTAAATGGAATTGAATTCGAGATGATAGAGGAAGAGGAAAAGAAAGAGAAAGCTCCAAGTCAAGATAAAGACCAGCAGTATCCATGTATTATCTCAAGCTTCATACCGCGTTTGCAAGATCGCTAAATTATATGACAATTTTGGAGGAGCTAATTAATAAGTAGATAAAGTGTTAGATTCGTCGTACAACATCCATCTAAAGTTGGCCAGACAAAACAGCTTCCGTGGCTATAGTGTATCAGTTAGCATTGGTTTGTCGAGGTGAGAAGAGATTGCGAATACTTACCGCTATTAATGTAGGCTCGCTTAGCATCCAGCGGCACTCCGAAACGTCCCTCAAGCTCCTGTTTGATGCCCTTCTTTGTGACAGTCATGAGATCTGCGGTCTTGAGAATCTCACGGATCTCAGCCAGGATGGCGTCGTCGCTGGGAAGTCCAACCATGTCTTCAGGGGAGAAGAATTGGGATTGGCTGAAACTGCTCAAACGGTTATTGTTGTGGAGCATTTCCGAAGGAGCCAGCGACATGCGAGATTGGTTGCGTTCAAACCCAGCGTTCGGGTTAAGGCCAGTCGTTGAGGCCGGTCGGCTGGGATAGTAGGCATACTCCGAGCCAAGACCTTGAGCCTTGGTGCCATAGCTGTAGCCAGAGACTTCGGACTGCGCGTCATCCCTGCCAGTCTGGGTTTCCCAAAGTTCGGCCTGGTACTCCTCCCACTTCTTTCGGGGAATAGAGCTTGGGTCAAATTTGCCCTCGTCAGTGATGACAATCTTCTTACCCTTCTCACCAGCAACGACTCGAGTGTTACCCCAGTTGAAGTCGTCCATGTGCCAGAAGGAGTAGAAAGGCAGACCAAAGGAGAAGACAGGGGTAGCAAGGATGTAAATTATCATCCATCCAACCATTTCCCACTTGCGGCGCAGGATAAAGATGATAGCTTGAAGACCATAAATCGCACCCAGAAGAATGAATGCCGTATAAGGGATAACACCAGGGTTAGAAACGCAGCGATAGATCAAGTAGCCAATGTAGACCAAAATGGTTGGCTGCACAATGGTACTCAACAAATCGATGAAGACGATGAAGCGCATACTGAAGCAGCAGAAACCACACAGTTGTGCCATGGGGATGAGCTCAAGAAGATTGTGGACTGTCGAGTTAATCCATCGTCGTCGCTGGGACAGGAAGACTTGCCACGAATCGGGGGCGATGGTCCACGCATGAGCGGCGAAGATATACTTGGTCTTATACTGGGAATGGAATTTGAGAAGCAAAGTGGTAAGGTACCGATCTTCACCAAGATGTAAAAGGTTCTTCATGTGCAAGGTATCAACGCGAATGCAAGCATAGGCGTCAACAATCTCTCGGCTGACGAAGAGAGGCTTGCCGGTCTCCGCTGCACGAATTCGGTACATCGAGAAACAACCGGGTAAACATGTGACGGAGCCAAACAAACTCTCGAAGGCCTTCGTCAGATTGTGGGAGATCCAATATTCGTAAACCTGGATCATGGTGATGAAGGACGACTTGGCGTTGGTGAGAGCAGTCTCGCCGCAAATGGCAATCAGCCGTGTATCATTCAAGAAGGCTGAGACGAATCGTGTAGCCGAGTCACTAGCGACAACAGTATCTGCGTCAATCTGGAAGAGGTACTCATAGAATGTCGGATTGACTCCAATGATGTTGCGGATCTGATGGTACATCTCCAATTCCATAGGGCTCATAGGTAGATTGTAGTGAACGCGGTTAAGGAAGCGCATGAGGATCATTTGGGAGTCTCGCTTGCCACGGTTACCTGGCCGCGAAACTTCAGATGGCTTGCCAACCTTGACGATGACGAGGAAAGGTACGATGTGACCCTGCACCTCATACAAGCCAGAATAAACCTTGCCCATGTTGTGTTGTTTCAAACCCTCGCCGAGTGACTCAAAGCTGAGCGGCTCAGGATCAACTGTTTCAGAAACACCTAGAATGTCCAGAACGATTCTAGGGGTAGGTCGGTCATTGCCCTGACCGATAATCATACCATCGCAAATAACGCAGAGCAATTTACGTTTATCGTCGTACTGCATCCTAGCAGCGGAATCGATTGCACGTCGGAGAGAATCTTCGTCCTCGGTGTAGGCAGGAATTTGGCACATGACAAACTTGTCGAGATTTTCTGGCAAGTTCTTGCCGCCAAACTGCAACGCAGCAAGGAACTTGAAAACGATGACAGCCGCAAGTACGCAAGAAATTGCGAGAACCAAGTATTCGGAGAACTGGCAGCGCACTGAGCTTCTCGTGTCCACATCTCCCACGTAAAAGAGATTATCCAAGCAGGTCTGTTGGCGAGCTAGTGCTTGCGCATCCATATCCGTCTTCAGACGCTCCCAAATTTGGCTAATATCGGAACCAGCCCTTTGGCGAAAGAGGTCCGCAACACGGGGTTCCATAAAATTCCTCACACTGTTGTCAGGAGTTTCTTTACCTTGCGCTGGCTTGAGAATCAGGCCCCCACTGAGATATTGTGTCAAATCGTAAACCTTGCCGTTGAGAATAGCGATGGCCTTGCTGGATTTTGACGCTTGGGTGCCGACATATTGAGCCGAGTAGCCAACATTGCCCTTCTTGAAGCTGTTCTTCATCAGATACATTTGCTCGTAATACCAGTCGGGTCTGCTATCGTTGGTTGAGACTCTGAAATCATGGTATTTAGCAACCACATCCATGGTATCCACAACCACCTGGCTGCTAGTATTGTCACTCTTATAGTCAAGTGTGACAGCCTCGTCCACGCTTCCATCTTTGCCAAGGCACAGAGCAGAAACCTGGATAGGGAAGAGAGCGCTAACGTCTTTACCGGCGTAATCCATGAAGGAGTCCTGAGAAATGATGGGGGCTTTGGGATAGTGAGCGTTGTATATCCCATTGAGATCGAATACCCAGCCGCGCACTGAAACGTAAGCGCCCTTGCTATTCTTTCCATTGTCATATGCTGAGATTTCCGCGGGACTATACACATTTTGCCTTGGGCAAATGAGCATTGGGAGCCCAATCATGAAGAATACGACAAAGGCGATCATTAACCAGATGAGCATGTTGATTGCCAGCTTCTCGCGCCAGGCCATACGAACATCCTTGCGAGGCATGCGTCCAAGATGCTGGATAAGGAAATCCGGGACGAAAAAGGTCATCAGGTAAGTCACGAATACCCAGCGCTTCCGGCTGGAGCTATCCTTGTATTCCTCCACTTCAACCATAGACTTCTCATTGCCCCTTTCAGCCATCTGCTCACGAGTGTCGAGATTCTTGAACATGTCACCAGCGCCAAGGGCTGAGACACCAGCCTCCGACCGGGTGTCATCACCAGAGAAGTACCCAGATCTCCCCTTCTCGCCGTACATGAGAGGAGTGTGGCCCGAGGAGTGCAGCTGTTCCCTCGAGGCCCCAAAGCCGCCACCATCAATTGGGGTACCAACGTCCCCATCGGATGGAACAGCACCAAACCGTCCCGAAGCTGACCCTGCCTCGCTGAGTTGGGCAATCTCCATCCAGCATCGTTCGCTGAGGAAAATACCAGTTGAACCAACGAATACTTCATTGGATGGCCAACGCTTCTCCTCGATGGTGATCTCGACTCGCTCCCTTTCGCTGCCAACAAGCATTGCCTCGGCCTCGGTCAATCCCAAGAATTCACCGAAAGGCATGAAGATACTGAAATCGGCAGTGCGAAGACGCTGGCTGATTTCTGCAATGCCGAAAGTCTGCATCTGAGTTCGGACGCACTTGCTGTCAAATTGATTCGCCATACGACGGTCATTTGGCTTCAAACAGAATACAAAGTATGAATTGGTGTTGGGGTCAGCTAAGACCTTCTGGACATTGTCCAGCGAGGACAGATACTGTCCTGAAGCACCCTGCTCGGTGCCAGTCTTCATAGACCCAGCCTGGGAGTCACCAACCTCGCTTCCCTGCTCGAAGGGATCCATAGCTTTCATTTGTTTTCGTCGGTATGCTGCTGGGGCCTTGCTTCGCTGCGTCTTGCGAGAAACAACGCTGGGTGCCCGCGTAGGTTTAGAGCTGACGGTTGCCTGCATAATGGTGCTCTTCTCGTTGGGGTGAGTAACTGTCTTGAGAATTTCCTGACCAAATAGCTTGGCAACAAAATCATTCTTGCTTGTCTTGACCATGTTGAGAATATCACCCGATATCACTTCTCCATTTTCCTCAATCAGCCCCTTTACTGGGTACGTTACTTCACCTGCGAAGTGCCTGACGGTGAATGCAGCGGTAGTGTTTTCTGTCAGGAAATTGCTTCCGGGCAGCTTAGAAGTGGCTGAGGATACTTCAATGGCAGGGTTCTTTCCTTCGAACCTCTTCCTCAAACTCTCCAAGAGTTGCATGTCAGTTCGGTTTCGGCGGGTTTGATCATCTAGAATGCTCAAAAGTCCATTACCGGGCTTCAGCAGACCCTTGACAGCGTCTGTGTTGTCGAAGTAGCTAGTAGGAGGAACACTAACTTCTTCAGATTCCAACATGTCGGCCTTGCGGTCAAAGAAGTAATGGAGAGACATGTTGTAAACAGCTTCTGTTCCAGCGTTGTTGAGAAGTTGGTCGAGAGTTGACCCAGTGGGGGACTGCTGGGCGAATCCTGGAAAATCAACAATGGAGATAGTGTTGGCAATTGTTTCATCTGGAACACAAACTCGTTGGTTGACGTTTTCCATGATCCATGCAACAAGTAGAGAATATAGAGTCCGTGCAAGCTCGTTTGCGTGAGAGCGGGCTCCATTTGGATCAAGCATGACTGTCACTCGCTCCTTGTGGATCATCTTGCTCTTGTATCCCAGGGTCCTCTGTAGATCCATGGCATTAACACCAAGGAAAGCAGCAATGATAGTCAGGGCCTCCTTGTTCTTCACACCAGTGAAGGTATTGGCACCTTCGTGAGAGAAACCACCACTGTCACCGGCAACCGCGCTGGTGTCATTGGTAGTAGCAAATTCCAGCTGACCGATATGGAGGATAACCGCAAGCATCTGACAAATTTCTGCGATCTCACTACGAGGAAACTCGAGTTTCCTCAAGGCATTCTTGAACACCTGGAAACCTTCGGCATCGTTGATGCCGACCTTAAGCTGGGTAGGGTGTCCGAGGTACTTCCAACGCTGGGCCTTGTTTGCACCTACGTTGACAGAGCTCAATCCAAGATGCTCTTTCTCAGCTTCGCTTGTTCCAGCTAGCAAGTAATACAACACATGAAAGTTTCGTTCACCAGTTGGTACGTCGGTAATACGGCTTCTCTCAAATCGGTGGTCCAAAAGCTTACCACCAAGCAGAACAGGGTTGGTTGTGGCTGTTGTATCGTACTGAAGTTCATAGAATAGACCAGACTTGGAGGCGGTTGGGGTTGTGGCCGTCTTGGTGGTCGTCAGCGTATCAAAAATATAAGTGGCGAGCGAAAGCTTGGTCGACAACGGCGTTGAGGACTTGTTGAGGATGGCTGTGAGCAAATGTGATCGAATCGTAGACTTTCCGGATCCCGATTCACCCCTATATCATGTTAGTTTCAAACACACCGGAGGGTGATGAAGATGCAAAGAATGATACTCACAAGAAGACAATCGCTTGACTCTCTGATCGATGCCCAAGCCTTAACCAAGCACGGTCGGCCAGCTCCTCAGCACCTCCCATAGCACTGCCATCCTTACCTCCTTCGGGTCCTTTGGTGGAGGAGGTGTACGTATTCAATGAAATAAGAGCATGTGAAGACAGACGCGCGGTAGGATGGGCCGCATGGAATCGACTGGCGAGATGAGCCGTGAGGTGAGTGTCGGACTGGAGATGGGCAGGCAGCGACGGAAGCGAAGGTTGGTTGTGTGCGCCGCTGCCATTCCCCGAGGCTCCCACGGATGGGAGATTCAGGGCCATGGTCGGGATGGCTCCGTAGAGCGGAATAGCTCGCTACAAAGTGAATATTCCAGCCAACGGTGCGGCAACTTAACTCGTAACGTCGGGTTCGAGAGGCTCAACGGTCACGGAGCTGAGGAATTAAGAAAAAAAGGTAGAAGGGTCTTGGTATAGTAATTAGGAGAGATTCGTATATAGTTCAAAATAAGAAGAAAATATTAGAGGGAATAACGAATGATCCCATACAAGAAGCGAGTGATTGAGGTCAGCAAAAATTCTGCCAGAAAGGAAGTCGATAAAAGCAAGGTAACGGCGGGTAGAAGGTTTGGGAGGATGTTCCAAGGCCAGATGTCAATGCCCAGTCAGGGATGGGGGGACAGTTTGTTTTCTTCCGACTTTTCGCACAGTACGGGGTTGGCGCTGGTCAACACGAAATGCTGAAGCGCCTCGTACTGCGGCGGCACCTAGCGGGAAAAGGCGCACAAACCAAGGTGGAAGGCGCGCGACCGCATTCCGAGGAAGGCGGTGCTTGTGCCAATAACTTCACATGCGCACTGTGCCTCTGGGGTCTTGGGTCGGCCACAGCCCTGCTGAGCTCGTATTGCCCTCACACGACGTTTCGTTTCGGCATGAGGCGAGCAGTAGGGAACGCCGACGATATTTCTAGACGTTTTATTTTTATGTGGTTTTTGCTTAGCACGAAATGCATCGTATGAACGGAGACTTTTCCAAGTGTAGCCGGATTTCCATGTAAGCTGCCACATCGCGGCTGGAGCAATAGCGTCCCGCTGAAAGAATTTGGAAGAAAATTGTACTGTGGTGCCTCACTGTGCCAGGCCCCCAAGCTCGAGACACACAATGGAGTTCTGCCTCTCCCACGTCTACATCCTGGCCCATTTACCCATCTACTAGCACCCAGTGAAAAAATCACCAATGCTAAGGCCCTCAGCACAATGCCCCCAACCAGCAGCTACCTAGTAGCGATGAATATGATCATCTCGTGAGGGTGGGTTCTACCTATGAGCACCAATCCCCTTGCAGTCTAGCGCCGCCGATTCGAGAACGCTCAGATCGCGCTTTGTGATGCTTGGCTTCCGGTCATTTCGTCCGTCCTTGGGCTCCCTTCTCATTTTTTAGGCGGGGAACGGGAGTCCCCCTTTTTCCTGGTGTTTCTATTTTCTCATCAAGTGGGCTGTCCAGCTGCACGCCAACGCATACTAAGGGTACATTGCTGCATCAATTCACCGGGGCACTATTTCATTATGGCGCAGGTGATTGCCGGCCGCCATACGAGGATCACCATCAGCGATCAGCACGACCACAACACATCCATCTGCTGATGAACGAGCCCAACAGCCCGGTCGAGAGGCGAGAGGTGAGGGAACACCCGGATGACAGAGCCGTTTCACAGGCCAGTCAGAACGGCACTGTGGTTGACCTCATCACGCATTCAGTGTCTCAACTTTCATTAGCATCCACTCCAATTTGTTTGCTTCCCTGGACTGGTGGATTCACCTGAAGCTTAGAAGAATGTGTCTTCGGCATCCACGACACACACGCTCGACGTGGAAATTTTGGGGGGCTCCCTGCAGTGACCTGCCTGCCCGCGCTGCCCGTCCTGCCTGTCTCGCCCATTAACCAGCCTAAGAGCAACGCGGCTTAATAATCGTGTCACGGTTTTTCGCCGTCTCGTATTCCCAAGCACAGCCCGCCCCTCGGAACTTGATAGACGCTTATTATCTGGGGACAGAACAGCTGATCCAGATTCACACCCTCGCTCAAAACCCACATCTGGCATCAACCTTATCCTAGAATATGATATAATATGGTCATTGCATTGTAGTATCGCTGGCTGGTGAGGGGGGAGAGCCCGGCGCTGGCGACCAGGGAAACAAGCACGGGAAGCGTCATTGACAGGGCTAGCATCAGTAGCTTGTTTGTCTCAGCTGGCTCGGACATGGGAATAGCGCAAAACAAAAGACAGACGCACCGTGCTCCAGCATATCAGCCGAATTGGGTTCGGGGCCAACGGTACGGTGGGTGGAGGGTGGGTTCGGCTAGCCCCTGACAACATCCATATTTTTGTTTTTGCCACAGGCAGCGCGTGTGAAGGACCGTGCCTTAGTGCTGTCCGCCAGTGTCTGTTTTGCCGCTTGTGCCTGTATTTGTGCGCTTATCAACGCTAGAGTCCACCGCACTCCAATGCATCTTTGCTGGGGGCACAGTGCGCAACGCCCCAGTCCTCCTCGAGAGCAACACCCGCTGGCTCCTTCGCTCCTGTGTTGACCCATCCTCAGCCAACCTTTGGAACCACCATCCTCCAGGCTGTCGTTGTTCAACTCTTCTGCCCTTCGTTTTCATCAATCGTGCCTCACTCGCTTTGGCACCGTAATTCCCTATTCAATTATCTGCACGTCTTTGTTTGGTTCTTGCTATTCCTTCCTCGCTTAATCCTGGGGGAAAAGGGGACCTGTCTCAGTTGCTCCACGACTACCATTTCCTTCGCTGTCTGCCATTGTCCTCGCCTTCTTCACACGCCATTTCCGAATACCTCGAGCCTAAAACGATCATAATTGCTGGTTTTAACGATCGAACCCTCGATTTATAACTTAATTCTGACCTCCATTCCGTGATAGTCCCTTGAGGACATCACTCCCGGTCATCCATTTCCAACATGTCGAACCGAATGTCAATGTTCTCGGTGGCCTCGACGAACCAGTTCGCACCATCAGCTGGTGGCCCTCAGACCGCCCAGGTCTCGACTACGACGCTGCTGAATGCTGTTCATAATATCTACTTGTCTTCCCAACCACACAGCCTCGAGGCCAGCACGAGTTTGGTTGTAAACACATGGCTCACTGCTGCTCAGGCTGGTCCAACAGTTGATCCTACTCTGGCTGCCAGAGCTTGGGAGCATGCTCGACGCCGTGCCGAAGATGGATGCATCGTCCTAGGGTATGTAACTACGCGGACATGAAATGCTTCGATTTACTAACAGCCAACAGATCCCTTCATCAGTCCGCCCCGTCCGTTCTGGTGCCGTTCTTGTCCAACTTCCCATTTGCTATTCCCTCCCACGTTTTCAAAGCGCTCGAGGCCGTGCGGCCATTCGTCCGATGTGTTACACCTCACAATCCTTCATCTCCAAGACAGGCAGCTCTGAGTGTTTCTCTGACACTCACCCTTACTGGCCACTTCACAGGTGCCTCACTGTCTCTGTCCAAGGGCGGGATTGACACCGCCAATGGATTACTGAATATTCCCAAGGAGGCAGGATACCGTGCATTCGATGTGTTTTACTACCTACTTACCTCTGCTTCCACTCCTGCAGAGAGAGAATTTCTCGGACTGCAGCCTGCATCCAGTTATGCCTTGCTATCCCGCTCGGGCACATACGACGCCCCATCCTACCTTCCTACAGCGGATGACGCCGCTGCCGCCGATGACTTCCGACAGGCGCTAAAGGATATTGGAATCAAGGGCTCAGCTCATCGTAACTTCATTTCGACCCTTGCTGGTCTTCTAAAGCTGGGTAACACGCTTGATTATAACAGCGATTCAGATTTGCTTGAAGAAATCTGTGAGGATGTGGGGGGGCTCCTTGGCATGGAGCCTGAGGTTCTATTCCGCCAATGCAGCACCGAGGATCGCCAGACTCTTGTGGGTGGTCTCTACGAGGCACTCGTAGACTGGGTAATTTCCAAGGCAAACGATGCTATTGCAAGCCAGATTACTCGCATCAAGGAGGGCGAGGAATCGCTGGGCAGCTCCTCAAGCTCTAGCTCTATCCAGGAAAATGGTGATACTGTTTCTATTACAGTCATTGAAGTTCCTGACCCTACTCTCGGCAAAGCACTCTGCATGCGGTCCATCTTCGACGATACTCAAGGTATCAATGCCGAAATCATTGAGGATGGACACGCCGCCTCTCCTGCTGGTGCGTCTGTTCTGAGAGAGATGGAACAAGCCGTGTCGGCGGTTGCCCCTGATCTGGGCATCATGACCGGTCCAGAGGGCAGACAAAGACAATACGACTTGGAGAAACGAGAAGTAGTCCTCGAAAAAGTTGCCTATGCAGCAGATGAGGACGCCTTTATCAAAAAGCTGCTGTTCCCTATCGAGGGCCAAGGAATCAACCTTGGCCGCGCTGGTCGATTTGATCTACCCAGCATCATCTCTTCCAGCCGCGTTTGGTATCATCTCTCGATGCATCCAACTGATGACTCTCCAGTCAGCCTTGCTGCTCTCCCATCCATCACATCTGCGTGGTCTGCAGGCACGGTTTCTCGTCAACTCCGTTCCTGGAGGCTCCCAGAGTGGGCAAACAGGCGGAACAGGAACCTCGATTTCACTGCTGACTTTGACGTTGATGAGTTTGCTCAACGATACGCAGCCCTGGGTTGCAGAGATGGCAAAGATGGTATTGGAAGCTGGCTTCTTGAGAGAGGGTGGAGCAATGGCGAAGTGTTCATCGGCAAGGAGCGCGTTTGGATTCGCGAGAGCGCTTGGTGGGAAGCTGAAAGCATGCTCGATCTTCAGCCCGGTAACCAGCCTCAACCCGAAAACCCATTCAACACAGGCTTTGACACAAGCTACTCTGCCAACGGGAGCGGCTACTTCCCCGGCGCCCCCGCCACAGAAAGCGGACTTGACGTGTCGAATATGAACCATCAACGCAACTTGAGCCAAGGGAACCTGAGCCAGATGACAATGAGTCAGCATCCTATGCCAATGGCTCAACAGCACAACATTGCACCGTCCATTGCACCTACCTCCAACCGCGGAGGAAACGTTGGTGATTACGGTCTCGGCACCAAGGGCGATGAATACAAGGGTGATATCTTCTTCAACGAAGCCGGTGAATTTACCGGCATGATGGATCCCGAGTTAGCAAAGAATAAGAAGGTCAAGACAAATGGGACGACTCCTTCTCGTCGCGCATGGGTCATCTTCGTATGGTGCCTGACATGGTGGATCCCGTCGACTGCACTTCGGTACATTGGGCGCATGAAACGACCTGACGTCCGTATGGCATGGCGCGAGAAACTGGTTCTGTTCTTCCTCATCTTCTTTATCAACGGTACTATTCTCTTTTGGATGATCGGTTTCGGCCTCATTATCTGCCCCAACTCAGACAAAGCCTGGAATACAAAAGAAGTGGCCACCCACCAAGGAGAAGACGACTTTTGGGTCAGCGTCCGTGGCAGTGTCTATGATATGTCTGATTTCTGGAGAAGACAGCACAGTGACATCAACATCGAGACCACAAAGGATAACATGGAACCACTGGCTGGCTTGGACATGGACGGATACTTCATGCCACCATTGAGCGAAGCTTGCCGTGGTCTAGGCATCGCTGACACCACAGTCCTGACTCTCAACAACACCCCAGAGAACCCGACTGCCGTCCACACCTCTGGCAAGACATCACCCTACATCAAGAGCAAGCTGTACGATGAAAGGTGGTACTGGGATACTTTCCTGGTCACTATGAAGGAATATTACAAGGGCGAATTGGTTATCTCAGCAAAGAAGCTCTACAATGAAGGCAAGGACGAGCAGCACAAGTGGGCAAGATACGAGGAGGGAGTATACGATCTCACAGATTACTTCAACACCCAAGATCTGCAACCAAATGTTGCTATCTACGAATTCCTGAACACGAAGGTCTCGAACCTTTGGAAGAATAACCCTGGTCGGGATATTACCAAGGACCTCGACACACTCATGACGAACAACATGAACAATGAATCGGAATATGCCAACATTATGAACAGCTGGAACTGCATCCAAGAAGTCTTTTACAAGGGCAAGGTCGATTTCCGAGAATACCCGCGTTGTACAGTCAACAACTGGATCCTGTTCGCATTCACAATGGTACTCTGTTCAGTCATCTTGATCAAATTCATAGCTGCGCTTCAATTCGGCTCCAAGCGGCGTCCTTCCCCTCAAGACAAGTTTGTCATTTGTCAGGTACCAGCCTACACAGAAGGCGAAGAGTCCCTTCGAAAAGCACTGGATTCGTTGACGGCACTCCAATACGATAATAAGAGGAAGCTTATCTGTATCATCTGCGATGGTGTCATTGTGGGAGCAGGTAATGATCGCCCAACCCCTAAGATCGTCCTCGATATTCTCGGCGTTGATCCCAAGGTCGACCCTCCTGCCCTGCCCTTCAAATCCGTTGGACCAGGTAGCGAGCAATTGAACTACGGCAAAGTCTACTCAGGCCTCTACGAATTCGAAGGCAATGTCGTCCCCTACCTTGTTGTTGTCAAGGTGGGCAAAGAATCGGAGCAGGCCAAGTCGAAACCTGGTAACCGCGGAAAGCGTGATTCTCAGATTCTGCTGATGAGCTTCCTGAACCGTGTCCATCACCGTGCGCCCATGAACCCCTTGGAGCTTGAAATGTTCCATCAGATTAACAACGTTATCGGCGTGGACCCTGAGCTCTACGAATATCTCCTCATGATTGATGCCGATACTTCAGTTCAAGAAGAATCGCTTACTCGGTTGGTGTCTGCCTGCGCTCACAACGCCAAGATTGCTGGTATCTGTGGTGAGACGAGTCTTGAGAACGACGAGAAATCTTGGTGGACCATGATCCAAGTTTATGAATACTTCATCTCGCATCACTTGGCTAAAGCTTTCGAGTCTCTCTTTGGCAGCGTTACTTGTTTGCCTGGTTGGTAAGTTTGACTCCAGTTGTCCCAACGACATGCTTGATCATCGCTAACTCATTTTATTTACAGTTTCACCATGTATCGACTCCGTACAGTGGACAAGGGCAAGCCTCTCATTATTTCAGACAACGTTATCCGGGACTACAGTGTTTGTGATGTGGATACACTACACAAGAAGAATCTGTTGTCCCTGGGTGAGGATCGTTATCTGACCACACTTATGACCAAGCATTTCCCTTCCATGCAATTCAAGTTTGTCCCTGACGCAAAATGTAAGACTGCTGCGCCAGACTCTTGGAGTGTGCTGTTGTCTCAACGTCGTCGATGGATCAACTCAACTATTCACAACATGGTCGAGCTTATGAGACTCAGCGAGATGTGTGGTTTCTGCTGTTTCGGCATGCGTTTCGTTGTCTTCATCGATCTTTTTGGTACCGTGATTCTTCCTGGAACATGCGGTTACCTGGCCTGGCTCATCTATCGTGTCGCTATCAATCAGGGTCAATTCCCAATGATCAGTATTGTCATGTTGGCTGGTGTCTACGGTTTGCAAGCTCTCATCTTCATTCTAAAGAGACAATGGCAGCACATTGGCTGGATGATCATCTACATCCTCGCGTTCCCAATCTATTCTTTTGCACTCCCAGTCTATTCCTTCTGGAATCAAGATAACTTCACATGGGGTAACACTCGTGTGGTCATTGGAGAAAAGGGAGACAAGAAACTGGTCATCGTCACAGACGAAGATTTCGACCCGAGATCTATCCCATTGCAGAGATGGGATGATTACGCCCTTGCCAACAGCCTCCCCGGACGACGTGGCAATCCCCAGGACATGACAGGGGACCCTTACGAGATGGACGAAATGAAGTCAGTTTATTCAGCTGGTCCTCAGGGTTCTGTCTTGACGGGAATGCAACGCAACACATTCATCCCTCCTCAATCTCCTTCGCCGTACGGTGGTGCCGTGAACCGTGCTTCGACCATGACGGGACTTTACCAGGAGCAACCATTGATGCAGAACCGACAGTCAATGTTGTCACTCGGTACAGGTATTCAAGATTATAACCGTGCTGCCTCACCTTACCAAGACTATCCTGCGGCCCATCCAAGCATGACAAATCTCCGCGGCCAGTCGAATACGCCCCCGTCAGGAGTTGGAGTTGGAGCAAACAGGGCACCCTCAGCATTCGGCCGTCGCTCGCCTATGGTCCCTGATGCCATGCGCTCAACTACATCGTTCGACTTCCAGCGTGGCACTGGCGCCCCAGATGATGCGATGATTGTCGAGTGCATCCAAGCAGTATTAAGAGAAGTTGATCTGGATTCCGTGACCAAGAAGCAGCTGCGGGCTCTTGTCGAACAGCGCCTGCAGGTTGAACTCGTCGGCGAACGACGTACATTCCTTGATCGACAGATCGACCGTGAGCTTGAGAAGATGTAAGCTTGCAAGCGCAATGGCTGGCTCCATCACAGGCTCATAATGTCACCACGACGCATAATGGGGCGGATTAAATTATCAGACTGACGGTGACGGCGTTAAAAGTGTTTTGAACATATTGAATGGGTTTGACGACCTCGATTTCTTTTTCTTTTTCCCTGGGGGCTTGTTGCATCTTATAGGTTCTGCTTTGACAATGCCGCGTGAGAAGCTGCGCCAGTGGTCAATTTGTCTGCGACAAGGTCGACCAGGCTGCTGTCGTGTGGGCGCTCGCATTGGCGATTGGTAATAATATATGGGTTCCTACTATCTAGTTTCCTAATAATCACAAATAAAACTATCCCTCGTTTTTTAGCATACTTGGTCCCGAAATACATAAACCCATTCGCCCGTATCTCATGAATCTTGACACGCTGTGCATTATATCTCACTTGGTTTCTTTACACCAGGACAAGTCGCGGGTGATTCTCCAAGACTTCCCGTTGCATAATTAGCATCAAACTATCATCATACTAGGACGCTCAGCCGTCAATCTGGCCAATGCCCTTCAGTCGTAAATAGACATCCGTTCCCCATCTGTAGAGGCTCTGGACGGCGATGCCGCCGCCAAAATACTCCGCGTAGGCCCTGCTCAGCGGTAAGCCGTACCCCAGCCCGGCAATGGAGCTGAGACCGGACCCGGCGTTGGCGATGGCGCTGAGGCCGTCTGAGCCGCTGGAGCCGGGGAACTCGTCGTCGTCTGAGAAGGTGGAGAAGGAGTAGGACCAGATGTCCGGGACGACCTGCGGGGGGATGCCGCCGCCGCGGTCGCGGATGCGGATGGTGACCCCCGGGGCGTTGTCGTCGAGGGGCAGGATGGCCTCGGCGCGGAACTGGCCGCGGTTGCTCTCTGGCGGCGTGATGTGGGGGATGGCGTCCGGGCTGAGGCGCTGGGGGGGCTCCGGGGCGATGGTGACGACGACGGGCTCCCTGGACCTGTTCTCGATGGTGGCGCGGAAGGCGTTCTTGAGCATCTCGGTGACGATGTACTCGAGGTGCATGGGGACGGAGGCGAAGGTGGTGTCGGGCTCGCCGTCGATGATGACGGGGGGTCGGGTGCCGTAGCGGAGCTCGCAGATGTCGGCGACGAAGCCGGCGCAGCTGTCGACCACGGTGGCGGGCTTGAGGGCGGTGTCGATGACGCCGATGAAGGAGGGGTGCTCGGGGCAGGGGGTCGGGCTGGCCTCCGGGTCGAAGTGAGGCTGGCTGCTGAAGTGGAGGGCGATGTGCTGCTCCGCGACGAGGCGGGTGCCGATGCGGGCGCGCAGGTGCTCGTCGAGGAAGGTGGTGACCTGGGCGGGGGAGATGTACCGCCGGCATTCGAGGAACCCGCGGGCGAGGATGGGGATGGTGTCGGTGTGCATGGCGACGAGCTCGGCCAGGGTGTTGGTGAAGCGGATCTCTTCTTCCAGAGAGTTGATCGGACGGCCCTCGGCTGCCGCTCGCCAGTACGGCAGGAGGATGGAGAGCGAGTTGAGGTAGGTGCTGTATATACGAGAGATGTTGGGGTTCGACACGACAATGTATGGGAGGTTGCGGAGGGCTTGGAGTCGGTGGGCGAGGCGGATCGGTAATAGAGAGAGGGTGAAGTTGGCGGAGGAGAGAAGTGACTTCTCGGAAAGAGGAGGACGGCCGTGTCTACGTTATAGAGGGAGGTCTGATTAGCGTTGGATATGAATATGCATCGTATGTGAGAGAGAAGTACTTGACAAGATCGGCAAGGCTTAACGAGTGTTGGCGCAGCTTGGACAGTGCCATGATGTCGGCATCCGTCACATTATACCCCGTTTCCGATGCAGGCGAAGCCGTCGAGAACGAGCAGCACCGCCATATTGCTGGGCCTATCCGGCGTGTAGGATAACGTGGGAGGGAAGGGATGCGGCAGCGCCGCATGGGCTGAACGAGGCGGATCATTGCGACGGCTCCTTCATAGCCAAGACGGCAAGACGAAGGCGAGGGAAATAGCCAATTGCTGCGCACAGTGTGCAATAAGATAAATACGTTAGAATGGGACAAGTTGTAAATGAAAGATCAAGACCGAATTGGTGGCATTGACGGTTGGGGTGGCATCACAGCCGAGGATCCATCACCGATCGGATCTATAAGTCGAGTAGCAGTGCGTGAATGACTGGCGGTCTTTCGAGACGAGACGTTCGGCCCCAGACTGGCGGTTTGCTTAGTAAGTGGGGTTATTACCGATTGTAGCCAGCTTGTGCCGCTGGACGCTAAAAGTAGAGATAGCGGAAAGCCAAAGGAGGGGGAACGGTGCTTATCCCGCGTTTCTTATCGCGGGGTCGGTCGCTACGTCACAGCACGAGCAAGACCAGGCGAGGGGTTGGAGGAAGCCAGCCAAACCACCGTGGTTAAATTGAGTTCAAACTATAGGAAAACAAAAGAGTCTGGATCAGGCTGGCTGGGAAACAAATTATATCATATTGAAAATTCATGATGAGGAGGAAAGCTCTAACACTGTTGGTCATATCTGCTCCCGTCACTGTGCACGGTGGGGATAAAGCCTTCCGTGATGTGATATACATGCAAAGTCTTCGGCGCCCTCATGCACATGACCGCGCGCTCCGCCGTTCCCTACTCGTACACTGTTCACTGGATCTTCATAACGCCGTCTGCCTCGACCGCCTTGATGCTGGGGTGAGAATCCAGCGTGGTCACGGCGCCTTCAGGGAACTTGACTCTGTCGCAGTGTGTTAGCTCCCGTCCATAGATTCAAGAGGGCGCGGGGTTACGTACGAGAAGCCCTTGATGATCTTGTATTCGTGCTCGATGGTGCCGCCCTGCTTAATGGCGTGGTCCTTGGCCCTGCGACGGTCGTCAGTTTCATCCCTCTCATCGACGGTACTGATGTAAGGGGCAAGCGTTATGGTACGTACGACTTCACATCCTCGTCGGAAGCATTCTCCTTGCAGGTGATCTAGGCAACGAACGACTGTAAGTTTATGATACCAGACGGCACGGCGTTGTTTATAGCATATCGCAACATACAATGTAGGTAGGCATTTTGTCCGTTCTCGTAGAGTATGATTGTGATTTCTGTGTAATTTGTGGATAGCGGGGTGAGTTCAGAGGCGGGTGTTGTTGGTGTTGTTGGTTTAGCCAGGGACGAATGCTCGGGGCAACGCTTGGCTTTAATAACCTCGCCATGGAACCACCAGCCTTGGTCTCGAGGCAGGCTGTGCATCAAACACCACCAGATCCTGCCTAGGGAATGCACTACGTCGCTTCTACTCCCAAAAACTACTTCGTCATATAGCGCACTTTGCCCACCACAAGTGGCACCCACTGATGTTCGAAGCCCATTCGTCATCCTACATCACACGCACCCAATGCGGCATGAAAGAAGCCCAAGTCGGCAGGTAATTCTCAGCACAAGCGACCACTAGGCTGCGATGTCGCCTTCCATAACATCCAACCATTTAACCCAAAAGGGATTGGGAAACTGAAAAAAGCGAGCCTGACGATCTGATTTGAAGCCGAAAGGGTTCCGGCCGCCTGTCTAGGGTAGTCGAATACTTGGAAGCGGAACAGGATGACGCAATTGAAAGCGATAGCGAGCTGACGATCGATAAGAGGATAAGAGATAAGAAAACTAAGGGACCAACCTCAAACCACTGTCATCATATGTGACCAGATCGGGCCATTCCAATCTCTGCATGTACCCGGAGGGTACAGTACCAAGTGGGCTGGGCCATTGCATTGCACAACTGTGCAACACCTCAAGCAAAGATGGGCAGTCGTACATGCAATGGCATGCACCACGCATCAATGCGACAGAGCAGCATAGGCGCCCGTCATGCAGCAAACCCGAACACTAGACACGGAAACTTCCGACATTCCCTGACGAAGCTATCAGCACCTGCATCCAATCACTTGACTGCCAAAAGACCTGCAGATTTTTCTCAATGGTCGGTAAGATCATAAATGACACTATTATAATGAGATGGTTATCGCCCAACCGGGATTCCTACGTCCCGAACCAGGGTCTGAGATTGATCTTCCAGGAACACAGTCACAACCGATATTGATATGCGCGTTGTAAGACCAGCCTGAGTCCTTTGCGAGGTTTCTGAAACCGCAGTAACCCAGCCTATCGTCCAATTCTCGATGGAGTCAGCTAGATTACTCGGTAAGCTATTGACTTCCCCTGGATGCATGCCATTGTGCTAGCGGATTGTGCTAGGCTCGATGCGCAATTTGCAAAGCGAACCCAGTGACAGAAAACGGTCGGTGAGACCCTTACATAGATAGGCAGCTGTCAATTTCTTACTGAAGCGACAAATTTTGCTCGTGCGTCAGGTTAAAATGATCGACCGTCACCTCTCAATATGACGGGCCTCGCCCAGCAACGCGACACGGCTGCCGTCATGCAAGAAAGCGGTCAAGGGGCCAGAAGAAAAAAGAAAACCCTGAAGACCCCCGTTCCTTCAACGGCCAAATAAACACATGGTAATAGGATCATTACAAGGGCCTAGACCTACAGAAACCCAGTCAGCGAATACGATAGTGCTACATAGTACCTTCAAAAAATGCTTTTTCTCGCTCGTAGCGCACTCGGTCGCGGGAATGGCTGCACATGACCTCGACGAGATGGTTGTGTAAGACAAGCCAAGTTCCCAGTAACCAGGTAGCTGGGCTAGATTTCCACCAAGAGCATAGAAATCGACGCGGAAGAATCCAGAGAAATTCCTCCTCTCTCTCTATGCCTCCTTACTTCATCGCATTGGCTTCTGCTCTGCTTAGATCCGAGTTGGGATGATTGTTGAAATCTTTGGTTCCGAGACAGACAGCCCGGACAAGGTTCACCATGCTCCTAGTGCCAGAATAATCTGGAAAATGGGGTGATCTTGAGATGGGTGGCGGCGGTACCCTGGTATTACCCCTCCACACTTAAATCCCCCCCGGGATCTGGCGCCGTCGCAGAGTTTGGGACAAAAAGTGTTGGGAAGTTCCTGGTCGAGATATCGAAAATGACCAAATCCGATAGCAGGCGGGCTCGGTTGGTCCGTTTCGACTTTACGACTTGCAGAGAGGCGCGGGGGCTGGCATCAGCCAAGCAAGGGAGCGCATCGTGAAGCGCCAAAGATGCAGACTCGCGTTCTGATACTGTCGTTTCGAGTAAGTCCCCGGCTGGCCTCGTGGTCGGGACATTTAGGGCAGATTGTATTACCGTTGATGATCAGAAAGTGGTCTGCTTTTTGCATATGTGGAGCTCCCTAGTGCCGGGTTTCCCAGGTCTAGAAAGCCACCCAGGGCCTGGAGATGGCGTTAGCATGGCAGCTAAGCATGTCGCCCAGCGCTGTCTGCCCACTGTAAGTTCTGGGTGGACAGGGGCGCGGGTGTCTTGGATGCGTTAAGCCGCTTCGGGCTGTAGCGGCCACTGCAGTCGGAGCCTCCTCCCAATAAGGCAAGGGAACCCCATGCTTTCGGTGTAAGTTGTTAGGTCGACGACCACTTCTTTACCTTAGGTCAAATGCTGGAGGAGCTGCAAGGGATGCCACTGACAGGACGTCTGTATCCATTCATGGACTCTTCATTGCTCCTGTCCCCTTCCCTCCCGAGATAGGACCCCGCTTACCTGCTGGCGGGCCCGTGTGACAAGCATCTCTGGGACCGTTCACACACCCTGCGTCTCCATCTCTATTTGCCGTTTTGGCAGGCGGCAGATCTCTCTTTACGCTGCCCTACACGCGCTCTTCCTCTTCTTCCTTTTCTTCCCGGATTGCTCTCTCACCCTCCCCCTGGCCTTCAACGACAGCACAACGTGCTTCTCTCCCTGTTGTCCTTCCGGCAAGCACCCGGAAATCGTAACATCTCCTCCGCCTGCGTATTCGGGTTTGGACCCCTACTGCAGGCAGTTCGACGAAGACGGTCTCAGGGTCATTACTAACATCTCCACATTCGTTTGCGGATTTCGTCTTCTTTATTACAGCCTATTCCCCTCCATACTCGCCTTATAGTATCGTCCTTACTCTTTACCGTATGGTCAGCTTCCCGTAGACTCTTGATAAGCTCTCCTGCTAGGTGGTGAGCTGCCAGCAGACAGATACTCGTCAAGAGAGAAACAGGATTGGGTCCATTGTTGCGACAGAAACCGACTCCAAATGAACGCAAACACCACTTCCTCTGCCTTCACCTCGGTGTTGGCGCAGACCAAAATGGCCGGCATGGCTATATCACCCAACATGGAGTTCCTTTTTGGAACATTGACCGCCCCCAACATCTGGACAGTCCTGTTGACGATTGTCGCTATGTGTGTTATTTACGACCAAGGTATGCATGGATATCCTTCGTCTTGATCGATCGGCAACTCGTCCGATTGGACAGAGTCTGTGAGATCGATTCGCCTTTTGGTTGTTCTTACCTTTTGGCATGGGTGAAGAGAGCTAACATAATGATTTCTTACCCTTTGTACAGTTAGCTATATTGCCAACAAGGGCTCAATCGCTGGTCCCTCTTGGAAGATGCCCTTCATCGGCCCCTTTCTTGACTCAATGGACCCCAGGTTCGAGGGATATTACAACAAGTGGCTCAGCGGACCCTTGAGTTGTGTGTCCGTTTTCCACAAGTGCGTTCGATTAACCTGCCTAGTTGTTTCAATTGAGAGAAGGCGAAGAAAGTTGACACCAAGTTCCGTTTCATAGATTCGTCGTTATTGCTTCGACCCGAGACCTGGCCCGAAAGACGCTCAATTCTCCCTCGTACGTCAAGCCAACAGTTGTGGATGTTGCCCCCAAGCTGCTTGGCCACGACAACTGGGTCTTCCTCGACGGCAAGCCCCATACCGAGTTTCGCAAAGGCCTGAACAACCTCTTCACACGCAAGGCCCTTGCCAAGTACTTGCCTGGCCAGGAGCAGGTATACAAGGATTACTTTGCCCGATTCGCCAGGCTGACCGAAGAAAATGGTGGCAACCCTCTCCCCTTTATGTCCGAGTTCCGCGAGATCATGTGCGCCGTCTCCCTCCGAAGCTTCGTTGGTTACTATATCTCGGACGAGGCCATCAAGAACATTGCCGACGACTATTATCTTATTACTGCAGCCCTCGAGCTTGTCAACTTCCCGATTATCCTTCCTTATTCCAAGGCCTGGTATGGAAAGAAGGCGGCTGATATGGTATTGACCGAATTTACAAAGTGTGCGGCGAAGAGCAAGGTACGGATGGCCGCTGGTGGCGATGTCACCTGTATCATGGACGCCTGGATCGATATTATGATCAAGTCCCAGAGATGGCGAGAGGCTGAGGAGACTGGGGAATCGACCGCCAATCTGGAGAAGCCGCAACCCATGATCCGAATGTTCAACGACTACGAGATTGCGCAGACCGTTTTCACCTTCCTTTTCGCGTCACAGGATGCAACCAGCAGTGCTGTTACCTGGCTGTTTCAGATCATGGCTCAACGCCCCGACGTGCTGGACAAGGTCCGCGAGGAGAATATGAAGGTCCGCAACGGCGATATCCACGCAGAGCTTACCATGGAGCAACTCGAGGGTCTGAAATACACACGAGCTGTGATCCGGGAGCTTCTGCGATACCGACCCCCCGTCCTCATGGTCCCTTATGTTGTCAAGAAGCCATTCCCCATTACCGATAGTTACACGGTTCCAAAGGGTGAGTACTCGATTCGAATAAGTGGCTGTCCTGGTGGGGTTCTCTTGTGTCGAGTGTGCTGACCGTTGCCGTCCATCTAGGCTCCATGCTGATTCCGACAACCTATATGGCTCTGCACGACCCCGAGGTGTACGAAAACCCCGACTACTTCGACCCAGAACGCTACTACTCTGGTGATGCTGAGGAGAAGGGCGCCAAGAACTACCTCGTGTTTGGTGTTGGACCTCACTATTGCCTTGGTCAGCTGTATGCGCAGCTGAACCTGGCTCTCTGCCTGGGAAAGGCATCAGTTCAATTAGATTGGCAGCACCATGCGACTCCCAGGTCGGAGGAGATCAAGGTGTTTGCCACCATTTTCCCCATGGTATGGTTCCGACTCGTTGAGAATAAATTCATGTGTTTCATTTCTGACTCGTGTTCCTTTAGGATGATTGCCCCCTTACATTCCAGAGGAGGGGTTGGTAGACGCGAAGCAGGAGAAAAGCCGGACCGGTCTGGCCCTGCAACAGCATGTCCTATTGACGAAAACAACGACCATCTGATATAGCATTAGCAAAAGGCGCGTCTAAGGAACGCAGTCTGTTTCATGACCCAGATTGGGGCAACGCCAGCGTTGACAAGTTTGGGTGTTTAAAAGAAGATAGCGGGGTGTCCTGATCGAGTGGACTTGAGGCCACCATATCAATGGCCAATAGACCCATGCTGATCAGGATAATGTATCCCCCAAACTAATTGTAATGGCCGCATCGAGATTTAGGATGTACATATTTTAGCGGCCGGGTTGAGATATTCTCGGACATTATTGGTAGAGAAAGATCAGCTCAATTTGAATATAACTGGTGATAATACTTGGTCGGGGTAAATTCGTATTGGAAAGTGCGAGTGGTTCGACGATTTAGCCTGGTATAGATCAAGGCTGCGTAATGCGTATGAGGAAGGAGCTAGGCATGTACCTACCCTGCCAGCCTGCCACACCGATCTGGATTGCAAATATAGACGTTCACGGGATCAGGGGAAATTCCCTTCACAAGCCAGATCAGAAAGGCAGAACAAACAATAACTGCTAACAGTTATATAGTATTCTGGATAGGGTAAGAGCAGGTGGTAGCTTGTAGTGCATGCTTGGGAAGGCTCCTGAGCCTTGATGAAAACCATTGGGGCCTTGACTTTTTGGGATCAATAGAAAAGTGCTAACCTGTTAGATATACAAACAAATACAAAAATTGAGAATATAACATAGGTACCTTAGACAAAGAGAGCTGCAAACTAGGTAGCTGAGTCGTAGAATAGTAAAGTTCGCATATCCACAGGCCAGATAAAAGAAGTGGGGCCGCTGTCGGCGAATTTCATCATCACCAAGTTCATTGGGACAATACCTGAGCTTCAACCCCACTGGACTCGCACTCACCACGACAATTTACCCTCAATACCGGGAGAATACAAAGGTGTGAAGGTAAGTTCAATGCCAGATGGTTACCGGAGCGATCCTCTGCACCCCGGACTATCAATCGGGCTCTATCCTGCTGTCCCGGGAACCCCATCTCCGAGCTATAGCTTCCGCTCACAATTCCACCAGGACTCCAGATTCTCGGCTTACCCAATCGCAAACCAGACTTGTCCACTGCAACTCACGATGGCGGCACCTCGAAGATTCCTCAGCACCGCCTTGCTGCGCGTTGCCGCGCCGGCCGCCCCCCGAGCATCCTCCTCCATCACCACCAAGGTGGCTCCCGTCGCAAATCGCTCCTACCACATCCAGCGACGTCCCCTGATCCCTCGCGCGGCCGCAGCCACGAAGATCACCTCGCGCTCTTACTCCGACGACGCTATCCCCGGCAGCCGACAGTGGAATCACCTGGATATCAAGGAGCAGATCAAGGCCAACGAGTCCTCGGACGACAAGCCCAGCGTAATATTTGTCGGTATGTGAACAGCACCACCCCGCCCCGCCCGCCCTCCTCTCCTCAGTTCGGCATAATGACCAACTACCATTTTGTTTAGACGTACGAGAGCCAGAAGAGCTCTTTACCACGGGCAAGATCCCCGGCGCCATCAACATCCCCATCACCAGCGCCGTCCAGAGCTTCCACATCTCAGACGAGGACTTTGTCGACCTCTACGGGTTCGAGCGCCCCGCCAAGGACGCGGAGCTCATGTTCTACTGCAAGGCCGGCGTGAGGGCCAGGTCGGCCGCCGGCCTGGCGCAGCACGCTGGATGGACAAACGTTGGGGAGTACTCGGGAAGCTGGATCGACTGGCAGGCGCACAATGGCCCCGTGGAGTATATCAAGGGCAAGAGGAGGTCTTGAATATAGATGATGCAGCCCCGTACGGGACGTGGCGTTGCGTATTCTGCTATGAGGGGGCTACCGGAAGCAAAACGTATCTTGTTGATGCATAACTTGGGTAATTGTACAAATAAATTGAGAAAAAAAGGAAATAACCCCCAAAAATACATACATACAGTTTGATCTTGAGCCTATCTTTCTACCAACAATCAATGCCCTGGAAGTGACTCCGCTGAAAAAAGGGGTGGAAAAAATATTGGAATAACACCTGAACCCGTTTACACCCATAGAGACAGATAGTTTAGAAGAACATAGCGGCGGTGGAGTTATCAGCGGCCTGGTCGGGGGTGGTCGTGTCTCCGCCTCCAGGGGTCGACGGGGTCTGTGCCACGGGGCTGTCGTGTGCGAAGAACAGGATCTTGATGGCGAGGGTAAGACCGGCGTGGAGCACAATCACGACGACGAGAAGGACCTTGCTGACTTGGTGGTCCGTGGCGCTTAGAACGGGATACAGGTTTCGGAGGAGGAAGGCGACAGATACGGCAAAGCCGACGCCGACAAACACCCAGTTCAGAATGCTAATAGGAGACCAGCTGATGATGGCGACGGGGATCCAGATCAAGTTGGCATAGCCGTATAGGGCCCAGCACTCGAGGAGGTTGGCAAGCTCGCTGCCGAAGTATCGCAGGGCGAGGAAGAGGCCAATTGGGATGAACAAAGTGTAGCCGTAGATGAGACCCGCGGCACCTGCGGGAGGATTAGCCAATGGTTCGACGGAAAGCGTGGGCTGAACACCTCGTAGATTACAAAAACTCACCACTGAGAAGCCTAAAGTCGTATGCGAACTTGGCCTTATCTGTTTCAGAGAGGTACTGGCTTACAGTGCCTCCGAGGAAGAGAATCAGAACCACTGTGGTGGCAATCCAGACTGGTCCGTAGAGGTCGGGGTTGCCTTCAAGCACATCTAGGAAGTTGGCGCGGGGCCAGAGCGCAGCCCAGCAGCGGGACAGCACGGCAGAAGTATCGACATCGAAAAATTGTGCGTAGAAGGAAATTGACCACAAGAAGCGCTTCGAAGAACCAGAAGAGGAGGCCGTGGCTGGAGGGGGCAAGCCGGCGGAAGGGGGTTTGCGGGAGCCATGAGCTGAGTCGTCGAAGTTTGAGGTATGGAATTCGAGATCCTCTTGAAGATCGGTGTGTCCAAGGTCGCCCTGAGAGGGTGAGTTAGTACATGCAGGTGATGGTTGTGTTGCGCTTGATGGCGATCACAAATCGAGGCCACCTCATCAGTTCGCGTACCTCATCGTCGATATCGACTACCGCGTCATACCCTGATCTAGACATTGTGATTGTGGTATTTGCCGAAGTATTGTGTGTAGAGAAGGGAAGGCCACCTATAGCAACAACCAAGGAGCTCTCAGGGTTCGGAGGCGGCAGCGATTCTCTCAGCGGAAGAGTCTCAGGATCTATTTCGGGATCTGCCTGCTGCTGAGATCTGGTGCTAAGCAATCAAGCTCTCTGGACAGGGTGTTGTCGTCAGAGCTGATGACTAATCATAAGTCTTGCGCGACAACTGTGAATCTTACATAATATCAGGACCTTCATCGCATTTGGCCAAAACGATTCTCCCAGCTATTTGGGATCCTTAAGAATAGATATGACTAGCAATCGGGCACGAAAGCTGTGAATTTCATAGCGCTGATATCGTTAATTATCCCTAAATTATGGTGTAAGTTGAGAAAAACATGATTACGATCATTACGTGCAATCAACTGCTTTATCCTTCCTTGCTTAATCAACACTTAGATGGGAGTGGAAAATATCAGTGTGTTGGATAAACAGGAAACGACATAGCATTGCTTTGTTTATGATGATCGTTTTTATGTTTATGAGGATGCGGCCACTTGATCTGGCTAGGCTCTGACTGGTAAGGATAAGGATGATTATAGACACGATAGGAACGGGCTTAACGAAAGAGGTGTGGTTGTGAGTCTTCCCCCCTAGAGCCATAGCTAAGATATACCACACCGGCCCTTATTAGATTTTTGGGAAGAATTGATGCCGGGCCCGATCTGCTGGGCATAACAAGAATGACTTTTCCGTGTTTACTGGGTTTGGGTATGGACCAACAACTTTAATTAGTATAATTTTGCTGCAATGATAGTCATGTGTACGGCGCAATCTTAGATTCTCTTGTTTATCGTAGAAGGGAAAAGAGGCACAAATCTCCCAGTGGGCTTGGAGGGCTGCTTGAGATAGAGAGCCTTGACTGTATGGGACTTGCAAGTTTAAGAGAGATTTGTTTTTAGAAATTCAGATACTTATTTTTTATTGGCAGCCTACTGCCCAGTTTGCACCGCAGACCAGAGACCTTCTTAACGCCATGGTACCTCTAAATCTTTCTGCCAATGCTTACAGTGATGTGGGGTATGCAACGATGCAGCATGTCACGTCCGGTACGTGGGGGACCAACGATTTGATCCAGCTGCGTAATCTAGAATGGATTCCCTAAGCTGCCGGTGCTAGTGTAAAAACAAAGCCAGTATCTGCGAACAAAGGAACCCTTCTCTCCTTGCCAACCCCATAATGCCAGAAAGACCAGACGCCACATAGATGGTTGATTCGTTTATTTGAGCTTCTTCTTGGGTCGGAGCTGGTTGGTGTGACCGCACTTTCGCTTACGGCAGTTGGTGGCACGGGGGGGAAGACGAGCCTATAACGTCCTGTCAGTCTACTGGTCTGCCTGAGTCGTGGAGCTTGTAATGTAACATACGTAGCACTTGCGGCAGATCATCTTCTCGCAGTTGAACTTGGAGGCAAGAGCCTTCAGGGAGGGCTCGATGATACCACCACGGAGACGGAGGACCAGGTGGAGAGTGGACTCCTGTTATATCGGTCAGCATGCGATCCCAAATTGCGACGACGCTCCTAAAACGACGAGCGTTTCCTGGTCGTGGTTCAATTCCTGGTGTTACGGACCTTCTGGATGTTGTAGTCTGAGAGGGTGCGGCCATCCTCGAGCTGCTTGCCGGCGAAGATCAGACGCTGTTGGTCAGGGGGAATTCCCTCCTTGTCCTGAATCTTGGACTTGACATTGTCAATGGTGTCGGAGGACTCGACCTCAAGGGTGATGGTCTTGCCCGTCAGGGTCTTCACGAAGCTGGTTTTCGAAGTCAGTAAATTGATCGGTTTCGTTCGAAATTCGGGACCGGCGGATTCCTAGCTTACATCTGCACTGTTAAAGAGGTTAGTAAATCATTTACACATGCATTTTCAAGCCGTCTAGGGGCGCACTTACTCTTGACTGAATTTTGAGACCTTGTCGATGTGAAGTTCGAGATGTCCAGTCTGCGCGCTGATTTGGTGGGGCAAAGTTGAGAAATGTAAGAAAACCCTAGGTCAGAGACGAGGTCACGTGGTTTCTACCACAATTTGGACGAGTGTGTTTGATGGCCCCACATCAGGTACTCATCGCCGAGATAGTGGAGACGACCGGCCTGAGGACCTGAATACCTCTGTGGCTGACGGCAGGGACACTTCCAGAGCAGCAGCAATCAATTGGTGATGCTCTGGCTTGTATGAACGGCAGTGTGTCTGATAGATGACGCCACTTCATTTTTCAAATTGGGTCTTATGTGTTTCGGCTGGGTTGCTGCCTTTGCCATTTTATTACCTGCTGCTCAAGCATGTAGACAGCCCGGACAAGGGTCTCCGTTTTCATCCCTCCTAATTCGGCTTTTCCAGCTCATTAGCGAGTGGTTTTGTATATTGGATAGAGGTCATGTTCTTACCTGCAGCTTCGTAAAGCGTTTTCCCAGGCGCATTTAGATCCTCGAGGTGACCGAATGCCTCGTAATTAACACCTAGATCTGCATCCTCGTCGGTAGCCTTTTCGTCTGAACTGGATGACTTTTGAATGGCTTCAGACAACACCTGCTTGACGCCCGCATCCAGTTCCTGAGGTACAATTTCTGGAACCGGAGGCTCTAGCTCTGGAACATCCTCTACAGGGAAAAACCTGGTAACTGGATTCTTAACTAGGTGGGGAGATGAAATGTGAGTGAAAGCATAGTATAGTGGGATCAAGACTTACTTTTACCATCGTTTAAGCTTGCAAGCTGCGAGAAGAATTGGTCTAGCTCTTCGTCGTCTAGTGACACAATTTCCTGAGCCGAATACTCGGTCATTGAGTGCTTTTCTTGAATTGGCGGTTCTTGTTTTGCCCTTGCTTGAGACCATCGTTCCCAATCAAATGTATATCCATCTGTGACAAGGGGGCGGCTGCCATCGAAAGGAAAGCATAGCTTTGCTGAAACAACCAGCAATGATATCAAAAGGATTTCAGGGTGATCTATTGGAAACACCCGCTGCTTTCGAATTGGGTATTGGAAAGTGCAACTCAGGGCACTTGAGAGCTCTTTTGCCCCATGGATCACCTCGGCTGGGTTTCAAGTTAGTGAATTGAGTGAGATGGAGAAAAGGAAAACAAACCTGGTAGTGAAAGATTTCTTGTTAGCTGGACGAAAACCGGCACGTAAGACAGGGCCGGGAATCTGAGCTCGTAGTTGAAGCTAAAGGACGTCACCAGGTGTAAAACTGTTTGGTGTAGCTCTCCACCAACAAAGGGAGTTTGAAAGGGCAATTTCAGCGCTTGGGTGAAAAACGATGGCATTCGGTCTTTCATCTCCTGAGGCAGGCTGAAATACTGGCAGCTTATTAGACTCTAGCACCTCATAGGTAGTGTAATATGTGGCCAACCTACTACTCGATTGTAGGGCATATTGTTGCTCGTAACCCATTGAAAAATCTCCCCGATGCGTATTGGGATCCTGAGAAGAAGACAGCCGAGGTAGCATAGGCCTAACGTATCGCTCATCTTGGGCATGGGCCAATTGGACCCTCTATCGGCGTCCCAACTCCGATTTGTTGAGCTTGATTTTACGACAATTTCTCCTTCGTCGGGTAGCGGCTGAGAACTGAACACCTCCAATGTGTCCGGAGCCTCGGTATCGTCTGGAACGAGGGATGAGAAGGCCCGGATTCGGAGATCCCAGAGGTCACGAACAACCGTTTCAAGTTCCTCTCTGAAGCCTTTTTCGTGGATCATCCAAGACAGCTGATATCTTAAGATGAGCTGGAGAGCTTCCAGAAACAGCCTCTTACCCGCCAGACCAGTGAGGTGCTTTCTCTCTCGCTCCTTGCGTTCCTTCTCTTTTCTCGTGACCATGCCCATCTTACCAGAGTCTTCTTCCTCACCAAGGTCAAATTGAACGAAGCCCTGAATGCACATTCAGCATACTGCCCTCAAGTATTTATCGTGAATCCTTCATGGCATAGCATAGTGCAGGTACTCACCTCGATCTCATGGCCGTTGGATGCGCAAAACCGAAGGCCATTCTCCAGATAGTATCTTCGGTCTCCGCACTGCGTGCATCGCTCACCTCGCGGGAGCTTTCGTGTTTCACTTCGCTCAACCATGTTGATTGTTGTTATCGAGGTGCTATTTTCGGGTCAAGAGGCTGGACGACCTAAATTTCAATAAACAGCATCTCTGAGAGTAAAGCGGTGAATCCATTTGACAAAGACAAGGTTAAAAGTGAGAACCGGCCTATTTCTTAGGAGACAAATCCCTTAATTCCGTAGTTGCAACGACAATGCTATCGTTTGGAATTGATTTACAAGCCGTGGGGTGGAAGCTTTTGCTGGTTTCGGCATCTGGCAATCAGCTACTCAGCGCAAGTGATTGATGTTTGTTCGGGGTGGGTGCCTCCTTTGGTAGACGCTAAATTGGGTTCCGAGGTCAGCCAACATGGGTGGTATGAAATCAACATCAACGTAGCTCGATTTCCGGTTGTATATTTATATATTTTTCGGCGTACGCACGATTTGCTACATACATTGACAAACGAAAAATAACTTTTTTTCTATCACAATACTGAGGCCGGAGTTTAATGGTCATATCTCCAAAGCTCTTCTCTCCTTTTCCTTTCTTTTCATTTTTATGGGAATACATTGTGTGCCTGGATGACATGGCAGCGACGTTATTGAAAACAAGGAAATCAGCATCGTTGCATGGGCATATTCATGGACCATTGTGTATAGAAGTCATAAATCCTCGTCCGTATCATATCCTCACATGCAACGGACCAAACCGCCACTCATGGATACTTGATGAATGTTCCAAATATCAAAATTCAAATCCACCGAGACAAAGCTCAACAAATGAGCAACGATAGAGAAGCCAGGAGTGCAGGAGGCGGCATGTGGAGCTAAAAGAAAACTTTTTAACCCTGCTTGGGAGCCTCCTTGGCTTCAACGGCAGCCTCTTCACCCATGGAGGTGAGAATGACGACGTCTGGGAAAGAGGAAACAAGTTAGGGATGAGTTCAAAGTAGTGCAGATATCAGGGTTACATACTTGTGTCCTTCTCATCAGTCTTGAAGAGCTTGGTGATCTTGTCGCCAACTTCACCGTCGGGCATGCGAACATCATCCTTGGTGTCACCATCATCGTTCATGAGAGAGAGGAAACCATCATCGGAGATGTCGAGCTGCAGACCCAATTAGATTTACGTTCCAAAAATATGGGAAGCTTGTTTGCTTGGAATGACTTACAAGCTGGTACTCGCGGCGGGAGACGTTGGGGACGTCCATGTTGTGGGTGGAGGGACTGAGATCTTCGTACTTCTTGCCAGTGAAGATGTCGAGAGCGACGAGATGGACCTTGGCGTGACCGTGCTTTCCAGTCTTGGAGGTGGACATGTCGACAATCTTGCAGGGGCGGTTCTTGATGACGACGAAACCGTTCTTGCGCAGAGCAGAACACTGCATGGGGTAGGTCAGCGAGGCGCCGGCATCGGCGGACTCGAAGGTAACATCATGCTGATGAGAATTGTGGTTAGCAACAAGTTTCCATACGATGTGTCGTGGTGGTTATGGACATATGTGATGAAGAGGGCAGGGGAGGTGAGGAGCGAGAATGCCCAAGAGGGAAAGTGGTGCGGTTGGAGGGGGTGGTCGTGCGCGTGCCGGCTCTCTTCATCGGAATCGTGCCTCTGGACCCCGCAAGACTGGAACAATTCAAGCGCGAAGACTGCTATTCGCGTCGCAGAAAAGTGTTTGAAGTATTGGACCAGGCTCGAGATGGCTCAATTCGATAACAGCAATATTGCCCTTTGGTGTTCTGCTGGTCGTGGGGCACGAGCCACAATGCGGGGTGATTTTTTGTGTGGCCAGGAAGGGCGACGGCGCAAAAAAAGAGAACAGGTCAAGGTGCGCGGCCAGTGCGCGGGCAGGCAAAATTGAGAGACAAGCTTACCTCTTCAGCCATTTTGATGGATAGCGCACAGAACGGAGTCGTCGACAAGAAAGAAGAAGAAGGGGTTGATGAGGGTGGTGGTTGTGGGAAAGATGGATAGCTGGAGGGAGAGAAATAGAATAGGTAGGAGAGGAGGGGAGAAAAGAGATGCTTAGTGGCATGGGAGGGGCGAGGGTAAAAGTGCGCCTGCTTGGTCTGGTCTCGAATTTTTTTCTCGCCCGTGTGATTGGTGCCCCTCCTTCACTGTCCGACACGCTTGTCACCAAGCAACCGTAATAACAGTGCTCCATACTGCCTGTTGCTGATGCTGGTGCCGTTGCCACTGCTGCCTGACCTGCCTGTCGGTAATCTATTCCATGTTTGTCTGGGAGGGGACAGCTCCTGGTGGCCGCGGCATTGCACAGAAGTGCTGGACGAAGCCCTTGTCCTAGGTAGGTTGCTTGTTCCGGAAAACATACATAACCTCCATAACTCTATCTCCTAAATACACTCACCTATCTATCCGCTGCATATTTCTCCGACCAGCGTGCCCTCTTCTAAACCAATATCGAAAGGGTCCCTCGGGCACCCGCACCGACCTGTTCACAGGATTACTCACTGATGCGGAACAGATTTGTGTGGTGTGTTTTGTCCCCGCTTGCTGCAACGGACTGGCCTGCGGCCAAGTCGCCTCAGATCCATGCCTGGCTCGGTTTAGCGATCCCATTGGAGCCTAATGCTCAATGGCTTGCAGAGGGCCCTTCTTCCCGGGTGATATCCAGATGCGGCGGACCCTGAAATATCTGCAGCGATGCTAGCGACCAATTGGCTTCACCCTGGGTGTGCATCCTCATGTTCGTGGTGACATGACGAGTTGGTGACCCAAGACCTGCATATCCCAAACCTTGAGCTTTCCGTATTCCCAATTCGCCCATGCCCACGAGTGACAGTGGTGTGACGAATGCGGAAGAAATACTTAAACTTACGAGGACCCAAAGTTTCGCCTGGACGCTGCTTTCTAAAATCATTTGAGTTGTGGGCAGACCATCAAAGTAATGTCTTCAGTTAGCAGCTCGGACGGGAGCCAAGCCTCATCGTAATTGTCGATCACGCAGTAGTCACAGACCTCAATCCAATCAACAGATGTCCTTCATCTTCCAGTATCTGAAGCCAGAACATCCACTTGTATGCTGCTTTCTTGCTTTTTGAAGGTAGGCGTCCTTAGGTGGATGGGCAGGAACTGTATTGATCTAAGCTGAGCTAAGTGACGTTAAAATTAAAGCACTCCAACATTAGATATTCTTATGTTTCCGAGCCTGTGACTGATATTTTCAGTTTATGAAGGTCTAGTAATAAATATTCGAGAAACGATATACTACAAATTGCCAATCTATCTCGTTTATATTGCTTCATTATAGTTATTGCTGCTCTCCATTTGGTTGTCTCATTTCTGTCACCCAATCGATGCTGTGTTGCCCGCTGGAGTACGCTGTCTGCCCTGTGCTTGGGGCGCTGGGGCCAATCACTGTCCCGATACCTTGACAGCTGTCCACGCGATTGATAGGTGACGCTACATGGACCATTGCTTAGTCGTAGGTACTAACGTACGTGGTAGGAGTAATATCAAGCTGTCCTTGACCCTGACAACTCCTTACGTAGATGCGCCTGCCAACCACGTGCCTCTTCGTCTTCTAGCTCACTATGTGACACGCCTGTTGAATAGAATTTCTTTCGAGTTTTTCTTTCGCCAGCCCGCCCTGCCTGCACCATGTGGCTGGATCGATTTGGGGGTGCACCCCCCAACGCGTCAGGGTCCTCGACTCCCCAATCCATCGTCAGGTCCTATTCACCACTACCACGACGAACGACGTCCGGCGGTCTCAGCCCGTATGTTACCTCCCAGCGTACAGGGAGCTCTCCTCGAAGCTCATCGCTTTCCTTGGCATCGAATGACTCGACATCGTCGCTCCTCTCCTCCTCGCGCAAGCCCAATGGATCCGCATTACGACAGACATCGACCGTATACGATGGTCCTTCACCGGAGGATATTATAGAGAAGCTCCTCGAGGAAATCCAGGATGACTCCGATCAGCCTCAAGAACCTAGTTTTGTGAAAAAGGAGGACTTGGACCTCATCCCCGAGTTCGGCGGTTTATCTTTAAAGCAACTTGCAGATCGTAAGGGCCAGGGCGAAAGCGATTGGGAGGCTCAATTCTCCGCTCTTTCCATTCGATCGCATTCGGCAGAAGAATGTGCGTATCTACGCAGCTGCTTGCTTGAGAAGCGCACACGCTAACGTCGTGAGGTTTTAGATGACAATCGGAGAACCCAATTCAACGAGCTACATCAGAACATCACAGCCTGCGATGATATCTTAAATTCCGTCGAGACCTTTCTTACTAGCTTCCGTAACGATCTCGCCAATGTGTCTTCCGACATTGAGTCCCTGCAGTCGAGATCTGCTGCGCTGAACCGAAGATTGGATAACCGTCAAGCTGTCGAGAAGGCCCTTTCCCCTATTGTCGAAGAATTGAGCATCTCACCGGAGACAATTACCAGGATAACGGCAGGGCATATTGACGAATCTTGGGTCCGAGCCTTGAATGATTTGGATCGCCGTGCCACCGCACACCAGAAGCGAACCGGCTCACAACCGCCCAAGGCTCTGGAGGACCTGAAGCCACTGCTGGAGAAGCTTATTCTCAAGGTACGAGCGCTTCCTTGGGACCATGGCCCGTTATCAATTGAGACACCCGCTGAAACAGAAACTAGGCAATTGAGCGCATCCGAGATTTCCTCGTTGCACAGATTCGGGCCCTGCGAGCTCCTCAAATCAATGCGCAGATCATCCAACAGCAAAACTTCCTCAAATTCAAGGACCTGTTTACATTTTTACACAAACACCATCAAACTTTGGCGAATGAGATATCCCTGGCATATATGAATACCATGCGATGGTACTATCTCAACCAGTTTGGCCGTTACGAGAAAGCTCTGGGGAAGATCAAATTACATTCTCTTGATAAAAGTGATGCTCTAGGCCAGGAAGATACGCCGAGGAGAGCCAATGTGTTGTCGGCCGCGAGGATACCTGGGCCCCCCCATGACGCCTTCAACCTGGGTCGGCGTATCGATATACTGAAAACCAACAACCCATCTGCCATCTCCTCATACCTCGCAGAAGAGGATCAGTCTACTCATTATCTTGAAGTTCCGTTCCGCAATTTCAACCTAGCCTTGATGGACAACGCGACAGCTGAATACACGTTCCTCGCCACTTTCTTCTCTCCAGCCCTCTCATTCGCTCAAATCTCCAAGAACTTCAACTATATCTTCGACCCCACGTTCGAGCTCGGCCGGACTCTCTCCAAGACGCTTGTTGGCGACACATACGACGCCATAGGTATACTTCTCTGTATTCGACTGAACCAGAGGTTATCTTTTGAGCTCCAGCGTCGAAAAGTCCCCGCAGGCGAGGGCTACATAAACGCTACCAATATGTTACTCTGGCCTCGCCTGCAAGTTATCATGGATAGACATTGCGAATCTGTCCGTAGCTTGACCAATGCTCTTCCCACGAAACCAAGCAAGAGCTCGAGCGATCCATCGAAAATGACTGCAGCGCCTCACATGTTAACACAGCGATTTGGAGCTCTGTTGGAAGCATTCCTGGCCCTAAGCACGGACGCCGGTGATGAAGAGCCAGTGGCCTCCAGCCTGCGGAGGCTGCGGACTGAGGTCGAGACGTTCTTGACTCGGCAAGCTCAGACATACGGCAGCGACAAGAGGAAGGGCTCACGCTTCTTGTATAACAACTACTCCCTAGTCCTTACCATTCTGGGGGACATTGGTGGGAAGATGGCGATCGAGCAGCGCCATCATTTCGAAAAGCTCAAGCTCGCACACCAGGCTGACGCTTGATTTCTGTACTGGATTGGATTTTTTTGGTTTTTTTTCTTCTCTTTGTTAGTCTCGGGCAGCATTGGAGAGGAGTAGGCATGGCGTTCCACATGGCTGATATGTATTTCTGTTCTTTTCTACTTTTTTATTTTCCTTCTCCCATCTTGGTGGAATATTTGTATGTTACATATTGATTGGGTTCCTCAAGTCTATAAATCTTCTTATCCCTCGGCAGCGACGAAAATATCTCTAGTTTTATTTTATAGCACATGCATAAGAGGGGGCCTGGTTCCTTGGTTAGACATGTGACCTGTGCGCGAAACAAAACGAACAAAAACAAAAACAAGCCTTTTTACTGTAGGCGTGTTGTGATGCCGAATAGGCCCATCGTGCGATGAATGGCCGACGGGTTGCGGCGGAGGTAGATGGCCAGGGTGCCCACCGCCACGGCCATGCCGAACGTGGTGGCTACCCGTCGGTATCTCCATAGGAAGACCTTGGCCTTGTTCTGCAGCTCCAGCCACTGGAGCTCCTTGACCTGCTTCTGGAACCAGACCTCCCCGTCCTCCAGGGTCTGGGCCGTCGACGCCTCCACGTCCCTTGCGGTCTTGAGCGCGCTGGCGCTGGAGATGTGTCTCCACGATCGAAGCAATTCGGGCGGGTGGCGCTGGAAGAGCGCGATGGAGTCTGCGATGAGGCCGTCGAGGTCCAGGTTCCGGGGCAGCTTGCCGAGGATGACGTGCAGCATGTCGGCCTCGTCGATCTCGAATATCTCGTCGCGGCGGTCCAGGACTGTCTGGGCGAACACGTAGATGCTAAAGACGGGCTCGCGGGCGATGAGGACGTCGAAGAGGCGGGCGATGTCGTGGTAGGCCTCGATGTTGTGGGCGTACATGGTCAGGGTGCCGGAGAGGGCGTAGAAGGGCTCGACGCCGTCGAGGTGGCGGCGGAGCTTCGGGTCGGCGTGCGCGATGATGTCCGGGAGGAGCTGGAGCTGCGAGGTGGTAGGGCCAAGGGTGGGCAGCATGAAGTCTCGGATCCTGAGGACCGAGAGGCGGGCGACGAGCTGGGCTCGCAGGGGAGGGTCCAGGACCAGGAGGAAGACCTGGCAGACGTCGTGGTAGCCCTGGAAGTAGCATAGGAACGGTAGGCGGCGGAGGACTTCTGTGATGAGAGAGGAGAGCTCGTTCTTGCGTTGTTGGAGCTCGGCGTCGGATTTGTCTGGAGGGAGAGTAGGTAAGTTAGTCGCCTGGGTTTGAATTGTCTGAGAGGTAGTAAGGTTAGACATACTACGTGGGTAGTAGACAAAGGAGCGCTCGACGTCAAGTTGAACCTGGGCTTCGTCCTTGTGAGGTGGAAGGTCTTCCCACGAGGTTTTGGTATTGTTAGAATAACAGAGATGGTCGAGATCATTGCGACTGGAGCTCCCTGTGTTCTTCTCATTCTTTGGCGTTTGCGATTTTACTGCACCAAGGAGAATTGGCCCTGATACCATAGCTTTGTTAGTTGGTGAAGGCGGATTATCAGACATATGCAGGTCCTACGTACAAGCCTGGCGTCGAAGCTCATCCGTTAGGAGGCCACCCTTTGATTCAGCAAAAGAACGGAGGCGACCAAGATCTAAGCGTCGGCACGCATCTTCGATCTCTATGTATTTTGGGTTGGGGACATGTTCAGACTCTTGGCTATGCAACGAGTCCTCAGTGTATTTCTCATCTTGAGACGGAGGGTCAGCAGCCGGCTCCATCTCTACGGTGTTCGTGAGTGAGCCCCGGAAAATCTTGTGTGGCGCGCCTGAAATGCGCCCGACATCTGATGCTACGACGGAAGCTTGATCGCCAGCTAATCAGGCATAATCCAAGGACGATCAAGATAGGCGCCAGCCAGCGGTAGGTCGGAATGTCACGAGACAAGATACCGGTGAGGTACTACACAGCTCGGTGGATGGCAGGTCGGGAGGCCAAACGGGCAGTCGTGCAGGCTGTATCGAGTGCTCTGCCTATGAACCGTCTTACTGCTTGCTTTTAAGACGGGCAGCATGAATGAGCTTGGTTCCTCATTCGGTCTTGGGGTTTCAGAATGAATACATACAGGGTCTTGATTCTTACTATTGGCAGGGGCACGTCACCTCAGAAAGGCCCATTTCCCAGCTCCCGTCTAGAAGAAGTCCAACGGCCCCACCCAGGTACCCGCCTCATTGCTGGCAGTATTTGGCTGGCTGAATTCCTGCTCACACATGCCCGCCTGGTTAACTTGGGCTATGCGCGGTGTTACGCATGGGGATGCAGTGCCTTATCTATCATGTTGGACGGCACTCGCGGGCAAGTTGTTCCTCGCTGTGGGTAGAAGAGATCACAGTAATTAGTCACTAGAGCAATCTGTTCACTCATGAGCACCTTAGGCTTTGGCTGGGAAATGTGGCTGCCCAGGGATCGACCAAATAGTTCAGCCGCAGCGATGCACATCATTCTAGAATCATCAGGGCGGTCAATGTAATGTCTCAGTTAGAGACATAAGCGAAGTTGTGGACAATCGAAAGCATCAGCACCTGCACTTTCTGCCTCTCTCGCCTTGCTGCTGCTCTGCGGGGAAAATAGGCCCCCCAGCTACCTACCTAATATTAGGCACATCCAATCTTCGTAGAGCTCCAGCCGTCCTCCACTACATGAATGCACCTCGACGGGCGACAGCCCAATGCTGCTCCCTCTTGCTTTCTTGTCGATTAGCACACGCGCTTCATCCTGAATTGTTGACCTGGCCGGTCTGTATGCCATCTTTCATCCAATAAAAACCCGCCAATTATCCTACTTCCTGTCGCCCAACAGGCGCCTATGTTCAGCTTTGTGCTCAGGCTCGTATCCACAAGCTCTGTGGTAGCTTGACACCTTTCCGCCAGGGCCCCAGCACTGTTTTCTTCCATCTTCATCTCGCCTTACTACACAAGCTGTCATTTCAACTGGCTGGGCTTTAAAGGACCAGGGACAAGGCCAGGCGATTTTGGCTTCACCCAGACCTGGTCTAGTCGTGTAAAGCCCTCGCTTGGAGCAACGTGCGACCACCTGATTCACTACCGCAAGTCTGGGTATAGCTGACCAACCGCCGAAACTGTCTCGTATATCCCATCAGATACCACCCTTGCGCCACTTGGGCTCCGGCTCCGCCCAAGCTGTGGCTTCTGTTCGTCCAAGTGAGCAAACAGTCGAGACAGAGGTCTCCACCGTAGTCGCCGGGAATTAGGCATGCAACAGCCACCATGGCGTTTGAGACCAGTGTCCTGAGGGACGGTGCCTGGGTCACGGAAAGAGTTGATTTCCAAGCCGCACTGGATGTATATGCACCGCCGACCAAGTCCAACTCCGAGGAGGTTTCATTCGGAGACCATCCTCCCTGTGGGATTTTGTCAAGAACTGTCATTGAGAGTCCCGTTGTCAACTCGGTGCACTCAGTCCGCTTGAGGTCAAGGTGGAAAAATGATATTGCTTTCATTGGAGTATGTGCAGTTGTTTCCTTCTTGGCCCCTCTTCCCTCTGTTCTTCAGATCTCTTTGCTTTTGCTCCCATGGAGAATTGTTTCGGTTCACGAGGGGAGTAGATTGCGTTCATCACCCAATTGGTGGTATGCGATACTAGCAGGACTTTTACCACCGCTAACTGATGTTTCCTAGGACCGATATGTCCAAATATCGGAGCTTCGCAGTGATGGGCAGCTTCACAATGTTTTAAGGGTCACTGACTTTGGCGCCCGAATTCGCAATTCCACAGTCCTGGGCACCGGCCCAATTCCAACTGGAGGTGCTGAAAATGGTCCTTCCTTTGGCATGGACGACGATGTCAAGCTTGAATTGCTCAGCCAATCCGAGCGCGTGTCGATCAATATGAGGGAGGACAAGGCACCCAGCCTTCCTCCACAACTACTTCTCCTGATACTTGAAACGGGAGATATTCTCTTCGCATTTATTCAGCTAGATCCCATCACGAATGCACTTAGACTTGTAACCAGCAAGATCCCGCCACCAGGAAACATCCCATACTTTGGTAATCAGTTTGTTGTTGATCCATCCGGTCGTTACCTGGCAGTTTCTTCCCTGGACGACACCCTTGTCATTCATCTATTAAAACCATGGAAACTACTGAATGAGGAGTTCAAGCAACATGGCCGTATCATGCCGGTAATGGAGACCTCCATCCGAGTAGTGAATGGCAATATTCAAAATATTACATTTCTCTTCCCAAGTCAAGCAGACGAATTCCACATAATTCTAGCCTTGACGGTATTCTCACGGAAACGAACCAACAACCAAGGCTGGATGCTGTTCGTACATGAATGGGAGCTGGGTGATGATCTCTTGAATATGTTTGCGAAAACCAGGAATCCGGTCCGTTTTCCCGAGTTTTCCGAATTCCCCTATCTTCTCATCCCGATCAAATTTGGGAATGCATTCTTTATCCTTTTTCAGCATTTCATTGGATTGTGTAAGCAGTCGTTGTCGGCCCCAGAGTATGAATTCACGATGCTGCATGCTCCAGGCCCATCGAAACATCATCACGGGACCAGCTACCCTCTATGGACAACATGGGCGAAGCCATTCCGGCGGGAGTCATACTCACAGGCGACAGAAATTATCTATCTTGTACGAGAGGATGGATTCCTTGAATACATTGAGTTAGAATCATCCCATCTGATGTTCTCAGTCACTGATGTTGGGTTCCTCAACACTCATGTATCGCTGGCGTTCACTGTTGCCTCTAACGGCTTCTCTGATTTACTAATAATAGGTGGGGATTCCGGCCCTGGAGGTATATGGAAGGCAAGCGAACCGTGCTCATTCAGTTTTGTTGAGATGAACATCTTTTGACTGACTTCTCTCTTCATTTAGCTTGAAGCACGGCAGGAGCCAGAGAAGATCATGGCAATCCCAAATTGGTCGCCTGTTGTTGATGCCACAACGACCGACCTAAACACATCTTTGGTGAGCGTGGCCCCGGCAAATCAGCGTGGAGACAATTCTAGAGGTCACAAGCCCCCGGATAGGATATTTCTTGCCTCTGGACGTGGAGCAACCGGTAGTGTTACAGAAATCCGGCATGGCATCCAAGCGAGGATTGGGCTGGACTTGGAACTGGGTGAACCTGTTCGGCAAGTTTGGCTATTCTCCGATGATAGATTAGAAAGTGGAAGCATGGTTGCAATTTTGGCGCTACCTTATTCCACTGCCATTCTCTCGTTCTCGAGCAATCTGGAAGATGTTGTGGCTGAGCCAGCGGACCAGACGCCCTTTGATTCAACAGCACGTACTCTGTGTTCAGCTCGGATTGTTTCAGACGTCATTATCCAAGTTACCGAGGAAACGATCACAATTGTTACGCACTCTCAGAGGTATGGACAGAGTTGAAATCGGAGACTTGAATTTTTTTTTATTGAAGCTGACGAATGGACTTGTACAGCTCGCAGCACAGGCTCAAAGAGCTGTGTGGTTTGCCAGAATATATACCCCAAAGGGTCTTCTCGGCTCACCAATTCATTGTACTTTCGAGATCTCAACCGCAGGGCTCTGAGTTGCGAGTTCTTCGTGTCGAAGAGATGAATGTAATCCCCGAAAGCTGCTGGGAAACTCCAGGAGAGGATTCTTGCATCTCTCTACTTGAGTCGTCTGGAGAATGTTATCTTCTTCTGGGCGAAATGATAGATAGCTTGCCCTCGATTTCTATCTACTCGATGGATGGGAATCTAGTCAAGAGACAAGGCATCACGGAAAATACAGGTATGGATTCCCTGAAGAAGTGAAATGAAAGGCAATGTCAACTAATATTTTCTCTCATAGCTACAACTCAAAATTCCCAATCCTCACTAGAGGCACTCACAAGTATTGTTGTAGCTAAAGAGCAGCAGGATTACTTCGTCGCCATTGCTGGAACTCGCTGTGGCCGTTTGATAACCTTTCAAATACCCAAAAACGCCAGTATGCAGATCTCTTGGAGGATTGAGCGATTAGGGAACTCGCCTGTGGAAGTGTTTCCCTATTCAAATTCAGATGGGGCCGGTGCTGGAACTCCATTTTTATGCTATGACAACAATGCAGTTCAGCTGGGCAAATATTGCCCTGAATCGAATCGCTTCAAAAGCAAAACAACTATCTGGCCAACGGATATGAGCGACTCTTCTCTTCAAGTACCCCCGATTCACTCTGTCTTTGAAGTTGGCTCATACCAAGGGGATAGTGCCAAATACTCGATGCTTGCAATGGTCGCTGGTACGAGAATGCTTATCGCTGATCTGAGTGGCCACTCTAGCTCTATCCCTCGGAGCATACCTGTTGATGGTACCCCGACAAGGATACTCTATTCAGATGTATGGAAGTGTCTTGTAGTCGGTTACCAGGTTGAAAATAAGCCCTCCATAGCCTTCATCGACCCTGACACTGGGGACTCGATATCAAAAGCGATCGATAAAGACAGAAACGCATGCGAGTTCATTACCGGGCTGGGCCAAGCTGACGATCGGATATTTGGGCTCCAGGAATGGCTTTACATGAAAAACGGCGAGATGTTCCCCTTCATTATTGTCACAACGCAAAGCGGCGGCCTTCTAATCGTCTCTGTCCGGGAAGAAAGGAAGAGGAAACAAGAAGGCGGCACTAGACAACTTCAGCACTGGACCCGATATAGGAAGAAAGGGTTCAAAGTGCCCATCTATTCAGTAGTGCCTGACCAGGAAGGACTTGTCTACTGTGCTGGCCGAACACTATACTGGGACGTCCTCGACTTGGCTGAGAAGAAGATGAAGACAGCCAAGTCGTTTGAGCTGGACTCGCCAGCTACTTCGCTGTCGATATCGAACGGGAAAATCTGGGCGTTGACGAGCATGCATTCACTCCAAATTGTGGACCATCGGAGTGATCCTGGATTACACGATATGAAGCTTTTGCATATCGATCGGGCCACACGAACAACGAGCCACATGATTAGCGTTGGGCCAACTACGCAAAGTGATCTCTGGCCAGTTACACTTCTGTCTGATGTCTCGGGTGGCATTGCGGGTGTGTGGGTGCCATGGGATAAACGAAACCAAGAGCTGGTGGCGGTATTCGAAGGCCAGCTGGGCAACTCGGTGAGGAGATTTATACGAGCAAAGTGCCGCCCTACCTGGCTGCTGGAAGGGCATACGCGGCCGCGGTACGGTTGCATACAAAGCACTGCCGACGGGGCTGAGATCTTGGGCGTTTCTCTGGATGGATCGATGCGGCATTTCACTCTTTTACAGCAAGACCTCAGGCGATTTCTGTATCTTGTGCAGTCGCTCTGGAGAGCCGAGAAGTCGGCTAGATATCCCCACGAACAGCTCAATACGCTCCTCCAAGCTATGGAGCACCCCAAGAGCCAGCATATCGATGGTGATGTGCTGATTGCCTGTCTGGATCAGCGATTACTGGAGAGGTTGGTCCATGAGAGCGGTACTCAGGATCTTTTCCGCAGATATCTGGATGAGCTGGAGGGTGGGTTGCACACGAGAAGCTTTGGACGAATCGACACCGAGGAGAGCATGGATTTGGGCCTGGGGGATGATCTGCAGGGGAAATATATGAGACTGGGGTACGATATCTTGGACTATGTTCTCGCGCCTGTTCTCTAGCAGACAGGGGTTATCTTCAAGATTGGTCTATCATTTAACTTGTTCATGCAAATGACAACAAATAGATGCTATCCACACTTCAAGGTCTTGGGTAGGTCCCCTATTATGCAGGTGTTGCTGTCAAAGTGGGTGGGCAAGCGGCTATGCTATCTTAATATTACATAATATTGAAGCTGGGCATTGAATTTCGGGCAAAATTTCTGGTGAATGATCCAGTGCCGAGTGACGTGGTGAGCTGGTAGGTAGGTAGTGTATTCAGGTGCCTCGAAGCGGGGTCCAGGCGCTCAAGGGTGCCTGCTCGGCGCTATGCGGCCTGTACTCACTGCCCCTCTCCCTCGTGAGGGGCCTGTAGCAGCAACGGGCAGAGGCACCTACAGGCGCTGGCCGACTTGCCCCGCGGGAACGTCTCTCCACATCACCAATACCTGCCTGGCCATTGAAAAAAAGAATCAACCGCCCTCTCGACAGCCCGCACGGTTCCTGGTGATCGATTGACCCTGACGGAAGCAGACCGGACCCAACGACCAGGCAGGCTGAGCGATTTGCGACCGACCTGTGATCCCCCGTTTGCCCAGTCTGAGGAGCTTACCAGAGCATGTCTTGTCGGTTCCTCCCACTTCCTCAGCAACCTTCTCCTCCCTCGCTGGATTTGCCACCAGACCCCGTCAACCCGTGCTGAAACCGAAAGGCTTCCTGGACCTTCCTTCGGATACATACGTAAAGTAGTATATCCGACCGTAAAACCTCCAGACCAAATCTCGACTCTTTGTCTGTTCCCAACCTCACACTCGACCGTGCGTGTGTGCCTGTGTATAGTTTCGCAGCGCAGTCCCCCCACAACGACTAATCTAATACCGATTGCTTCCTATACTTTGAGAGGACAACGTTAAATTTTTAATCACGAACCTCGAAAATTACACAAGAGAGCATTTGAGAAAAAAACCAAACACCGACATCATGCCGCCCAAGAAGAAGAACAACAAGAAGGCCCAGGATGACTGGGAGGCCGACCTGGGCGAGGCCATTGCCCCCAACGGCGGCGCCCCCCCCGCCGAGGACGCCGATGCCGCCGCCAACGAGGACGGCGAGGAGGCCGCCGCAGGTGGTCTGATGGCCATGCTGCGCAAGAACAAGCAGAAGCGCAAGGACAAGGGCCTCCCCGAGGTCGAGGCCGCCGAGACCCCCGTCGACGAGCCCCCCGTCATCAAGACGGCGCAGGAGGCCAACATGGACGACGAGTTCGCCCTGCCGGATAAGAAGGGCAAGGGCGGCAAGGGCGGCAAGCAGGCCCAGCAGAAGAAGGCCGAGCCCCAGGGCGACGACGACGGCTCCGGCCGGATCCTGACCAAGGCCGAGAAGGAGAAGCTGAAGAAGGAGCGTGAGAAGCAGCGTAAGAAGGAAAATGTGAGTTGGCAACCCCCCTTTTCCATGTTTTTCTTTGGTGTACAAGATTCATGTCGCTAACCACCTGAATTCAACAGGCCGCGAAGAAGAAGACGGAAAAGCCCGAGCCTGCCAAGGCCGCTCCCGAAAAGAAGGAGGAGGCGGCACCCACGCCGGCCGCGGCCGCCGATCCGGCAGCTGGAGGCAAGAAGAAGAAGATTCCTGCTCATCTGCTGATGATTCAGAAGCAGCAGGAGGAGCTGCGCCGCAGACAGGAAGAGGAAGAACGTGCCAAAGCCGAAGCCAAGCGCGTGGCTGAGGAGCAAGATCGTTTAGATGCCGAGGAAATCAAGCGCAGGGAAGAGGCCAAGGCGCTCAAGAAGCAGAAGGAGAAGGAGAAGATTGAGCAGCTCAAGAAGGAGGGCAAGTTCATGACCAAAGCCCAGAAGGAAGAGAAGGCGCGAAATGAGAAGAAGCTGCAGCAGATGTTGGCTGCCGGTATCAAGGTTGGCCCTCAGGAAGACGCCCCAAGCGAGCCTAAGAAGAAGAACGAGGCACCTAAAAAGAAGAGCAGGCAACAACAGAAGGTATTTATCCCCCCTCCCCCCTCCCCCTTCACCTTGAATATGTATTTAAGCAGTTACTAATTCTGTCAACTAGATTGATGAAGAGAAGGCTCTTGCTGAGGCCGCTGAGCGCGCCCGGTTACAGGCAGAGAAGGACTTGAAGGAGGCTGAGGAGAAAGCCGCCCAGAAGAAGGCTGAGGAGGAGGCCGCCGTTGCTGCTCAGAAAAAGGCCGAAGAGAGCGACGTTGAAGATGACTGGGAGGCAGCAGCAGCATCTGACGAGGATGTTAAGGACAGCTGGGATGCCGATTCAGACGAAGAAGGCAAGGCCAAAGAAACCAAGAAAGGCGAAGACGCTGAAGAAGAGGACGAGGATGATGACGAATCTGATGAGGACGACGAAGATCACATCTCCGCTGCTCGTGCGGCGGAAGCCCAGAGGAAGAAGGAGGCTGCTGAGCGGAGAGAAAAGGCGCACCAGGCTGCCCTGGCTGCTCGTTCAAAGGACAACCTTCGATCACCCATTTGCTGTATTCTGGGTCACGTCGATACCGGAAAGACCAAGCTGTTGGACAAGGTCCGTCAGACCAACGTTCAAGAAGGTGAAGCTGGTGGTATTACCCAGCAGATCGGTGCCACATACTTCCCAGTCGAAGCTCTCAAGCAGAAGACGGCCGTCGTCAACAAGGACAACAGCTTCCAGTACAAGGTTCCCGGTCTGCTCGTCATCGATACCCCTGGTCACGAGTCTTTCTCGAATCTGCGTTCTCGAGGTTCTTCTCTCTGTAACATTGCTATTCTGGTGGTCGATATCATGCACGGCTTGGAACCTCAGACCAGGGAATCCATCCAGCTGCTCAAGGACCGCAAGACGCCATTCATTGTTGCCCTGAACAAGATTGATCGTCTTTATGGCTGGAAGAAGGTCGATAACAACGGCTTCCAGGAGAGTTTGCGCCTCCAGAACAAGGCCGTCCACAACGAATTCCAGACTCGTCTGGAGAAGGTCAGGCTCGAGTTCTCCGAGGTGGGCTTCAACTCTTTCCTCTACTACGAGAACCCTTCGCTCAAGAACAATGTGTCTCTCGTGCCCACCTCAGCCCACACTGGTGAAGGTGTACCGGATATGCTGAAGCTTATCCTTCACCTGACCCAGGAGCGTATGACCGGCTCTCTGATGTACCTGTCCGAAGTCCAGGCCACTGTCCTTGAAGTCAAGGCTATCGAGGGTTTCGGTATGACCATCGATGTTATCCTGTCCAACGGTATTTTGAGAGAAGGAGACCGCATTGTCCTGTGCGGAACAGAAGGTGCCATCAAGACTAATATCAGAGCTCTGCTCACACCACAACCGCTCAGAGAATTGCGTCTCAAGTCTCAATATATTCACAACAAGGAGGTCAAGGCTGCTTTGGGTGTGAAGATCAGTGCTCCTGGCCTAGAAGGTGCCATTGCCGGTTCCAGGCTCATGGTTGTCGGTCCCGATGACGATGAGGAGGACATCGAGGACGAGGTCGAGTCTGATCTCGCCAACCTCCTGAGCCGAGTCGAGAAGTCCGGAAAGGGTGTCACTGTCCAGGCATCCACCCTTGGTTCCCTGGAGGCCTTGCTTGACTTCTTGAAGGACATGAAGATCCCCGTCGCCAACGTTGGTATCGGCCCAGTCTACAAGCGAGACGTCATGCAGAGCGGTATCATGCTGGAAAGGGCACCCGACTACGCCATCATGCTGTGCTTCGATGTCAAGGTCGACAAGGAAGCCCAGGCTTACGCCGACGAGCAGGGCGTCAAGATCTTCACCGCCGACATCATCTACCACCTGTTCGACTCCTTCACCAAGCACATGGAGGAGCAGCTCGAGCGCAAGAAGGAGGAGTCCAAGATGTTGGCCGTCTTCCCCTGCGTGCTCAAGCCCGTCGCCGTCTTCAACAAGACCGGCCCCATCGTCATCGGTGTCGATGTCACTGACGGCCAGCTGAAGATCAACACGCCCATCGCAGCCATCAAGCAGAACCCCAACACGGGTGCCAAGGAAATCATCAGCTTGGGCAGAGTGTAAGTTCCACCCCATTGCTTTCTTATCCTAGTATAACCCCGTTTACTAACAATCGTCTAGGACGTCCATCGAGCGTGACCACAAGCAAATCCCCGTGTGCAAGAAGGGCCAGCCCTCCGTCGCCGTCAAGATTGAGATGGGCGGCAACCAGCCCGTGTACGGCCGCCAGCTCGAGGAGACCGACACCCTCTACAGTCTCATCTCCCGTGCCAGCATCGACACCCTGAAGGAGTTCTACCGCAAGGACGTGAGCACCGACGAGTGGAAGCTCATTGTCAAGTTGAAGCCCATGTTCGACATCAACTAAGGGAAGGAAAGGGGGGTTTCTTATCTAGGTCATATGTAGTGTGATTCAAACAAAAAGATTGGCAGTACGGGTTGTCGTTTTCTCTTCACCATTTACATCCATGCATCATAACTAAAAGTTATTTCATAAATCGGGACTCTACTCTTTTGTGTGTGATCTCTCTCATCTTTCTCGCATTTCTTGAGACGACATGCATTCAGGTGGAACAAGTGTAAAGCTTCACGAATTCATATGAACCTTAGGTATAATATAGAAATATGTGTTTAGAGTGGCCTAAAAATCGGCATATGTCCCATCATCATTTAGCACCTGTCTTTTACCCCCTCTCTGCGTCCCCCGGAAAAAAAGAAGCTGAACCAGAACCAGAACCAGAACCTTAGAATCTATACTGGCACAATTCCAGCTGCCATTAGTTTTACCGCCATGTTTCGTTCGTCATCAACAGCGTTAGCAAACTCCTCTACCCGCAAACATCTATTTTGGGTCGCCCTCCGTTTCTGGCGTCGCGTCGGCGTCCTTCATCTCTGCGTCCGCCTTGTCACCCTCGGCGGCTTTGCGGGCATCCTCCTCGGCCTTCTTGGCGGCCTTCTCGGCATCCAGACGCTCCTGGACGGCGATTCGGTCGGCCTCAACCTTCTCGAAGTGGCGCTGGACGATGGGGCCGGCCATGGCGCGGATCTCGTCCATCTTGGCGATGTAGACTCCCTTAGAGGCATCCTCGCCCTCGTCGTACAACCAGTCCTAGGAAGCAGGGTTAGAATAACATTCTGGGAGTTCGGAAACAGAATGGGAAACATACCTCGGAAGCTTCTAGCTTGGCCTTGATGGTGGCCTTCTCCTCCTCGCTGGCGAACTCATCGTATTGGTCATCGAGCTTAGCTCGGAGGTCGTAGATGTAAGCCTCAAGCTCGTTCTTCTTCTCCTCAGTGTCTGCAACAAGCTTGTCCTCCATGACCATGGAGGATTCCTTCTCTGTCAAGGAAGCCTTGACGCTCTCCTCCAAAGAGGCTGTGCCACTGACGATAGGAAGATCACCCTTGCGGACCTGCTTCTTAACCTTGCGCGTCTTCTTCTCTTCTTTGTCGGTCTCCATAGCCTATTTTTGAAATCGTGTCAGTTAAAAATACTCCTGAAGCGGTCCTTGTATAACTTACATCAGGGTCCTTCTTCTCTCCGTCCTCCTCCTTGACCTCCTCCTCGACTTCCTGATCCTCAACGTAGTAACCGTTCTCAACGTTCAAGATACCGTGAATGTTGACACGGGCCTTGAGCTTGCAAATCATAAAGTCGTCACCACCGTCCGCCTTGACTCCCTTGACGGAGAAGCGACCAATCCAGGGGTTGGTCTTGCCAGGGAGCTCTTCTGGCTTGGCGTATCTGGCCTCCAGATCGAAGGGCTGTTTCCTGTAGAAGGTCAGGATCTTAGTAGAAGGAAGGACATTGCCCTTATTGAAAACGGTGAGGCTAGTGTCCTCATCAGGGATATCAGGGGCCTTCTCCCATGCGAACTCGATGGGGTAGCTGACAATGTCCTGGACGGCGAAGTCACGGACACGGAAAACGGGAGAAAGGATGGCACAGCTGAAGGCGGAACCACGGGCGACAGCCTCGTCAGCGTTCATGGTGTATGAGAGGGGCTTGCCGAAGAAAGACTGGATGCGCTCCTTGAGGGCGGGGACACGAGATCCACCACCAATGATCTCAACGACATCGATGTCTTCCTTGGTGAGCTTGGCCTGGGCCAGAGCCTGCTCGAGAGGAGCGGCTGTGCGGACGAGGAGAGGCTCAATGAGAGTCTCGAACTCCTGGCGGGTAATGACGGCAGAAGCATCAACATCGTTCATCAGAGACTCGATGTTGACGGGGGCCTGCTGGTTGGCAGAGAGAATCTTCTTGGTCTTCTCAGCGGCGGCGATGGTACGGGCCATGGCGCGGCCGTGGGTGTAGATGTCGACTTTGTACTTGCCCTTGAACTCCTTGGCGAGGTGGTCGACCAGAGCCTTGTCGAAATCACGGCCACCAAAGTTGCGGTCCCAAGCAGTAGCCTTGACAGCTAGCTCACCCTTCTTGAACTCGACGATGGAGACGGTGTAGTTGGAGTGACCGATATCGACAAAGGCAACTCGGCGGGGCTGCTCCTCAGGAGCTGGGAGATCCAGCTTGGTGATTCCCCAGCCAAGAGCGGCAGCTGTGTTGTCATTGATAAGACGGAGGAGCTTGAGGCCGGCGATCTCGGCGGCATCGTTGAGAGCACGGCGCTGGACATCGGTGAACCAAGGAGGAACACTCATGCAGATATCGGAAACTGGTAGCTTGAGCTCGGCGGCAGCGGTCTGCTTGATCTTGCTTAGGTACATGGCCACGAGCTGGGTGGCGGTGAACTTCTCCTTGTTGCCCAGGTAGTTGACTTCAGCACCGACTTGGCCGTTGACATCAACAAGGGGAGCAGTGACGAACTGCTGCTCAATCTGGACATCGGGATCGCTGAATTGGCGGCCAGCAAGACGCTTGAGGCAGTTCACGGTGTTCTTAAGGTTGGAAATTTCTTGCGTCTTGGCGGTCTCACCGAGGTATCGAGACTTGGTGCCGAAGCCAACCAAGGATCTATATGAAGAGATCTGTCAGCCCAATTTGCTTCTTCACTTTGTTTATTTCGGTAGGGAGGGGGTCTGGCTTACGGTGTGCTTCGGTTTGAGACTTCATTGGTGATCTGTTGCAAACAAAAAGTTGTCAGCCGTTGTTCCTTGGTAATTGTGCAAAGTTTATGTTTCAGTCCTATCATCGTGAAAAGCCAGCGCTCTTGACTGTATCTCGATTGCGAGGATGTTGCATGCGGATGGATTTTCAAGACTGGGTACTGGGAGGGGGCATGGAGGGGCAGAGAGAGAGGCACTCACCACATCGACACCACGATTTCTCGCGACAGCAATCACTGTCTTGAGCGTACCGAAATCGACACCTAGCTTGAAGTTAGCATGTCCATTTTAACAGGGCGAGAAAGCAAGCAGGTCTTGCTGCTGTTGATCCACGGGCAGGACGCAGTGAGGGGCAGCTCGATCGCCATGGGGACCCCCAGCACTTTTGCTCGCGGTCTGGACGCAGCAGCAGGAACCCAACGAGCAAGGGACCGAAAGTATGCAAAGGCGTAACGTACCGACGACACTCATGGTTACGGCTGAATGTGATGAGAACCGCGATCGGTAAAGAGACGGGGTTTGTGTGTTGTATCGTTGTTCACGACCTGCGCACGACAAGATATCGACGAGGAAGCGAAGCGGGCGGCTGGAGGGGCAGGCGGATAGTATATTTTGCTCTATGAAGTAAAAGGAAGGGTTTATGCAATAGCGGAGAGGTGCGTTGGTTTACGAGGGGCACAAAAAAAAAGTATTAATGGTCGGGTCCTGCGGGCGGTTGCTTTGGGCAAAGCCTGAGGAAAATTTAGCCAGGGCGAAGTATCTGGTACAGCGCCTACTAAATATGTCAGTTGGCAGCCACGGGTTGTGCTAATAACAGTGCTCTTAGTAACACAGGCCACAGCCAAGGCATCCTCCTCCACGTAAGTCGCCGGTATCGAGTACCTCCAGCCATGTCGGTGTGGTAATTCGTGGTGTCCGCCATTGCATCCTAGTGCCGGTGCTGCTTTGCATCTCGACGAGTTTTCTATGCACTGATTGCCGCCGTTGAGCGTGGGCAGCCGTTGCCGTTCCCCAGCTCCTGTTCCCGCTAAAGCAGCGCTGCCCGACGGTGCGCTCAGGCAGGGTTGGACTTGTAAAAGCTGCTCGCTGTGGCCGCCGCGTACCTGGTACTACGGGCCTGGCTCGAGTGGAGGGCGATGGGGGTTGCCAGCTGGTTCTACAAGGCTCTGCCTGTTGAATTGCGCTTTCGCGCTTTGCCAATTGGACTGTTCGAGAGCAATAGCAATGCTCGTCATCCCACCCCGGAGCCTCTGCCCCGCCATCGAAGTTGAAAGAAATTTCCAGACACTTCAAACTGCCCCGCGACCCCGATAAGATAAGGAACGTGGCGTCCCAAGTACCGTACATTGTCCTTTTGCTCGAGTCCAGTCCAGCCTCCATCCAAACAAAACATGCACAAAGCTGCATCTCAGTCAGGCAGCTTTGCCATCTTCCTCAGCCCCTTCCCTCCATCCTACTTGGAGGTCAAAATGGGTCTTTGGACATGTGATTTCAAGATTTTCATATGCACTGACACCAGTTTCCACCATATCCTCGCTGCAGCAGGTACACCCCGGTTTCGTTGCTATGTAAGTGAGTGAATGTGGAGAGATGAGGACCACCTCCCGTCCGCGACACAGAATGACTACACTACCCAGCTCTAAGGCGAGGAAATCTCTTTATCTGACCCTCTTGGCGCCTTTCTACATCTCAATATCTCGCAGAGATGGTGTGGGGGACATAGCCAAATTGGGCAAAAAAGGAACAGGGTTCTGTACACCTCATCTATTTACGAACAGGGATTCATCATGAGTGGCGGGGCAACACACAATGTGCAGAACCGCCTCATCGCATGAACCCAGCCAATCCAATGTCACTACGTCATGCGATACTACCAAGTGCATTTCCAAGACGCTCTAGATCGAGTCCGAGGCAGCATTTGGTTGAACAAAAGGCAGGGAACCCACGACCAACCAAGAATGAGGCGACGCATAACAGCTGTGAAAACGAACAGCGTCAACTAGGTGACAGAAGAAATGAGGCATCCATATGAAAAGCGTTCATAAGCAGACCGCTTTGTATAATGGCTGCCTAAAATAATTCAACCGTGTTCCATTTCCCCTTGGAATTCAGGAGAATAATAAGCGAGAGAATCTATATAGAGGATTCCAATGTTAGAAATAGCTTCGTTCTTAGAGAGTGAGGCTCAGTAGTGCTAGCAAGCTCACGATCAGACCTGAACGTAACGTTTGAAACCACTTGCTGGCCAAGCAAAACTTTGATCTTTCTAGCCAAAGGACCTCCATTCTATCATTATGCGCTTCAATTCGAAAATTCTGTATTGCTCGCTCGAGCGCGACCGACTCTCGGGGAAGTCCTTTTCGAGTCGTCCTATCTGTGACCGATTTTCACAAAAGTGATGATATCTAAGGTGCCGAGCACATGAAGTGGCATGTCACCAGTATCGAGAGGATAATTCGAGAGTTCTCCGAGCTCGTAGGCACTACAAGATGTGTGGAACTGCTATAATGACGAGTGTAAACCATGACTGCTATGATGGCTGAGTAGGGCTCAGGGAAGACCAAGACTGGAGTCAAAATGGGGAGGCAAGACAAGGTCGCATATATCTTGCTCTTGCGGGCCATTAGGTTAGCTTAGTTCAATAAGAACACAGTATCAAACTTGAAAAGACTTAATTGTGCATGAAGTTGTCCAACATTTTATCGAAGCAGGTAGCATAATAACAGCTTAGTTATGGCAAGCCTTTGATGCCAGACAGACTTTAGTCTCGCCTCCATCATGTTGGTCAATTCGTTACGCTCATGAGCAAAGTCACGATCTCGTACAGACTCATGTCAAGTACCTGACAATGAACTGATAATTTCCATATCGCAATATAGCCGATGCAAACGAATCTATTGAGTGTCTCTAGCTGGTATCACTCTCCTTAGTTGCTTTTGATGTCATCATCCATAAATTAACAAGTTCATCCCGAGAAACCCGTTATCACTTTATTCCCAGATAAAGGTCTATACATGGCAGCGCCGACTCCATTGAAACGCTGGCCGTTCGTGAACTCTTACGCCCTCAGTAGTGTCGAGAGTTCAGACGGGGCCATTGAAGTATCGCTCAAAACATTTTCCTTTTTTTGTCGTCAGTTCGCTTATTAGCACATCCTGTATACGCTCTGGCCCTGGGAGGAGCGGTTTTGATCCTCGCTCTCGAAGTTGTAGTCAATCTCAATATCAAGATCACGGCGGTTCTTAGAGTTGGGTTTGACGCGCAGGATGCAGTCGACCTCCTCGCCCTGCTGGACGGTGAGGACATCCTTCAGGTAGAAAACAGTCTGCTTCCAGTGGGTGTACTTGGTGTGGGGACCAGTAGAGAAGCGGATGGGCTTGTGGCAAGCAGCGAAGTCAATATCAAACCAGGAAACCAGGGCGTGGATGTAGTCGTCACGCTTGACGGAAAGCTTGAAGTTGGAAGTGAATGCCAGGTCAGCAGTGGTGCAAGTGTTGAGGTCCAGGTTCAAGACAGAGATTGGGTCGGTGACAACAGTCTTGACCTCGACAGTGTCGACCAGAGGCTCGGACAGAGCAGTCTCTTTCAGAGGGGAGTAGTCGAAACCATAGACGTTGTCCCAAACTTAAATTGCAAATGTTAGCAATAGTCGCCGGTACAGAAAGGCTCGTCCACCAAATTGAGAGGTACTTACATCCAATCTTCTCGTCCTTGTAGTCGCCATCCTCAATTCCGGCGAAATAGATGGAGGCCTTGTCGGGGAAGATCAAGCCGCCCTTCTCCAGATAACGGTCACGGGCGTACAAGACGGTGTCCAGCATGGACTCGTAGAGAAGGAAATAACCCATCCACTCAGAGATGATAATATCAACCTTAGGGAAAGGAAGTTCAACCTCCTCCATCTTTCCCTGGATCAGGGTGATCTTATCGGAGAGGCCATTGACCTTGACGATCTCGCGGGCCTTGAAAATAATGGTTGACATGTCCACGCCAATAACGTGCTTGGCGCCAGCCTTAGCAGCGAACCTGCATCATCCAACGAAATCCTTTGTCAGCTCTTTGTTTCTGAATTTGCAATGATTCGCGGGCGGCGGTGCCCTCGTTGATCCTTCGGAGGCAGGATCTCGTGCACATACATGGAAAGAATGGCGGTACCGCAACCGACATCGAGAACGACCTTGTCCTTGAAGATGTGCTTGTTTTGGATAATTGCCTGCATATAAGACTTGGTGCGGACCTCATCTTTCTGTTCGGTTGGTTAGGTTATCGCTGTCATGTATCGTGGGGCCATTCAGCCAAAACATGGTGGGGGAGGGGAAACTCACCAACATCTCCTCGTGGATGCCTATATAAATGAAGCGGCAGGAACCATAATGTCAGTCAAGACCTCCAGAAAATACCAGCGCAAAATCGGAGTATTAATATTAGACCGTACCATGGTGATCGTAACTGTGCGAAGCGAATTTGTTAGCCCAAGGTGTCCAGACTGCGCCGTTGGGTTGGAGAAGGGCCTTGCGAAAAAAAAATCAGGGTTCTGCTACACTGTACCTCTTGAAATAATGCTGCTCGCTGTGCTCCATAGAGTTCATCTTCTGCTCAGCAGCCTCGACATCCATCTTGTCGCCGCTCATCTTGATCGCGATTATGGAAATGAAGAATTAGCGAAAGTTGGGTGGCACGGAAAATATGGAAGAAGCAGCTGTTCGAACTGTCGCAGCAGCGCAAAGTGGTTTTGATCGGGCAGAAAAGAAATTCAGGACGGTCACCGCCCACCACCAGCAAGTTCTACTTAACCTAGCGCCCAGCTCGACTCGCGCAGGACCCTTATGCCGCCCCACTCGGCACGAATCAGATCAGCACGCGCGGTACTCCATAATAGAAGGATCGATTCATGATGCTTGTTGCATGGATGGATGGTTATGTCAGGGCTATTTTCAGTTCTTCCATTGGGCTCTCAAATCAACAGGATGCACTGCTGAGAACCAATGGGTAGTTCTGCAGTGAGGCCACATAATTGCAAATACATGATCCTATCTCGGCTGAGAGAGAATTCGCACGACTGTGTTGGAACAAACTCGTGCTTCAAGAGAAAAGGTTGAAATCAGAAGCCGACCACACCTGGTGCCAGTTTGTCTACCCCTCCTCAAAGCATGTCGCTATTGCAGGATTCGATCAAGCCAGGGCATTTCCGTGTCTTAAAATAACTGCGTCTTACTATATGGATTACTATACAGATTACTTTACCGCCATGCACACATCTATCATTGCTGAGTATCCGTTGGTTACAGGGAGGAATCCGCAACAACTCAACGCGCAGCTGTAAACATACCTAACTTAACTACCTACCTAATAGCTAAGTGGCGGAAAAAATGAGACACCAAGGGTCTTATGTAGTCTAAACTTTTGGAGCTATAGCGAGTTACTTCGATTTCTTCGGACTTACAATAAAGACATGGCTAGATAATACCTGTATATCACCAAAGCATCCCATTTTTGTTGTTATATTCTTCTGGTTTATTGAAGATTGTGCTCTACCTAAGGTAATTGTCAATTTAGTGTCTCATTTCTTCTATCACCCATTTCTAAGCAAACCTGATGCACATTGCACACAGCAAGACATGGCATCACCCCAGATTTCAGCGGGTCCCCGGCCGCGGTGTTTTTCCGGCCAACACCACAGCTCGCTCGGCATCCAAACACCAACTTTTTTGCTAGGTCGACAGGCAGGCTACACATCCTCGATCGCAATTGGCAGCCCCTCCGGACCTCAATCCGCCATTGGAACAGTCCCGCCACGCCTCAGAGGCACTGCTTCACCATCATGAGCAGGGCGCTCTTCCGCAGCTCCCTCCCGGAGCTCGGGAGCTTCAGCGCAGCCCGTCTCCGACCTACCGCCGCCGTGCTCCCATTCTCTTGGGCCACCCGCTCGTTCAACAGCACCGCTCCCATCGTCGAGCCCGTCTCCTCCGTGAACAACAACGCCCCCAACCCGACGTCCAGCCAGGTCCGCCCCCTCGCCCTCAAGAAGAGCCACCCAGCCGCTCCCCCCGCCCCCATCGCCGACTCCGTCAGGAACCTCCTCCCCTTCCTCGCCGCCCAGCCGGGCCACTACATCACCGTCCACATCCACGGCTTCCCCTACCTCGTCCAGGAGGGCGACCAGATCCGCCTCCCCTTCCGCATGCCCGGCGTCCTCCCGGGCGACGTCCTCCGCCTCAACCGTGCCAGCGTCATCGGCAGCCGCGACTACACCATGAAGGGTAGCCCCCACATCGACGAGAGGGTCTTCGAGTGCCGCGCCACCGTCCTGGGCGTCGAGTCGGAGCCCCTGCGCATCAAGATCAAGAAGAAGAGGAGGCAGAGGCGCAAGAGGCAGGCCAAGAGCAAGCACAGGTACACCATCCTGAGGGTGTCGGAGCTGAACATCAAGAACCTGGAGGAGGCGGCGACGGAATGAAAAGGGCCGACAGCGATTATCATCTATCCAATTGGAGGAGTTTTTGGGTGTGCGAGAATGAGAATTGTATCAGCATCACGAGGGCATATCAAAGCCGTCTGTACCATTTCCTCGAGGAAGAAACCCTTGTATAATAGATATTTGACTAAATGACTAAAAATGTGCCATTACCGACCAAAACTATAAGATCCAAAAAAGCAAGAGTAGTTGGTCTATAATTGTATTATGCTGAAAATGCTTGGTTTTTAATGCGAAATCGCTATAACAAAACACGGAGTTCAAGACGCTATGTCGTCTTGGAGCCACCAAACTCTTTCAATCCTCAGGGATTTCAAAAACAGATAAGTACAATAGGGGGTATTTAATAGGCCCGCGGTGAAGAGGTACCAAGCAAGATTGGAAATAGCAACGAAGGAAAAAAAGAAGCTCGAGAATGGGAAACACCAAACACCGTGGCAACAAACGTTTGCCCTCTGCCAATCGCCAATTGTTCATAATAGCATTAAAATCGTCCAGCTCTCGAGGAAAGATGATATAAGTGCACGATATTCCCTCAGGAAAAAGCACGGAAGAAAGGTGAATATGATACCAGAAAAGCTTCTAAGCGCGAGATGTGAGATAGGTAAGCAAGTGCACTCGCCTCCCCGCCTGCTTCTCTTTTTTCGAGCTGCGTTTAGTGTTTGCTGTGCGCGTATTTGTGGCTGGGTGGACAGATCTCATCTCATGATCTGTTTCCTGTAGCTTTTCTAATGCTCGCCCAGTATGCCTGTGGCCACACATTCTTGCTCTCGGATTCCGTCGGCATGCGCTCACGGCAGCGTGTCACGACACTCTGGATAATTCTTCCCAGGAGCTCTTCGTCAATGGGGAGGCCCTTGTCACCAAGCTCAGCAGGGTGAAGGAAGGGATCCGTTTCGTGTAGGAGCTCCTCGCAAGTAGGCCGCATATGCTGATCACGAAGCAAGCAGCGCTTCATCGTGCGAATCAATGAGGGAGGAACGGTTACACCACCGAGACCGCGGGAAGGAAACTCGATAGCATGGTCCCAGTTGATAATTGCTTGGCACCGAACCACATAGTTGGGAATGTGGTTAAATGGAGGAGCACCATAAACCATCTGGTAGAGAATGCAGCCAAGCGACCAGACGTCACTCGGTTTGCCGAGCTTCATCAGTTTAGGACGGCCAGGAACACGGCCGTCGCGGGAACTATTCGAATCAAGCAGGGATTCTGGAGACATGAAGTTGATAGTTCCAATCTGGGTTTCACGGTGGATATTGACAGTCTCATCAGTCTGAATCGCATTAGCGATGCCGAAATCAATGAGCTTCAAGCGTCCCTTGACGAGAACAAAATTCGCGGGCTTGAGATCGGAGTGAACGACATCATGCTGGTGGACAGCACTGAGGCATTCAAGCATCTCCTTCCAATAATGTCGGACAAAAACGGTATCCAGCTTAGCTTCTTCGAGGGTGTACCGATCCTTCAGAAGACTGTTCATATCAAGCTCACCCATCTCCATGACCTAGATCGGGAAATCATTAGCTTGGCTCCTAAAGGAAAAGCAATATCGAGATTTACATACCAAAGTAAGCATTTTCTTTTCCTCATTCATCTCATAGTCGATGAGGTTGATGACTCTTTCGACGTTTGCAAGTCGGGTGAGCAGGTCGATTTCTCCACGGAAACCCTTGATTGTCAGAGCGTCCGCATTCTCAAGGGACACGCGTTTCAGAGCATGCATCTTGCCGTTCTCTGCTGTTACACGATACACCTTGGCACTGCCACCTCGGCCGAGACAGTCCAGCCGAGTGTACGGCTTGCCATTGACTTTGAGGACGTTCCTTCTTTGCTTGACCTGGGTGGTAGTTGCGGCTCCAGCCGTGGCGGTAGCCGTTTCGACAAGAGACATCTTCGGAGGTGGCGGCGGAGCTCGATGAGGCGTGTTGTGCTTCTGAGCAAGCGCGGCGAGTGGCTTTCTCTCCGGTGAAGACGCCTTCCTTTCTTGCAGGTCAACGCTCATCGGTCGGTTGGGGGCCTTTTCGAGAACATGTTCCTCAGCCGGCTTAGATCGCCTCAGGCTCATCGGGATGTCATTCTCCTGGTCACGCGCTGATGGGAGCTCGGGACGTGAGAGTGCCGGTCGAGGGTTACTCTCTCTTGCCTGTTCTTGTTCAACAACAGGCTCAGGTACAGATTGCTGCTGTTGTGGTTCTTCTGGTACTGGCGAACGTCTTAACGAGCTACGTCTCTCGGTGCTCGAAACCTGGTTTCGTTGGCTAGCTCTTGCGGATGCATTGCCGCTTACCGGGCTTCCGGAGTGAAAGTCGCGGTTGACATCGCCATAGAAAGAAGAGGCGGCAGGGTCGTCGCCCAGATGACCCCCGTTCTCTTGGCTAGAATTCAGCCCCTCGCCCTCGAGGTTTTCATTACCGTCCTCCTCACTTTGCCTCCTTAGGCCGCGTCGAGCTGGCCCGCTGAGGAAAGCTCCACTGAGCTTGCCCACTCTCTTTACCCGCATCGAACTCTGGGGGTTCGCGATGTCTTCCTGGCGATTCTTGTAGCTACTTGAGGGATAACGAGCCATGCTGCCCATACTAACGAGCGGAGCCTCTCGCGCAACTGCCTCTGGGTCGTCATACTGGGGCAAGTCTCCCTCGAGTGCTGATCTATCTCCAGCAGAGCGATCCGAGCCTGACTTGGAAGAGGAGTTGTGCAGCGATCCAATACGGCTTCGGTTACCCGATGACCCAATCGCAATGCGCACGACCCGACCTTGCTGGTTAGGGGTGTTGATATCAGGCTGGGGCTCTGGCTCCTCCTCCGCCGGTTTCTCGCGATAACTGGTGCGGCTAGCGGGTCTCGCGGGCTGGCCGGCGGCTCTCTGGGTAGACCTGGTGGTTGAAGTTGAGCGCCTCTTGCTTGGGCCTATTTGATTCAGGCTCTGAGCGGTATGGCTCAGGCGGACTACCCGCTTCCTAGGGGGGCTGGGCTCCTTCTCTTTCTCAGGACTCGGGGGCTTGGCAGCCTTTGGTTCCTCAACAGACGCGCTACCTGAGCGCAGGTGTCTTCTCCTCTCAGTAGCCGAGGATGTAGACGAGTTCAAATTGCTTGCGCGTCTCCGAGTGCGAGGCGGCGACGGTTGAGCAGGTGGCTGTGATTCTTGTGGCCCATCAGTATTCAGCAGTGCCTTGGTCAGGGCGCTGAGCTTCATAGGGACAAATATCTCGTCCTCTGAGCTGTCGTCGCGGTACTGTTGCTGCTGTGACTGTGGCTGGGACTGCGACTCCTGTTGTTGTGGTTGAGGCTGGCTCTCTTGCGAAGCGCTGGCTGCTGCGGCTGCTGATTGGGCTCTGGATAAATTGGCTGATGATGTTGATCGCGAAGGTATCCTCCGCAGCGCCTGTCGCTGGGAGGTCCTGCGGCCAAGTCCTGCCGGTGCAGGAGTCGGCGAGGCTGCGGACATTGCTGTGTTGGTGTTGCGGCGGAAACGCGGTAAACAGTGTTAGTGACAGCCCGAGTGGTGATATACAGGTTGTGGTTGTCGGTGGAGGTTTTCAGAAGCAATTTACGTGTAACGTAAGGGCATGGTCCAAGAAATTAAAAACAAACTGAATTGCAGCAAGAAAAGCTGGGCGGCGCGTGTGTATACATCACGAGGAAAGATATGGGAGGGACAGGGAATTATTTTGGAGGTTTCGAGGTTGGGCCAATCATGTTATTGGCCGTTGCCCTGAGCAACGGAGCTCGTCGGGCCCGTAGCCCCACTTTGAGCACCACCGAGGACGTTGTAATTATTCCTTGCATTGACCATGATAGGTTAGGAGTAAATAATGTGTTCAATAAGGGGTCGAGAAATCTTGTAAACGGATGAGTCAATGTACGCTGGCTGCGATTGATTGCGTCCCCTTCTGGCTATGCCTTCAGATGGAAACATACAGAGTGCCCAGGTGGCATATAATCAAGATGACACCCATAGAGGTACCTAGATGATCATCCGGGTACTAGTGCCACGAGGTCACTTACACAGCTTTTGGAGAAGATACAAACTCAATACCTCGGCCGTAGTGTGCTGCGAACATAGATGTAGACACTGTAGACATGAGACTCAATCAAGACACCTGCAAAAAATCCAGTGTGGCCAGAGTAGATCAAATCAGACCCTCCACACAGATCAGATGAAATGCAGCCCATTAACTGGCCGGAGCTGAGACGTGCCCCGGTTTCCCGATGACTGGGCATCCGGCCATTGGTGGCCAATCACTTCCAGAACACGGCGGAATGCGTGAACAGACCGACGGTCGGTGTTATTGGTGGTTCCAACCTCCAACCATTGTCTCCCACCACTTGGCGCAACCGCACTTCACACCACCACCGTGTTGACCTCGTCGCTGCCTGCTCCCTTATCTACCAGGCCGATTGCCGTCTCCTCCCTCCTCCCACTTCGACGCCAACACCATCGATGCTATGACAATGGCATCACCGAGGAGCAAGCTATGGACGTTGGTCCTCTCCCTCAGCTTGCTCCTAGTCTTCTTAACCGACTTCGCCCACGCTTCCATCGGCGACAGACTGCCAGAGTTTGGCCAATGCCTTGAAGTAAGCTTCCCGTTGACTCCGTTGGCACAATCTAACCCAGCTTCACCTTGTCCCAATGCTCGATCCTCTAGCTAACCTCCCCTCAGATTTGCAAGACGGAGAACTGCGGCACTGGCGCTGCCCACACTCCCATCCGTACGTCTCATCGCCCATCTTCCAAACCTACCTACCTCAACGAGGCCAAACCCTGCGAAACAAATCTCCAGCTCCCCTCTCGTCTGACAACCCCGCCTCTCTAGCCCTCCTCCACCGCCTCCTCCTCTGGAACTGCGCCAGCGAGTGCGACTACAGCTGCCAGCACATCATCACCAACCGCCGCATCCAGTCCGGCCAGCCCGTCGTCCAGTTCCACGGCAAGTGGCCCTTCCACCGCTTCCTCGGCATGCAGGAGCCCCTCAGCGTCCTCTGGTCCCTCGGCAACCTCCTCGCCCACTGGGACGGCCTCCGCAAGGTCCGCGCCTCCATCCCGCCCTCCTACCCCCTCCGGCCCTTCTACGTCGCCCTCGCCTGGGTCGGCATCGCCTCCTGGTCCTTCTCCGCCTTGTTCCACACGCGCGATTTCCCCGTCACCGAGCAGCTCGACTACTTCGCCGCCGGCGCCAACGTCCTCTACGGCATGTACTACACCCCGATCCGCATCTTCCGCGTCGACCTGCCCACCCCGCGCCGCCGCTCCTTCCTCCGCGTCTGGTCCCTGCTCTGCGCGTCCCTCTACCTCCTCCACGTGGGCTACCTCAAGGGCATCCGCTGGGACTACACCTACAACATGGCCGCCAACGTCGCCTGCGGCATCGTCCAGAACATCCTCTGGAGCTGGTTCAGCTACGACAGGTACCGCAAGTCAAGACGCACCTGGGCCATCTGGCCGGGTCTCGTCGTCTGCTGGGTCATGTTCGCCATGAGCATGGAGCTCTTCGACTTCCCACCCTGGTTCGGGACCGTGGATGCCCACAGCCTGTGGCATCTCATGACCATTTTCCCCACCATTTTATGGTACAAGTAAGTAATGGGCCAGTGACCGACAAGGTCTCTCATTTCTTTAGACGAACAGATGTTAACTATCCCTCAGCTTCTTGGTCAAGGATGCACATGATGATATGGCCGGAAGCGAAAGATTAAAAATGTAGGCTCGTAGGCCACATTGTACATATTGGCTTAAATGGAATGGGTTCAGCGGGGCATATACCTTCTTTTGCAGCTTAGATATTGATACATTGGTGGTACTCGCAGAGCTACCAGAAGAGCATTTCGAACGAAAAAAAAAGCTTTGATGAATTAGGCCCTTATCTAGGAGCCAACTTGTGCCTGACTTTTCAATGGTTCGGATCAACCATTTCCATTATTCTAAGTTGTTGAAAGCAATATTCCCACCAGAAACACGCAAAATAATAATCCCTAAAACTCCCGGAAAGCTACCCTGCCAGACTCGGTCGATCATGACACGAACATCCATTCTATCCAAATGTGTTCCCATATAGCCAGCAAAGTAGGACGTCCACACACCACAATCAGTACAATCATGCTCCACGTGTATCATTGCAAACGTAAACGCCAAGACTGTCCCTGCCCTCATGTACTCAGGAGGTCCCGAACCGAAACAGTCCGTCGATTTGCACCCTTAGCGTAGCCTCTTCGGTCACTGTTCAGCATTAACAGAGCTGCGGTGGCCTCCTGGTCAAGGTCTGACTGGGGGTTGAGAGCTGGGCTTGTCAACGTCGAGCCCGCATTACTTATAGCATAAGGGCCCTGTGTCTGTGGTCCAAAAGCAGGAGAGGTGCCGGCAGATGAGCTGTAGCTATAGTTCCGATGTTCAGTTGAAACTGACGAGTATGAGTGCTGTCTGCCCCGTGCGTCTTGAGCATAAAGAGCTGGGGATACAGATGGGTGGCGAGGGTGCATGTTACTAGGATGATCGGGAACAGCTGTAAACGTTGGGGAGACGGCTTCGGAGTCCGTCATTTCAACGTCTGCAGTATCATCCCGGAATGTAGGGTGAAATTCGCGAATTGATGGCAGTTGGCTGACGAGGCCACGGCTCTGGTCTTGATCGTGTTGCGCTTTGAGCTTAGACACGCAGTCTTCCAAGTACCGAACGTATTCAATAGATGCCTGGTCAAAGCATTAGCCATCTATTTTGAAAAAGTTTCCCACAAACGGAAAATGTTTACCTGTAAAATGGCCAATTTGTGCATCTCGCCCGTGCAAGCAGGAATCATACTCTTGAGAAGAGCAAACTCCTCGTTCATTTTGCTTCTCCTCCTCCTCTCGATCAGGCTGTGAGCTGTCTTTCTTGCAATCTTCCTTCCTGCAGCACTAGTCGCACTAGGCTGCTTCTTCTTCCCTTGTTGGCCACCGGATCCCGCAGCCCCAGTCGCGGGAGTCTTGCTCGCACTCGCAGCTCCCTTGCCCTTGCCCGACTCTTTTCCCTTTGCCGCCGAGTTTGTTGCGTTTGTCACGGTACTGTCACTGGCCTCATCTTGGGGAGGCTTCATCTGAATAATCTTGCGAGATCGTGTGGGCGGCGGAGGGAGGGCAAAGGTGTTTTCTTTGGCGGTAGACGATCGCCTCCGGGCCTTGACGGTCTCGGCGGCCTGCATGGGATATGTCGACTGCGGCGAGGGGGGGAGCTGGTTCTGGCCATGCTGGTCTGTGGGCGGCGAGATGCGGGCAACATCATGAAGAGCTGGGGGAGGCAGCTCAAGGGATATGTTGAGAGATGCCAGCTTCTGCGTGCCGTCCTGGCCCTTCAGGTCAGATAGCGACCCCGGTGTGGGGGGGAGGTTAGGGCGAGGCATCGGATTGGTAGAGGTGGATGTCAATGTAACAGCTTGGGGGGCACGTAATATGTCGAGGCGATTGGTATTGTTTAGAACAATTCCCTGGCAAATAAAGGCCAAGTGACCAATGTTGCTAACGGGATATTGACCAGACACTCAACAAGTGACGGCGCTGGGCAGCACCGATTTGTATGTTTTTGGACCTGGTCTTGCGGCCGTGTGTCTGCAATATTCAGAAGTTGCCCAGTCGGGAGGATGGAAGCTCAAGTGAGATCCTGTGAGACGAATAATGGAGCCGCCGCCGTTGAATCAAACACCAAAGGCAGGCAACATATATGGATTCCGGGGAGTAGAGCTCAGTTGAGGGGGTGAGACAGCAAGATCACTGTAGCACGACGGAGGACAATGGCCATAACTGATGGAAGCAGGACAGACAGATAAGGACGGGAGGGAGCAGAGACAAACTCCCAAGACAAAAACTCGCGGGGATTGCGAGCACTACCTGGGTTGGGCAGGTAGAAGAGGGATGTAGGGATGGAGAGAGCACACGCGGAAGGCGGTGCTGGCGAAAGTTGCCTCCCAGCCGATCACCAAGCGTGACAGACTACTAACGCAGGAGACGGTGGCAGGAACACCTCCGTGGCCGTGAGAGAAGAGTGGGCGACGGCTACAGAGGAGGGCTAGGTCGGGACTTGGGTTGCAAGTGCAGCCCCTCCAGGACAAGATACCTCACAGAACATGCCTCCAGACGGCATGGCTGGCACTTGCGGCCGTCCAGAGATAGACGGCGTGTCTAGCACAAATCATAGGGGACCCGGAATCTGGCAGTCGAACACCAGGCCGATTGACCAAGCATCATCAAGAAAATGGTCGCGTGCTCCCTCCGGGCTCGACTGACAACGGGCCAATCAGAGGGCCGTGCTCGCCCATGTGGTCGGCCTGGGATTTGCCTGGCCCCCGGTCGCAGACACTCCAGATGCGCCTCCTGCCTCTAGCAAGGAACGTGCTCGGATGGGACGAATCGGCGTCGAGCATGGCTCGAGATGTGAGCATGTGAGACTTTGCCCTGGGGGTATTGGGGGAGGGTCCGGAAACCGTCAGAGGGCCGGCGGCGGGTCCTCGAGATGAAGCTCACCGGCGTGTGGGCGAGCGATTGGCGATTTGGCCCTTTGGCTGCTGAGATGGGCGTTTCGGTACCCAATCCAGGGATCGCCAATTGACTCGTCGCGACTTTGCGGAATGAAGAAGAGAGTTTTGTGCTAGAGACCAGCCGCGCCGCTCTGGGCAGTGTCGCATGCGAGTTGCATTGATCGTCGCCTGCGAGACGGGCAGCAGAGTTTGGCCTTCTCCTCATCTCGGCCCCTTTTATGCAGCCTCAATGTCTTGCCACCTCATTGTGCAACATGTAAACCATCATAGGCACGCGACACAGCTCTGCAGCTTAGACAGGTACTCAAAGAGCGCGGTGATCTCGCTGCCAATAGACTTTGAGCTTAATTGGCGTGTTTTCGAGGCCGCCCATCCTCCATCTTGTGCGGATGTGGGAACATCACAGCCTTCATCCTTGCATAGGCTTGCCAAATCCACGGTCTACAACATGAGACAGCCGAATTGATCTGCTCTAACCCATCAATGGCGTCAAACTGGCAAAAAAGAACCACTGGATTCAGGTTGCCAAGTGCACGATCAAGTATGCACATACGGGACTCCATCTTGTTGCTTAATAAGTGGACTGAGATTGGCTTCACGAGTCCCAAGATTCACTATTTCAATATAATTACATAAGACGCCATGGGGAGTGGGCTGCTCCCGTTGTCCAGGGTAGTTGCTCCTTTCCCTTCATTTCGTAAAAATCATATTCCATCCTGTTCTCTTAACTCCCAAATCATATAATTCGTGGAATGCAATGCTTTTCCATGGGTGCTTTTGTTGGGTATCTCAAGTCTCCTAAACCTCATTGCTAGGGTATGTGACCTTGAGGGTAGGGTTGAACTCCTCCTTGATGGCCCTGATGTTGACGAACCGTGTCAGCAAGTTGGAGCTGCCGGCCTTGTCGTCAGTACCGCTGGCCCGGGCACCTCCGAATGCCTGCTGCCCAACGACGGCACCAGTGCTCTTGCAGTTCACGTAGAAGTTGCCAGCGGCGTTGCGCAGCTTCTCCTCAGCGAAACGGATGGCATTTCGGTCCTGGGCGAAGATGGAGCCAGTGAGTCCGTACTCGGAGGTGGTGTCAACGAGCTCGGCAGCCTTCTCAAAGCCGTTGGGGGCTGCGTCGTCGTAGACGTAAGTTGTGAGGATGGGACCGAAGAACTCGGTAGAAAAGTATGGGTGGGCTGGGTCCTTGGCCTCGTAAACGGTAGGGTGGATGAAGTAACCCTTGGAGGAGTCGTAGGTTCCGCCGACGACAAGCTCAAGCCCGCTGTCCTTCTTCGCGGCGTCAATGGCACCCGAGAGCTTCTTGAACGAAGCGTTGTGGATCACGGGGCCCATGAAGTTGCTGTGAGTCCAGGGCTCGCCAATGGCGATGTTCTTGATCTCAGCGACAAGCTTCTGCTTGAACTCGGGCCAGAGGGACTTGGGGACATAGAGACGAGAGGTGGCACTGCACTTCTGGCCCTGGAACTCAAAGGCTCCACGGACGGTCTGAATCACAGCGTTGTCGACGTCGGCAGAGGGATGGATCAGGTGGAAGTTCTTGCCGCCAGTCTCGCCCACAATTCGAGGGTAGGACCTATAACGTCCCTCAGCAACACCCTGGCCAATGGCGCCGTACAGCTTGCGGAAGACGGCAGTGCTGCCAGTGTAGTGAAGGGCAGCGAACTCCTTGTGGCCGAGAACGACCTTGGTCACCTCCTCGGGGTTACCGGGGACGAACTGGATGACATCCTTGGGCAGGCCGGCCTCGAGGAGAATCTTGTAAACCAGCCAGTTGGAGAGGATGGCAGAGTCGCTGGGCTTCCAGACAACGACGTTACCTAGCAGGGCGGGTGCGCCAGGCAGGTTACCAGCAATGGCTGTGAAGTTGAAGGGGGTCACGGCGTACACGAAACCCTCCAAGGGACGGTACTCGAGTCTGTTCCAGACACCAGGGGTGTTGTGCTGGGGCTGCTGGTTGTAGAGCTCCTCGGCGTAGGCAACGTTGAAGCGGAGGAAATCAGCCAGCTCGGCCGCAGCATCAATCTCGGCCTGCCAGGCATTCTTGCCCTGGCCGAGCATGGTGACGGCCATGATGTCATAACGGTACTTGTTGGCGATGAGATCAGCAGCCTTGAGGAAGACGGCAGCACGGTCGGCGAATGGAAGAGCCTCCCATGCTGGCTTAGCGGCCAGGGCAGAGTCGATCGCCTTGGAGACATCGGCGGGGGTTGCGGTGTGGTATGAGGCCACGGGCGAGGCGTGGTCAGCTGGGTTGAACTGCTGCGACACAGCGGATGTCTTGATCTGAGAGCGGGTTGCTGGTCAGCTTCTGCCACAGGTCTCGCAGCTCATTTGGGAAATTCCGAGGACTCCTTACCTCCTGGCCACCGACAACGACGGGGACGGTCCAAGGGCTCTGCTTCTGGAGCTTCTCAACGGCAGCAGTCAGGTCGGCCCGTTGCTGGCTGCCCTTGGCATAGTGTTGCTGAACCACGCAAGTCAGTATCACGAGATTGGGCCAGTTTCAGGAATCAACCGGTACTTACGTTTGGTTCGTTCAAGACCTTGGGAGTTTGGAATGTTGCCAGGGTGGCGGTAGCAAGACCACGCTGCTGACGCAGGCCACGGGCGGCAGCTGCACTGAACTTCCTGGAGAGCATTTTGACCTGTTTTTCTGTTCTTTGACAAAGACTTGCAATAGAAGAGAACAGAGCAGCTTGGATGGACAACCAAAGAAGATGAAAAAAGCCAGTCAGCCCTGACGTCTGGAATGCCAGATGGTATTTATCAGTCGACCTGGATCATCAATCGGTTTATCGCGGGTTAAGTTGCAAGGCGAGCGGGGCGGTGGGGGTCGGTGCATCTCGATATCGGTGGATTTGCTGCGAGTTCCCGGGCTGGCCATTGGACAATTGCGGGCGGCTGATAACGAGCCAGACGGCTGACCCCCGCCGAAGTCGGCTTGGCCCTTCTTTTCCACGAGAGCTCCGGTGCCTAGCTCCAGACCCCGTCGACGAGATGGACTATTCAGGTCCGCGGTTTGCCGCTCAGCTCCCCAGAGTGTGGGGCAGACCGGCTGGTTGACAGGCAAGGGACCAATATTTCACGTATAACAGAGGGGACGAGGAGAAGGATTTGACCGGCTGGGTCATATGATCATTATACCCTCTTCCGATCTCGCCGGCAACGCATTTTGTAAGCTTCAAGGGGTAGTTGGAAATCAGGGAGGCATCTGGCCATGCAAGTGTCAATCTTGAGCAACCTTCAGGCCCGGAAGAAAAGTGGTGGATTATTATGTCCGGCATTATCAGATCTTCTCTAGCTCAATATTTATTACAATATCCGGCTTGGCTCCAAGTCCCGCCTCTTCACACTCTCTACTCTCCCCCATCAGGTGGTATATTCGTAATTCTTGATGCCCCAAACGCAATGCATTGGAAAGGTTCGCCTAGCAATACCCCGCCCAGCCAAGTCCGGCAAATTAGGCATGGGGGTCCAAGCATACAGTCCATGCCCGTCTACCTCGAAATCTCATGCAGGTCGGCGTCCACGCCAGGAGCACACCAGCACCCGTCCACATCTCTATTGTGCAGAGGCCGCTGGAGCTGCTGATGCAGCTGCCGCTGATGCCGAGATAGCAGGCTTCTGGTACCGGAGCAGAGGAACAGTGAGGCCATAGCCTTCTGTAAACCCTTGACTGTCATGCTGGTCGATTTCCACGTTGATGCGGATGTCCAAGCTACCGTCGCTGCCTTTACCGTGTGTTTCAATCGATGCAGACCTGTGCGTTGTTCCAGCGCCAAGCTCGCCCTCGTGCAAAGCGTGGTGCCCGTCCTTGCCTAGGAATGATGGCTTCTCGTTGTTGGGAGCCTCGCCAACACTCCCATTCGCCGAAGCACCCGGGTTGTTTGGCGAGTTCTCTGTAAGAGAAGCGAAGTTGCGGCTCGGCATTGTGCAGTGATTAGAGCCCGCCGTCTTGTTCGACGTTCCAGGATCTTTGTCAAAGAGGTTAAGCAATGTCTCGTCGGTGTCTGAGTTGAGGTGGTGGATCTTGTTTCTTCTCGCGAGCAAGTTCGCAACTGCCTGGGGCGGCGGCTTGTTCACAATAGCTGAAGAAACCACATTGGTGATGTAACGACTGTCCTCCTCGGCGGGGATCTTCAGCTTGGGGTTAGAGTAGAAACGCCCCAAGGCAGCCAAATGAACATCGCCTCCCAGAATGGTTGTGCGAACAGAGAACTCAGCCGAGACCTGCTGCAGTCTTTCAATAAGGCCGAGGCGTTCCAATTTGTGAATCTTGGCCGTGTAGTGGTCGTCCAGGTCGTCCAGCAGGTCAGGGCTGCCGTCAAAGTGGTTGAACAAACCACCACCAACACCAAATCGCTTGTGCATCAGCTTCACTGGCCCGATGAGGGGGCTGCGAAGAATGTTTTCCAACCATGTCAAACGCTGATTGTTGGTTGTTAGTGTCACATATCTTGCCGTCTGATCCAGGGACACATATTGCTTACAGGATATGCGATAGGAATTCCGAGTAGCACGATCAGGTGCCTTATCGGCTTACCTGCATCGGCAGCAGCACGCAACTCTTTATGAAGTCTATCAAAGATCAAATCGTATGTCTCTGGATAGTTGATTTGATGGCGTGTACGCTAGGTTCCACAATGTCAGTGCCAATGCTTACAATCTAAGCCGCTTCCACTCACCTCAACTCGAGCATCAAGACCAATAAGGGCCATACGAGCACCCAGCCGAGTATATAGGTTATACGAATGCTCTGCTACGTATGGGCCGGCCTTTGTACCAACAATGTAACAGGGCTCTACCTTGCGCGGGGCCACAAATGTGTTGATGAGCTGGTTTGGGTCAGGTCCCTGGCCTGCACCGTCCAAGGCCACATGGTCTGAGAGAGTCAGTTGCACGGTTTCCAGCTAATGGATCGGTGTTCGGATCACAAACATACCTGACGTGTACGTCGACGCGGGAGGGGGGAGATGATGCTGGAATAGCAGGTAATACTTGTGAGCAACACCACCAATGCCACGGAACACATCGCATCGCATGAAATGATCAGTGTATGAACCAAAACCATCGATAATCTGCAACCCTCTCAGTCAGTTTCAAGAGCCTACATCTCAGATTCAACGTGTTGTCTCACATCATGATCGTCCCAGATATTAACCTGCGGTATCTGTCCGTTGGCGGTCGAAAACGGCTCCGTATTATACCACCGGATGTAGTTCTTCAAATAGTAGTCGTCGCACTCGGCTCGGAGCTTGCCTGGGAAAGGGAAGTCTCTACGCTTCTGAGGGTTCGAGACCTCGGTCCACGGCCGCAGAGGTCCGTTGACTCGGATGCCGTCATTGTAGATCTGATCACCACCACCCAACATGACGTGGTACGGAGCAGCCTCGTGCTTCCTAATCACGTCATTCCAGAGAGCAGCACCACTCCAAGCATCTTCGTCGGTTCCGACACTGAAACCATTGCAGGAATGGAACATGATGCGCATCGACTCGTCGATCGCAGGGATGAAAAAGTTGTTCCTCGCAGGCTTGTGGTCGCTCACGAAGCGCAGCTCGGGGAGGAAATACTCGTACTTCACCTCGCCTTGCTCCAGAGGGGCGACAATATCGAATTGCCAGAAGGTGTTGCGCGGGTCGGAATAGAGCCGCTGAGATTCAATTCGCGAGCCTCCGCTCTCGTCATTGACATCACCATTGGCCTGGCCCTCTGGTGTCGGCAGCCCGCCCCGAACACCGACCCGTCGCAGGATCAGCGATGGTTCGAACAGAACATCCTGGCCGCCTCCCTTCACAACAACGAGGACACTGCCATGCCATTGACCGTTCTCCATGTGGCGATAGTTGAGCAGCGGGCCGCAGACAATCTCCTTGCCATCGGTGGAGCCGTTTACACGACCATCCTCGGGGGCATCTTGGGGCAGGCCATTGCCCTCGTCGACTTGGCCAGCGGCAGCCATGACAGATTGATGGGGCCCTACACCGTCGCCCTCGGGCTCGACACGGGAGGTCTTGTTGATGAAGCTCGCCAGATCACCAGTCGTGCCACTCGCAGTGGGTTCTCGAGCTTCTCCGGCGGCAGGGTGGCTGCCGGCGTACCTGTTGAATGCGGTCGACTCCTGGTGTCGCCATCGTGTAGCCGACGCGTGTGGGTTGGATGCGTGCTCCCCTCCAGGGAGCGGGCTCCGCGATCGCGCGCGCTCTGCCATGATTTTATGAAACAGTGCAGCTTTTATTCAAGGCCTGTCTGGGACCCTCAGGATGTCAGCTATACGGTGCGATTCCAAATTTTATGCGGCGCGGAACAAATTGGTGCCCACTTGCGCAGAGTCATAAGCTGGCAGCTGGGAGATGTGGCCGCCTGTTGTGCGTTTTCGCGACGAAATGCACTCGGTTGACGGGAGGTTGCGAGGGACGGGCGAGCCAATGTCTTACTTTGACGGCAGGAGCAATCCCAGCAGCATCTACTCAGCGCAGAACGGCACCTGTTTGAGCACAAGACAGGCAACGCGATGCTACGTAGTAGTCGACTATGCGATGGGTGGTTGGGAATATAATGGCAGAGGAGGCTTGGGAAATCAGACCAGACTACACGCGGGTGGGAGACACGACAGAAAAATATTAGTATGGGAAGCTTGTGTATTATTTTTAGTTGGTGAAATATGAACACCACCATCATGTATCTGCGCCAAGGCAGAGGATCAGCAAGGAACTTGGAGTTCGTCCCACGCCAGTAGGTTCGTGATGAAACCGCCGCCAGGCGCCGCGTGGGCAACTATTCATCCGCATATACCATCTACCAGGGGCTGCGATGGACGTCAGATACACTCAGCATCATCGTAACAGCTCGTAATATCCCATTGCTACCTAGGCAGCTCATTACCCGTCAGGCAGGGAAGAGTATTGACTCGGTTAATCTGCATGTTTTGATGGCCAAGCAAAGGGAACATGCAGCAATCAGCGAGGCCCCTATTGGCTGAATGCCCAGCTACTATCGATATGGCTTAGCAGATGTTGTCGCTGAGGCTGGTGATTCATTTTGGGCAAGCAGCTGGGATATACGTCACCACTCCACTCTGCCGACAGATCTCCATCTTGCAGCCTACCCTACACGCAGCGTTCCTTCCATCCTGATCGCGATGTACGAGTGATGGATCTGGCGTGCTTCTTGAACTACATGGCAATCCGGTAGTGTTTGGTTTTATAGGGGGGATTTGCACTTGCTATATCAATGGATAAGTCAATTCGCAAATGCTAGAATCATGTTGGTGGCTTTGGTGTTTTATGTACCCAGCTTAGTAGCTTGATGTCTGCCGCCGCGAGTTTTTTCTCTTCTTATTTGCAATATCCCGGGTCATTAAGCCGAAAGAATCTGCCTGCCAAGTTCTAGTCATCCGCTGCAAGGATGATCAAGAAAACGCACAGCTCAACGGACATGCAACAACACGGGTGAAAGCCGCCGAGTATCCGGGGACACACAGACTGTCTGTCGGGATTCACTCACCGCCAACCATCCAAAGCGAAACATTTTGCGGACAAAACCCAAGGAGAGTAATCTCGCCAGGGGCCACAGTACTAGGACAACAAGTCTCACGGTATGTCTTACTACAAATGCATCGTCTTGCTTCACCGTAGTAGCATTGCAAACTATCGGAAAGCGAAAAGAAATTGCTGCGGAGAGGCGTAGGTGCTGTTCGCCAATCGAGGGCAACCGGCTCCACGAGACCGCCGCCGAAGTTAAGAACCGAGTCATGATCACATCGTATGCACAACATCCACCTACTCGACAACAAGTGAATGGGAAAGCTAGTGCCGGGCGAATATTCGGTATTAAGCATGGGGAATTGTGCAAATTCGAGCAGCGACCAGGTTGTGCACAACTGGACAGGGCAGCCAGGGGCGATTACATAATATACGGCGACCCATCCCTGAGGGCTCTTTCTCTCAGGTCACTGCCATTTTTTTTTCCAGGGAAATTTTTTTCCTTTCTCAATCACCCTCAAACCTGACATCAAATCTGTTGGCAAACCAGCCGAAGAATCTCGGGTTGACGCCCGCAGTCATCTGCTATGTATTACATTGCACCATAGATGCCACGTGGGAATTCACCCGCGTTGTTATGACGAGGCCTCCAGCGTCGGGGCATCATTGGCTCGTCCTGCCAGTGATGCTGTGCGATCTTGGGGACCGAGTTAGGTTGCGCATAATGCTGGTGCCAAGGTAAGTGATTCGCCATGTGACGAGGATATTGAACGGCATATGTGTGTACAGCAATGGGCTTCAAACCTGTGCCGACTTGCTGAAGGAATTATCAACGTGCCAAGATCGAACACCCTACTATTACCAAACACCTCTGCTCCAAGAAACCACGGACACTGGTGCATGAAGATAGGGTTACATAACAGTGACGACAACTTTTGTTTCATGTAGTTGAACCCCCTCTAGTCATTGAGGGGAACCGGCAAGACGTGTGGCAGTGGTAGAGATCTTTTGTTCGCCCAGATGAAACAAGAGGAGGATCTGCACCATCCATAGTGCATGTGTCAAGAGCTGCATATCTCATGACCAAGGGATCGGTAAATTACCTCTTGCCTGGAATGATCCTCGTATTTGCAACACCGGTGGTCATTCGGTCAAGGGCGAACTGCTCGCTTCTGCCAGCCCTTCATTCGAGGGAGAGGCCGATGTGTCTATGGTGAATCACGACTTGTCCAGAAGTGGGAATGTTGGGTAATCGACTGGACGCTAAGAGCATAGCAACACGTGCTGTGGAGCTACATGGAGACGGCATTCTGGTTCTGCAACTGCCAAGCGAACAATGGCATCCGTGGCTGAGCTGGAGGTTTGGGTATCAGCGGGCAGTTTTCGATGGATCATTGCTCGAAAAGGGCTGAAATTCGTAAGCCGGTGTGATGAAGCATGAGTCTTGGCCGAGAGGGGTAAATGTGAAAATGGTGTGTTCCTCCTGGGCCATATTGGGCGAGCCTGGAGTTGATCCTTCACAAGACCGGGAGAGCATCTTTTTTTGAGTTCTGAAACGTCTTGCTGGTTTAATTCTGTTGCCAGAAAGCGGATCCCTGTATGCTGCCTCGATCAAGCCGGCCGCGCGATGTCCGGGACCAAAGAAAGCCACCATCAAACCCCCTACTCTGAGTCCAATAAATTGTGCCTAGACCGCTGGTTAATATGGCTTCGGCTCGTAGCGCTGATCATAGTTCATACAACCAAGCTAGGCTCAACGAAATGAGACCAGCAGTCCATTCAGCCGCTCAGCCATTTCTGCACTGGCAGTACGTTAGCTAGCATGAGCAAACTAGTCTAGGCGAGACCTCGTGGATGGGTGAACGGGCTAGGGTATTACTGGCTTAGGCTGGATCCTCACTGAGTGGGCGAGCATCCCCTTGCCTAGCACAATTGATCTCTTAGGGCCTTGGACAGAGCCCCTGTCCAGCGGAATCAATGGTTCGTTGGTGTTGTGAGATGAAGAATTTCTTGGTATTCCAGAATCCGGCCGGTGTAGAAGTTATTATCAGCAGATCTGTCGCCAGCGCAATGGTACACTGCCCGCTCAGCACATGCATGAGCTTAGACTTCCGGGTTCCCAGCCGTTCTCGAACGAACCGCCACGTCGTTAGTTAAGTGGTGGCGTTCTCATTAGGGGAGCCATGACGCTTCCCGAGACAAATCCTCCACACCGTAAATCACATACCTACATACGGGCACTCACCTTGGGGTTCTGACAGGTCAAATGCGACGAATGGCGTTGGCTGTGCCACTTTTCCGTCAACCAAGAGGCTGTGATGACAGCAACAACCTGCAGCAGTGAGAGATCCATAGATACTTCACCGACAGATCGGCAGCTGGTGAGCAGCAGGGGTCATGCGCGGACATGAGGACAGCTCATTATTAGAGCACTAGCAGTCAGAGATTGATTCGAGGGTTCTACTGTACGATCCGCCTCCATTTCATAACTGGCTGGCATGGGTGGCTGAGGAGACTTCAAGGTTCGCGGCCATCTGTTCCCCAGATAGTTTCTTTGTAGTAGCTCAGCCATCATGTAAGCCCTGTTTACTAGCAATACATACGCATGCCTGGAAACAAATGTCTTGCGAGAGTGTGCTGATACCTGCATGCATGACCGCTGGGTCCGGAGCTGTGTCTTGGAGGGGCTATGATTATTATGATTATGGACGGCGTCGCCGGAAACAGAGTTTGGGGCACGCCCCGTCTCAGGAAGACGACCGGATTTCGGGGATTTGCTGATTGCCATCTGCGGCGGTCTGCTGTGTTGCTGATGGGTTTGTCAATACCTGCTTCGTAGTAGCAATGCAGTGCCTAGAATGCCGTGCACTGGCGGTAGTGCCGTAGGACTTTGGTGTACCATCGGGGTTGAGTTGTACATTTTATGACAGACCCTTTTTTATAATTATCCATCCCATCCACTGGTGCTAGTGAATATGCCTGCTGGGCTGACATCATCGGGGCTGTGGAGACGCGGCTGCAGTTATGAAGGGCCCTTGGTGCCTCGCCCGCCCCTCCTTGTCTGCTTTAGGGGCTGCCGGCTGGATAAGGTGTGGGAGTTGCTCCATTGATTCTGCTAGGTACCAATACTCACTTCAGGTACTTGCTGATTGATTAAATACCTGTACACAGTGAAGAATCGACCTGCGGCCTGCCCGAGAAACTCGGACCGGAACCGGGGCTTCCTGCACCTGTGGCATAATGCGATGACTGAGGAGCTGTGAAATCGCAGTGTCGTTGAACGCAAATGATCGGCCTGGAACACGACTTTATTCTTCCGGAAGTAACCAAATGCAAAGATTGCGCGTTTTCAGCCAGAGATGCGCAGCAAGCTGCACACCATCTTTTGGAGAGGATGGGAGTGTTTTCCTAGTGCATCGTCCCACCCACAATCATGGGGCCATCCCCTGCGAATGGGTACACCAGGGTCTGTCTACTTGGGCTTCTACCAGGTTGCCAGCCTGGTGATCTGAGTGTGGTCGATGGGTCGATCGCCAGCATACTAATTGCCATGCTTGGGGGCAGGACTGCCAAAACGTTACAGGCTCCTCGGATTCCGTAACAACAAGGCATTCCTGCCCATGGAGGCTCATACCTAGCGCTAAGGGACCTCCCGGCCGGCATGTGTTCGGGGACTGTTAATATTAATGCATCATTTCTGTATCTAATTGATGTACTCCTTTCCTCTTGTCGGCTGTACTAGCAGTAATTACCACGGATTAGTCTTGGTACGCGTATAGTGACTGTAGGTCGGACCATCCGTCCACTGTGCTGTAGGCGTCCACGGGGGCCAAGCCAACTACAGGCGCTCTGCCAGCGGGCCTCCACAGCGACCTCTTTTTCGTGGCTTCAGCCCAAACATAGAATTAGTAGGTGTGGAGGCTGCAATAAGCTAACGCCCCAGTCGTTATTGCTCATTCCACGCCATCTCCATCTCGCTTTGTATCTCGCATCTTGTAAATCTCCCCCGACGTCCCGCTTGCTTGGCTTCTTCCGCCCTTTTCCCTCTTCACTACTGTTCCCCAGCGAGTCTGACCGATCCCCTCATAGCCCGCCTGCATTAAACCCACCGGAAACGGAGCGAAGGTTTAACAGGTGTTCGGTCCCCAGAAGCGACTTACGAATCGATGCTATCTTGAACTGAGCGACGAAGAACGAATTGCATATACTATTGCTGAGCTTGATCGATAATTACTTTTTCTTGGGTGTTCCCTCGGATTTGAGGCAGTCTGGACGGCCATCTCGCCGGAAGGATCCGTCTCTTTCTGACATTGCCATGCAATGAGCGGCGCTACGATTGTCATGGCACCTGCCATGGAACACACTTCTGGCATGACCAGGTCGAATTCAACACCGGAATTAATGGCCTTATCTTCATGGCAATTCAATGGGCAGAAGCCAACTCCCGACTCCTCCTTCGATGTCCCGTCTTTCGATAGCGAACTCGATCTTGATATGACCTTGAAAATCAACGACATTACGAAAAGCTCGCCAAAACCCCGATCACAAAAGCAGACGGTTGCGGTGGCTCCGGCGGGCGACAAGGAGCCTTTGCGCCGCATGAGGGCAGGGTCTCTGGTCGACCAATCCAGACGCTGGTTTCCGAGCTCTAAATCAGCCAAGGAGTCAGCCGCTGACCGACCGACCACATCATCAGGCGATCGCAGCCTTGAGTTGAAGCGACCTGGATCCTCGGGACGGATGATGGGCAAAGTTGAGGCTGGATTATCTCTTTCAAAGCGATCTTGGTCATTCGGGCCTAAGCGTTCCGCCGCCATGGAGGTCGTGGCCGAGACGCCTCCTCCGCTCCCTACCAAGGCATCGGAAATACCCAGAGGACCTGAACTCACTCTTGATCCGCAGATTGTTTCAATCCAACAATTGGAGCCAGCCCGGCCTCCTGCTCGATCCTTCTCTCGGGCTACCAGCTATTTTAGCAAGATGAAGCAAAAAACCCTCGGGAATGCGGCCGATTCGGACAGCAGCTCAGCTACCTCTGCTGCAAGCGCCTCGAATGCCGTCAACGATACTCGGTTTTCGCAGTCCACATCATGTGAGAGCAGTACCAGGGCAGCTAGCGAGGAACAAACCGAAATACCACATCAGAATGCAGACCCCCTGTGGTCTTCCTTCAAGTCGATGGAGATCGAATTTAAGACTTTCACCACTAATTCGATACCGAAGCGAATGGCAACTGTGCAGGGGGCGCTTCTCCCTTTCTTGCGGACGACTGCCAACCACCCTTCAACGAAGAAACTTTCCCCGGAGGACGTCGACCGCAGAGCGCAGGTTTTGAACTTGTGGTGGAAAGAAATCCTAGAAATGCTCAGCGGAACAAGTTCAGTGACGGTGCCAGGAGTGGAAAGGCCACCACTGTTTGACATTTTGGTTCTGATTATGACTCGCCATGAATGGAGACAGACGACAAGCTCCTTCTTGCCGTTAGCCGAGAGAGAACTCCGTGGGGGACAGAATCGCTCGCCTGCGACAGAGGTCTCGGACTCAAATGACAGTGTTGATGAGGCCACACTCTTGGCAGAGACCGCGGAGCATAATGTTCGCACCATGTTTGTCTCAAACCTTGTCAAACAGCTCACATTTGTGATTGATAAGCTCTCTACACGCAATACGCCATCGACTCTGCTGCGATTCGCGGGAACGACATTTGCTTATGCCAGTTTCTTTGTTTCAGGAGTGGCTGATATACTATTCAGGCTTTTGGCTCTGAGCCAGGAGCTTATTAGACGGACGGCGGATGCCCTTGGCCTCCCTCGTATGTCAGAGTGCATGAGTGATGGTATTGTGGACAACTTCCCCCCTGCGCTTCACGGTCTGGGCTGGAGATCACAACAAGAAACATGGAATTTTCTTAGGCAAACACCTGCACCACCGATGATTATTGCTCGCGTCCCCTGGGCGGGGCAATGGATGATGCGATGGAAAGCAAAGGATACGGATCTGTTTTTCACCTTTTGCAAGCAGTTCCACTTGCTGTCCAATGAGTTTCTCCCGGCTGACCTTCCCTTGAACGAGAGGGCAATGTCCCCTGGCTTCGTCATTGTCCAGGCACGTCTCTTGTCTGCAATGGATGCTACGGTGCATCGTGTGTCGACTATGCCATGTGCGACTCAACCTGGTGGCATGGACGGCCTTGGGTCTGATGCTGCCATGTCAATGCCACTCTCACCCACGGACATGGCTAAGGGTATGTCGGAGAACAAGTTGGTCGTCCTGCTAAAATCATACCTTTTGGAAAATGCAGCGGTGTCCTCAAGTGGCAAGGACACATTCGCCGACATGTACTCGCGCCTTTTCCAAGCTTCGGTTCGCCGGACGTCTCTTTATAACGGACCCGCCTGCTTCACCCTATGCGACTTGATGGAGGAAGTATTTATTGTGATCGATCAGTTTGAGACCCAAGCCAAATCGGACAAACACATCGACTGGGATTTTTGGCTAGAGGTTTACAAGAAAATGTTACGTTCCTGGAACACGGTGACTGAGGTTCGCGTAATCTCTTCGGTCTACTCTCTTTGGGATATCCTGGCGAAGAATCCAGCTCGAAAAAGCCTCTTCTGCTTGGATTGGCTCCTCACGGAGGAGGTTTTCAGTGCGTTCTTTAACCACTGGTGCCCCATGGTGCGTGCTTACTATCATCGCCTGCTCTGCTGGAGAATATGCCGATGTGTGGGCCAAGCTGATGAAGTTGACACGTAAGTGCTCTGTTTTCCTTCTCTTCCGGATGATGTGCCTCTAGGTACAGGTGCTGACAGGTCCTTTTCTAGATCAATTTATTTCACGGTTACAAGAAGACTTAAAACATCATTGGCACACTATCTCTTTTTGAAACAGACTGCAGAGGCTGAAGGCCGTTTTCCTCCATCTTCTGCGCCAATTGTACCGACACCTGGCAAAAGATTTATGATTCTTCGCCAAGAACTAAACCAGCCACAGCCTGGTTTGTTTGTCAACTTTGACAGTTTTGCAAAGGGACCTATTGTCACTGAATCGTCACTGAATGAAAGTGCCAGCGCCGTAGATTCCGCTTTGCTCAAGAACGATTCAAAGAAGAAATGGAGCATTTTCGGAAAGGTCTTCTCTATGGGAGCCGGGTCCGCGTCGACGAAAGCCCAGTCGGGGTCTTCGGAAGATGAATTGACCACTGTTCGTCGCAACACAGCAGAATCGAGGACCAGGCAGCCACTGCCTCCAAAGATCACTATCCCATCACGAACGAGTGAATCAGACTCCACCTGCTCCTCACCATTGATCGATGAGCAGAAATACATCTTCAGATTTATTCTCAGCTTCCAGGGGCCTCAACCTCCCGCACGAGATCGTGTTTTGGGGTTGCCCCGCCTCCCTGCCCCGGCCCAGGCCATTACAGAACCTCGCAGCCGATCTACGAGCCCACACACGTTGACGGCCGAGATAATACCCGTCTCTAAGTCTGGGAGTGTTTCCTCTAAACCCAACAGCGTATCTACCTCTGAAACTGAGAGTTTGTCTTGCTCCGAGGATGAGAGCGTGTCGTCAGCTGAAGAGAATGGCGAAACACCAAAGGCTGAAGGCGAGCCGGTGGCCGCAAAGGAGACCACGCATTTGGCACCCGCGGATAACGGCCCAGAACCCAAAACCGAACCCACGAAACCAGTGGGATTTTACAAACAAAACGCAATCTACACCGGCAGGGCTTTGGCGGAATGGGCGGTGGTGGTCATGGAGTGTAATAGCTTCGTACTCCGTCGCCGTGAAGAGGGAATCCCGACACTGAAAGCTGTTGAGATTCCTACGCTAGGTATCGATGGCTTCCGAAGACAGGGCTTTTAGAGGCGGTGCTGGTAATGGACTATCAATACCTTGCTATCACTCTGTGGTGACGATGCGACTCCCTGGCAGCGATCATGGACAGCGAAAAGCAAACGGGCTGTCACCTGAAGACGAGACGAAATTTCGATTAAAAAACAACACCTTGCTATCACTGTCGATTTTTGGGACTGCCCCCAGAAGATCCCACCTAGTCATTGGGTGTTGACGGGTCTTCAAAAGTATGGACTGTATATATGTTATGCTTTCTTTTCAGAACAATCCTTGTGTCTCAAGGAAAACATTGTTATGGCGTTGGGATAGGGCAGCAGAAGCCTGGCGAGTTGTTTTCTATTTACTCGCAATGTCGTGAGACTTCTTTTCTTTCTTTCTTTTCATCATCTTGGCTACTGGTGCCAGGCATTCATCTTTGCTTCTTCGTCTTATCCAGTTGGTTAACTGGATACCTTCATTTGGCTTAGCTTCATTCCGGGATTTCCACTCATCTGACTCTTTGCATGAGGGAGACATTTTCATGGGAGATTTGCATTGGACGACGACTACAGAGAGGGATCATTTGTTTCCCCAGGTACATTCATTGTCGTCTAGCTACGTTTTCGTGTATATATCATTAGGCCCGCATTCTGACGCAAGCAATGCGGTCTTTCTCGTTGTGTTCTTAACAGAGCGGTTATGAATAAACGAAACGCTCAAGCATGCACCACGTTTCTTATTATCTTGATCCTTGGCCTTGGTGAAAGTTGATTCAGCGATTGTTAGTTAGCCGCTGCGGAGCCCTGTTGCAGGGTATAGGTAGGATTTAGTGAAACTAATGGCTGATTTAGCAACCAGCTCCTTGGAGACGGCCGGCCACACGCTATTGGCTGCCTTGGACGTCACTGCCACAGGCCGTCATAAGCCACAATCAGTCGTGTTCATATAAGATCGGGTTTCCCCTCGTCACCAACCACGCGCCTGGCAGCATTATAATTGAAAGAACGTAACCATTTAAGATGCCCAACACTGGGAAGCCGAGTAAAGATTGCCATCTCTGTCGTTCGAGACGAGTGAAGGTGAGGGCCGGCCCGCTCTGTCCATCCAGCATGATGAAGCTTACTCGGACGATCGTCTCGGCAACGAAAGTGTGATTTAGGCCGCCCAGCTTGCCAAAGATGCATAAAGTATGGCGCCGAGTGTCCAGGATATCGCAGTGAGCAGGAGCTCGTCTTCCACAACTACACCTCCAATTCTGGTGGTCCCAAGAAGCGCAAGAAGCGCGCCCCCAAAACAGCCGGCAGCACCCCATCAGTATTATCATCAGCGCCCCCTACCCCGTCGTCCTTGGGTGACTCGGGGCCGGCAACGCCTTCACTGGCCTTCTTAGACGAAGATCAACCGTACCTCTCGCCGGAGGAGGCCCAGCTCATCCTTGCCAACTCCCCTTCCCCTCTATTCCTGACCAAGCCTTTGCATGAGCACTGGACTGCCCAGTCAATCCCCATCCTCCTCAATGTCTATGAGTCTCTGGAGTTCCTAAATAAGATTTATCAAAACTACCCGCAGGACGGGCCCTTGGTCTGGGCTGCTCACCTGTTTTCCCGCACTTACATAACCAACGTCGCCCACCCAACGTCTGTACACAAGGATGCGCAGGAAGAGACGGAGCGAGAGCTCAGGACCTACATGGGGAAGGCTTTGCGCTCGGTACACGGGGCGCTCCAGGCGCCTGACGGTGCACTGAGGGATGATGTCCTTGCCACCGTATGGATTCTCGCTAACTACGAGGTATTACACCTTGCACTCCCTCAGCTGTTGCCCCTGTTTGTATTCTCGTTGCTCGGTTCACTAACTGTATAAATTCCAAAACACAGCTCCTTGCTGGGTCATTAAACAACTCAAAAATCTTGAGCCCATGGCATCTCCATTCCCGCGGGCTGTGCAGCATCCTCAGGACAAGGGGGTCGAAAATGTTCTTCTCCGAGGCAGGTCGTGTGGCCTTCTGGTCTGCCTACAATATGGTTGTATGTATAAGCCCTCGTGCCCGAAAAGGCAGCTGCATTCATTAAACTGATTTTGACTCGATCATAGCAAATTGAGGCACTTGTGACAAGCTCTGAATGCCCAGCAGAGTCGAGAGAGTGGCTGGGCATCATTAGAACCATAATGGACCAGTCGGAGCACGCCCCTCTCCTGGTGTCTTCATACATTGTCGAGATAGCACGCGTGCAATGCAGGATGCTCATCATCCTACGCGACCACGACAGCCAGGCAGCTTCGGCAGAGTACTCGACACTCATGGACTGCCTGAGGAAAGCTGAGGCAGAAGTCGTGGCCAACCTCAATATCGGCGATGCCCCCCATCCCCTGGAACTGTACTGGGTACAGCTGTGGCGTGCCGCCCAGGTCAAATGCTACCACGTCGCTCATCTTCTGGCCACCTTCTTGACGCACTTCCCGCCGTACCCGGTCTCGCTTGACCAGCTGGAAAGGGACAGACGCGAGTTCCTGGAGAAGGTTTGGAGTGCCTCGGGCTCCATCCTAGCAGACGCACCCAGATTTCTTGGCGCATTCGGCGGACACAGAGGGCCGAGACCACCCAAGGCCCTTTTCGACGCCTTGAAGATGATATGGCCGCTCACCGTCATTTACATCATCCCCTCGTCGACGGAGGAACACAAGGCAGGTGCCCACGCCTGGCTTCTTCTGGTTGGGAGGGAACTGGGGGTGAGGCAGGCCTTGAAAGTATACCCTGAGCATGCGATGCGCGGCGTGCCAGACGAGGCCCGAGAGCCGTTGAGGATCGAGGAAATCTGAGGTCGTAGAAACATGGCATACAGTACAGGACACAGAGCGATATTTTGCACTTAGAAGAGATCTGCAAAGATATATTAGCACATTCAGCCAGGATCCTTCTGCTTTAATAACAATTTTCTAGCGTACTCCTTTTCTATTTAGGCTTGACGCCTCATACATCACATCGCCAAAGGACTAAATGAATGACACTATTTTACAGACAATTGAGAATACCCCTCGACGCCCTTGACATTACTATCTCGGTGTTAGAACCCCTGTCTACCTCGCAGTCGCCCTTTGAGATCACATAACTCATAACTTCACAGCATGATGGAGACCACGAGACTTATGATAATTGCCGCGCTCATCAGTGAGGGCGTGATCGTGGTGGATGCTGAGTCCGCCGGAGCTGTGCCTGGGCCCGAGGGAGCCGTTGCCGAGCTTGTTTGGGAAGTGGCATCATCTGACACTGCCAGGGTAGGACACGACTTGGACGTGGCTGGACAATCTGTTCGCGTTTCACACGTTGTCTCTACTACGTAAACAGTTCTCCAGGTTGCTTGTCAGCTGAGGAGGTTCAAAAGATGAAGGAATGTTGAAGGGACTGGAGGAAATGCCTGCTTACTTTTGTGTTATCTCTGTCGTTGTATCTGTTACAATAACGGTGGCAGATTCAACCGAGATGTCAGTGTGTCCACTTGATACCTTCATGAGACAAAAGTCAGAGCAGGAAGATAGGGCATTGAGTGAGAGGCCCGTCTTACCGGCATTGGAACCGGGCCGATTTCTGTGGCATAGATGTGAAGCGATGTACTACTATCTCCAACGACGGGATAGTCGGAACCTTGGTTGACCTCTAATGTTGATAGGGTCATGGAGGCAGGCTGTTCAGGGGTTCCGGGCACAAGGGGGTTGAAGTCTGCAGTGAGCATCGTATCCGCTGGTGTACAACGTTTCCTTGGAATGGATGCAAGGCGTAGAGTTTCTCTCGTATCAGACTATAGGGATAATAATATTTTGAGGGATACTACTAGGCTGAAGAGGAGGCAGAGGAGGGAAACTGGCGCATCAGTAAGGCATTTGTTATATAGGTTTGAGGCAGTGATTGTATGAATCTATGGTATACAGTTTGTTTACCCGCGATATGACTCTAACTTTGCAAACGCTCCAGCAGCTGCTTGGTACTCAGGAGGCAGGTTTGCTGAACGCTTCTTGCTAGCGGCCGCAACCTCGTTGTGGTAGAAGGCACGTAGCATTGAGGAGACTTGCCATGTATCGCGAGTAAATATGGATGGGTTTCACAATTACACCGTGATGACTCTAGTCAGAAAGTTCACCATGCACTTGGAAAGTGAGCGAGTACGACCGGGCAGTCTACAACTTGGAGCTTGTAACTAGTAGGGACCAGACAGTTCGCAAGCGGACAATGTCTTCGCTCCGACTCATTTGGACATTGGCTTGTACACAGAACGTTCCATGCGGCCGCACGCAGGCGGTATTTGATACCAGTTCTATATCCAGGTTGTGCAGCATAACAGGTTGGGCAAAATCAAGGAGCACACCAGGGCTGGGCGCAATGAAAGCGCCGAACTCGGGCCCGGTGGTAACTCCCTCTCATTCCATGTGGCAAGTTACGGATGGGAGCACCCTTCCGGTGAGCAGAAGCGGCGACGAGGTGAGCACTCAAGACACTCCAGATACCACACCACAAGATGTGTCGATGATGTTTGAATACTGGGTTGGTGGAGGAGATGGGTGATGATTGGCTAGCTGAATAACTGTAAGCCTGAATCTGGGGTTGCGGCTTAGGTAATACATCAAGAGGTACGTACCTGGTCCATGACGTCAGAAAGACCGGCTCCTTCCTCAGCTTCCAAGGTCTATTCCAAGGCAAATGGCAAGCGCATCACTCAAGAGCCCTAAAGCGCCCCTTCATTTCATTTCCACATTGATGGATGGATGGATGGATGGACGGACGGATGTATCCCAATCAATTGCCATCCACCATCCCTCGGGCAAGATGCTATGTCTGTCAAACCTCTCCAAGCAGCCCCTAATAGTCCGCCCATGACATTCCACAACGATGGTCTATCTGACCAGCTTCTTCCTGAGACAATTCCTGCAGCGGATGCTGGGCCAGGCCGGTCACCGAGTCTATGTATGTATCCAAGCGGCCCAAGAAGTCAATGAGCTGTTCCCTGCTGTCTGCAGCTTCCTAGCTCATCGCTAGAACCGAGGCCATGTTCCTGGATGGTGCCACGATCAGCACCAGCTTACTCCACTAGGTAACAGCCATACCTTAATGGAATACATGATACAATGCTATGCTGGCGATCGTTTCCTTGTCCTCTATTCCTGCCCTTATTGGACCCAAAGACCCGACACCATCAACACGATCGAAATCGATCGCAGTCTGTCCAACAGACTGATGAGCAGAGCGGCCAGGATGCTCGAGACCCCCCTGCCTTCTGGCGGCGAGAGTTGCAACCGACCTAGTCGCCTAGTTTCTGGTGCTTATTTGTCGGGGATAGGCTGTTATGCGCTGTCAGCTCTTTCCTTGGCCTTGCCTTGACGTACGTGACATTTGCTCCCAGCATTTCCTGAGTTAAGGTGTGTGAAGTGGTGTGTGCTTTCCATATATCCATGCGCCATTACGCATCATCGAGAACGGAGTTGCGCCCGATCACTTACATACCGATGATTCTTAATTTACACTTTGATTGGTACTTGCTCCATTGGCCCTCAGAGGCGTTCAAGGCTCAGCAGCCACAGGCACAGATTTGAATTGTTCTTGGAAGAACCTGATCGTCAATGCCGTCTACTATCCTCGCCCTTCAACTGTGCTCTTGCCCTCCCCCATCTTGTCTTTCTTAATCTCTGCTATCCTCCAGAAAACGCCTATGCCAGAATTAGTTTTTCTTTCCTCTTTTTGCTCCCCATGTCTCTAGCTACTGCAAGCCCTGTTCCAGCATCTCCCGTTGTCACTGTGGTTCCACCGCAGCCTGTGAGGGAACGTGGCATGCGCCCGAGACTACTCTCGATCCCGACTTCGGAAAGATTAAGTGACGCTGCTACCATTGAGCCTCTTATCAAGATGATAAGTGGCAAGATCCGGAAAGGCAGAAGATCTGTCTTCAAAGAAGTTGGTTTGGATGATGATGCTGATAGGGATGACGAGAACCATTCCGGAGATCTTCTGAGGCCAAGCTGCTCCCAGAAGAATGGGAAAACACCTGAAGAAGCAGAAAGGAAATTTGGCGAGCTGTCAAATATCCACCCACGCCATCACAACACCGCACCTCAACCGCCGACAGCTGCATCTGATCTGTCCCCTTCCAGTCAAGACTCCCGGCCACGTCAGCGCCAGAATTCACTGCCAAACCAGCCTTGGTACACAAGGCTTACAAGACCAAAGGGGAGACCTCGGGTCAGGAGCGTTTCGGGGACGCCGCCTGCCACCATATCCGGCTTTCACCAGTTCACACTGGCAGCAATGCTCTTGACCCTATTCCTCCCTTCATGCCATATCCACGGCACACGACCTGGTCTAGAAGTCATGGTCACAGACGCCAGCGTATTATCCAAGAGGGCGCTCAGTCCGGTAGACGTATGTCTGAGATGGGCTCACCAAGCTGCCAACGTAAACGGCACACTGTACATTTATGGAGGCGAGGCAAGGGAAGAGGAGGATCAACACGAAAACACATGGAACAACAATTTTCTTACACTTGACTTAAGCTCTGACTGGAGTGTTGACTCTCCCGCTCTGGTAGGATTGGAGAAACCAAACGGACCGCCAGCTGTGGCGCTTGGGTATCTTTGGCAAGATTACAACAACCTCTACCTATATGGCGGGCAGTTCTCCGATTCGCCATACACAGAACCAGCTCCTGAATCCATTTGGCGATATTCAATCAGCAGCAAATCCTGGACCGAGTTTTCCAATCCTAAAACGTCCGAAGGGAATTACTCTGACAGCGCCGGGGAACCAGTTCATCGGGCATCTGAGGGCGCGGGTGCTTCGGTGCCCGAGTTGGGGCTAAGCTTCTACTTTGGTGGACATTTGGATTGGGCAACAACTCCTGGATGGTCAAGGGATATAGAGCGCGTCTATCTCAAAAGTTTACTCGAGTTCACTCATCCAGGCTATGCTAATTCGGGTGTCAACGCACTTAGAGGGAAGGGTGCTGGCCAGAGTGGCGCGTTTAGAAACATTACCTCCACACCGGTTCAGCAGAACAACTTCCCTGAGCGAGCCGATGGTGTTCTCGTGTATGTCCCAGGTTGGGGGGAGTTGGGTGTCCTCATTGGTCTGGCCGGGGGTACTGCCGAGGACTTCACCTATGACCTGAGAAGGCTTGACGTTTACGATATTGCCAGCTCTCAGTGGTTCCATCAGGAGACATCCGGGGAGATCCCAAGCGTACGGGTAAATCCATGCGCCACAGTCGCCAGCGCTCCGGATGCTTCCAGCTTCCAGATATATCTGTTTGGTGGGCAGAATCTACAACCTTATGTGAGTATACACTTGTTCGCGTCATCGGTGCCACTCGCTAATGATCACTAGGGGAATCAAACTCAATACAACGACATGTTTATTTTGACCATCCCCTCATTCACATGGATTAAGGTCGAGCCAAGCAATAACACGCCTGGTCCCCGTGCTGGCCACACCTGTACTATGTGGAATGGACAAATCGTCGTCGTTGGTGGTTATATTGGCAACGACTATAAATGTGACTCTCCCGGGATCCATGTGTTCGACGCCTCGAAACTAAAATGGAAGGATACCTTCGCGGCTGGAGATCACCCCCCAGACTTCCATGCGGACAACATGGTACTGGCAGCATCCAACGGCTATTCCGTCCCAGATCCAGTTCAAAAAGTCATTGGAGGCAGCGAACAGGGAGGCGCCACAGTCACTACGCCTGCATCAGGTCCTGCAACAGATGGCCCATTTGCAACTGGCAAGCCTCCCGTCTTTACCGTAACCCAGTCTGGAGGTATCACCACTGTCACGCCCACCAGTGGGCCAGGCTCCGGCCAGGATGAGCCGGAGGTAAGTCCCGGACTCGTTGCTACGGGTGTCATTGCAGGCATCGCGGGCGTCCTGGCTTTCTATCTCGGGTTCTGCGCCTGGCTCTACCGTCGCCAGGTCAGCGTTTACAAGCAACATCTCACAGACGCCAAGCGATACTCGAGTGATCGTGTCGTCGCCTCTGGTACTCAGGATGGCCCCTACCAAGCATCCGGGGCGGCTCAGAATGATGAGAACATTAGAGAATCGAAGAACGCATCGGCGTGGGAAGATTTCAGCACGGGCCCGGCTTGGCTATCCGAGCCGAAGTGGGCTTCCTCCTCCAGCGACCCAACCCGGGAGACAAGCAGCGGGAGCGGTATCGGGGAGCAATACCATGGCGGAATAATGGGCAGACGGTCCAGCGAGAGTGGCGAATCAACCGAGGGCTTGCTGGACGGGAGGGAGCCGAGTTTCTTCAGTGTAGTCATGGCACCAAGACGAGCCCTGAGGGTGGTCAATGGAGCAGATTCCTAAACCTCACTAAGGTTCTCAAATTTGTTACTTTCACTCATTCAATTCCTCAATCTGGCCGAAAAAAAGAAGAAAACTACAGACTAATTAATGATTACCTCATCGGCGTGGGAGTTTCTGCTGGAGTTAGAAGGCCATAGTTCATGATTATACGTCCTCAAGAAAATGGTACTTGGAAAGTTGTTTTTAGTTCATTAATGATAACTACCCGATGGGATATCGAGCAAAAAGGAAATCCAATAGCTCTCTTTTAGATGATACCAAGACAATTCTATGTCATGCCAGTTTATCCAATCCGAATATAAAGAAAAAATAATGCACGCGCTCCCAAACTCCACCCATGCTACTTGCTCTAATAGATGCTTTCGTAATGGAAACTCG